TTCTTTGGGTGTTCGCATGCGTGCAGTTCCGGAGCACATGATCCATTATCCCTACACCATAAGAAGATGCACATTTCGAGGGCTATCTGCTGTAGCTTAGGTGTGCGTTATTTCTCTAGCTTTCTTTTCTGGAAACTTAAGCTGTAGGCTAGGGCCAGTTGACAAAACCCCGACATCCATAGGTTTCAAGTTTCGTATCGGTTCTCCTCTTTCAGATAAAGACACACGTGTTGCTCTTATTTGCTCCTGCAACCTCAAGTGGTCCATCATTTCCCGAGGCGCCATTGATAGCCTTATTGATCGCTGATCGCTGTCGTCCCTGCGTCCCCTTGGCGTAAGACTTCAGGCAGACCTGAGCCAAGCCACTGCTAATGCAGCTATTCGTCTAAAGGTGGCTTTTGGGTCCATAGCTTCATACTTCTCGAGATACCAATCCAAATGACGGTCGTAGGGCGGGCAGAGACTCAGTGAGTAAACGAATGAACGGCAAGACTTTTGCATTTGACGGAATACTTGAGGTTCTAGGTGCAAATAAGAGCAACTTGTGCGTCTTTTGGCTGAAATGTAAGAACCGAGTGAGGATTAATAGCTGTTCCTGCTTCGGATCTACATCTCCCAATGCTTGTGGTTGTTTTAAGCTCGGCAATAACCCATTAGTCAGGGCTCATACAAAAGCCTGAACTACAGTTTTCCCTGCAGGCAGACAAGTTCCTCTAAATGAAAAGAGCCACCGTTGCAGTGCTTATCCCTCCAAAAAGCATGCGGCAAGAATTACTCGGTCCTCTTCATACGACGGTAAATAGCGAGATACATCTCGAACCCGCTGAAAAACCTTCGAGCATTCGCTCTTCCTTACGGTGGTCATAATTCTCTAGCTTCCGGAGCCTTATCCACGCATCTATAAACATAACATTTGCTTCCACATCTTACTTTTGTACTAGTTGCAGAGAGACTGCGTTTACATCAGATCAAAGGCCGGCGTCTGCCACCCCAAGAGCCATTTAGACACCCTCAATTTCTATCACCCGAGGCTTTTCCCGGGAGTGTGACCTAGGGGAAGCACATTATCGAGTATTCAGCTAAGCTTGACAAAGCCAGACGAATGTTGTAGGGAAACCTGACCTCATACTGCATCCGCAGCAAGTGGATGAGTAGGGAACAGCTGCATCTTACCATGCGGTGCTACCACCTGTAGAACTCCATCTAAGGTCTTCACAGGGGAGTACATCGCTTCACACATAATTCAAGCTTAGTAGGAAGTTATTAAGATGATCCTTGTGCCGAGCTACGGTATTTTCTAGGATATAAAACGTACGTACAGACAAGTCAAAAGTTAATCTCTTTACTAGGTCTTAGATAAATCGAACTGCTGTAAGAGAATGCGTCGAAGGGTGGCTTAGCCCGCTACATGAGAGTCCCAACAAACGGTTCTGGTCGGTCAAACGTTTCCTACTCCGGTAATAGCATGTGGCGCCAAGGCACCTTTGCTGTAATGTGTGGAAGGGTGCTGTTGTGGACCCCTGCCCCCGGTGATACCCCCATCTCTTGATCTCCTGGCACGAACACAAACTCCTAGTTCTCCAGGTGGCCACCAATCGTCACATAAAATACGGTCTGAGCTGATAGGCATGAGGTTAAGAGGACAGATTCAGACCAGACTATGGTTTCTTCCCCTGTACGCTTTAGAGGGTCTTTCCTGAAGTCCTTTTGTCACAACAGTCAAATGTAAAGTGAAGGACGCTACACTGTCTACGGAAAACAAATGGTATTGGGGCAGAGTAGAGCTTAGTAATAAGTCCTTCTTTGTGTTTACTTCTAGTTGTTCGCTTTCATGATCCCCGCCAACGCCCGCTTGGCCCATTGAGAGAGCGTAGTGTCGGAACACTTCACCAAGCTTCTGCAGGGGTGCGCCCTACCTTCTTTTAAGCCATTGAAGGCTAGCCTTTTCTACGGGACACCTTCTGTAGGCTTCTCGTGAGCCACGTCACAACATGCCACAAACCCTTACGGGTATCGCAGACAGACTCCAAATTGGAACCTTGCAGTCTGCTGGAGTATCGGAAGGCCACCTTCAGACGCGCCTACATGCTACACCAAGCGGCCTAGGAGCCATTAGCCGTAGTATCGTCTATACGTTTTTGCGACTATCAAGGACACACAGTTCCCACGGCGTGCGCGTGAGAAGCAGGTTCCTCCATGCCCGGTGAAGGCATATTGGTTCACTGGCCCGCATTCATGCCCCCATATTTTTACCAGAAAGCCTAAGAAGCAACTCTACGGCAAGTCCTCTCGGAAAGACCCCTATTTTCTGTTTTTTCACATTCTTCTATCTTGTGCCTTTCGTTCGCGCTGTCGCACCATGGGCTTACATAGACTTCAACCATCTCCTCTACCAGAGCCTTCTCTGCGTGGTATTTTTTCTCGACCCCGGCCCCCCGCTAAACAGCACCCTCCCTCGTCAAGTCTATCCCGCTGGTTCCACTTGTGCCTCTTTGTGTTATCTATACCATTAAAAAGTATAGTGTGCGATGACTGCCCAAAAGCGGATAAACCATTGCGATGGCCTTTTCCACCTCTGCGTCTGCCAGGGGTGCCAAACAATGTAAACATGAAGCCCAGCCAGAAAATTGCCACCGTTGCTCCCCTCTGGGCATTATTGCATGGAAGTAACTGACTAGCTAGCTGTTTTATTCAGGCATGTACTTGCTAGCTGGCTGGACGGCTCGCATTTGTTGTTTGTGTATTTCTGCGTTCGGAGATGCTCTTGAGCCTGGAAACGCTGAGTAGAGACGGAGGGGGGCAACCAGAGTCCCCCACAGTGAGGGAAAGGGAGGACTGTAGATCCTTAAGGGATGCCTTTGCTGCCTTGTTATTGCCAGAGAGCAGAGAAAGCGAGTGCTGCAAACAGCCCCTGCAGCAACTCACAGATATGAGAGGGCTACTCATTGACAGAGGACGGAGATGATCATACGAGTATCTTAGGCAAACAAGCTTGAGATCGACTGCCCTATGCAAAAGCGAACAAATGCTATCGTCTAGTAGTTCCCTCCTTAGCATTTCGGAGTGCCACAGAGAGACGTGGTACAAACAGCGCAGTCGAGACGACAGATATATAAACGAGCGGATGCATCACTGAGTCATTCTCAGTCTCCTGCGGAATAAACGTTTAATTGTTGAGTAATCGGGTTTTTGACAGATGTGTCTGCGCGTAGCCATTTGTTCGCGTTTGTGTATGTCTTGCTGATGCTTTACGCTTCTAGAGTAACTTCGCTTATTTTTCGAAAGAAATTCTGCAAGGGGAATGGGTCGTCGCCTTCGCTGTCGAGGATCTTCTGAGGCCAGGCAGGAAGCGCAGCCACTTGAGAAAAGCGGAATGGGCCGAGGAGCCGAGGGGAAAGGAAAAGCGAGACAGACAGTCTACATACTAGAAAAAGAGCAGGAAATGCTTAGCCAGAAGTGGCAATAGAAGGAAGGGGCAGAGGGGTGGCAAAAGCAGCAGCTAGAAAGGGCGAAGCTACCCTCAAGGGGGAGGCCAGCTATCACAAATTAACCACAAAAGATATCGGACAAGGCGTCAATTTGAAGGAAGCCAGAGTGCTGGAAACTGAGAACCAGACAGATTGTTTTGGGAGACTGAAAGAACCAAAGAGAGCTAAAGTGAAAGAGACAGGAAGGCAGCATCTTCCACGCTAATTTAACACAAGCGGCAGGGACAAGATACTAGAAAAAGCAAGAAATAGAAGAATAAAGAGAGCTATAGGGATTGATATATCGTTTTGTAAGTGCTGTGAGACACAAGCTAAATTGGTGTTTGTGTGTGTTTTTGGTGCAGGGAATTCAGCTTGGGGCAGCGCGGGGCGACTCCCACTTTGAGCGCTTTATAAAGCTTTCTGCTTTCTGGAGTCCACGAGGCGACCTCCTGGTCTGTTGGCTCAATCTGGGCGGGCTCCTCTGAGGCTTCTTGTCTTTCATACTTCCTGTAAACCAGCCGGTGTTTGCGACAAGAAGGGTTAGGGAAAATGCATGGCAGCAGCCGCAGGAGTTTAGGGACCGAGAGACTGCGGAAGAGATGAGAGCAAACGGCTCGAAGAGACAGGCAAGGAGTGGCAACTAACACCAGTAACAACGATATCAATAGTAAGCGCGGTACAATCTTAAGGAAGACCGAAAAGTTGGCCACATGCAGGGTAAAAGCGAGAAACTGAACACGCCAGCAGGACGCACTATTAGCCACGGGCCAGCCGTCATTGTGCACACACAGCGGCACAGAGCCCACAGTTCACAGCTGGATTACCCTAGAACACGCAACCTGTCTGATGAAAGATTGCATACAATCTGAGGTGCATGACTCTAAAGCCGACAGCCGAGGGCATACCTGCACAATTTAGCCATTCGGTGTATTTTGTTTGCCAGCTTGAGCTGCTCCAAGAGGGCATCTTTCCTCTCTCGCGCACACAGAGAAAGCTCAGTAAGGCACTGCTTTTCCAGGTCCCTGAATGCAGCAAATATTGGGCTTGGATGCTCTAGCTAAGCGTTAAGAGACCCAGTAGGAACCCATATTAAAGAGATATTCTGGAAGTGCAAATCGCATGTTTTTCTTGTGGCCTTGGGGACTGATACAAGACAATATGCCGCACTTAGCTCCTTCCATTTCATCTCTGAGCTCCTTGCAGTGTTTTCGTAGGCAGTCTACTTCCGCTCTTATCCGAGAGTTCCGCGACTCGAAGTCCTGCACCGAACCGTGAAGGCGCAGGGCTTTGCATATATCAGGTACTGCTCACCCCCTTCAGTTGAGAAGACGATGAGAGGCTTTTACAAGGATTGGATAATTCTGTATAGAACGGTGGCCAGGGGCAACAATTTGAACTCGCGAATGTTCACTGCCACTAGTACGTTAGGATGAGGCGCCTATTTCGCTACACATCGTCGTTTGTTGTATCTCTTTAACCGTTACTTGATCAGATACTGCGTTGCCTGGGTTGATGCTGGCTTGAGCCCCATTATTTAAGGCTTGCTAAACTACGGGTTAATAGGTTTCCTAGCGCCCATAGAGATGGCATTACTTGTTTGCTTTGCGCAACTTTTGCCTTCCAGTGGTTAATGGCGGTTTGCATGCGCTCGATTTGCCTCGCTTTCTCTTCCACCTGTTTGGTGAGCGCGCTGTCTTGGGCGCTGAGGCGTCTGAATTCTTGCGCCTGCCCTTCGGTTGCTGCTGCGTGATTCTGCATTGCGGTTTCGATCTGGCCCTTCAGAGCTTTGATTGTTTGGTCTAGCTGTGACTGCAGCTGGTGCTCAGCTTCAATAGACCTATTTGTCAGAAAAGAGAGCTCACCGCAAAGGTCTTGAGTTTCCTCTGTTGCCTTCATTTGTTCCTCTTCGCGGATCTATTGGCAACACAGCGCGGCAAACAACGAGAGTTACAGTACTGGCAAAAGCAGCACGAGAAATGCACCCCCCCTACGCAACTCGCCTGCATTTCATCACAGCCACGGAACACACTAAGAGGTGATCTCCTGCACTGGCGTCGACCACATCACTTGGTTTGAATATTCTCGTGTGTCATCCAGTGCGTGGTGGAATGCTACTAGCCACCAACGGCCCTCGCAATAAACGCCCAGAATTGCGATCATAAAATATTGGACGTTGCCCTTTGCACAGACTCGCACTTTCGTTCGCATCCAAAGATATACGGGCCATACAAGTGTGGTGCAGTCAGAAGGCGCTGCTTTGTAGTGCAGGCATGGGCAGGATGATTGTGCTGGGTCAGAAGGATCAGGAGTGATAGACAAAACACTGAAGACTATTATTACCAGTTGAATTAGCGTCTGAATCTCTCTGACAAATTTGCCGTGGGAGGTTTTGATTTCTCTGATCGACTGCACATAGGAACGCTTGAGGGCTTGGCTTTTTTCTGCAAAGTATCGCTCTATGGTATCAATTCGTTTCTGTTGCAGAGCAGCAAGGTCCTCATGCGTGCTTTCCAGGGTATGGCGGGCTGCCTCTAGGGCTTCGTCCGTGTCTTGCATTTCCCACTTGTACGAGAGCAGCAAGTCATTTGATGATTTTAGAAAAGACTCGTGCTCTCCAATCTCCCGTTCTAAATTCTGCAGTGCCTCCTGCTTCTGAGAGTAAGGAGAGCATAGCACAGGCTAAGTAAGACCTACAGAGGGGCCAGGGCAAGATGGCAATAAGACAGTGACGAGTTTCTCTGTTTTGGCTTGAGCGAGAAGCCGGGGTGCGCATGCAAGCACGTGCATATTTGAGGCCCTACAAGAGACCCAGGAGGGACGTCACCCTGAAACCGAAGCTTGCAGCCAGCTGAGCGCTGGGATGCCTGTTAACTGCTCATGCAAGGCTTGCGGACATAGCATGAAGAAGCTTGGGTGTGAGTTTCAACGGGCGGGTGCGCACTTGGATATCAATGGCATCTTCCATCCAGTGCTCTAATAGCTCCTTTTGCGGCTGAAGCGCGTTTTGTAGCACCATGGCGGTGCTATCCTGAGACACGCGTGCATCTGCATAAGGCCGTGATTCAGGGCATTTATACGCCTCAGTGACCCCAATTTTTCGGTCTCTGTACCATTGCCGATTCTAGAAAGGGAGGGGAATACAATGGCGACCCTTCGCAGCCTTAGATCGTACGCTCTAAGTCCTTGTAGACCATAGCCTCTATATGATTGTAGACCATAGCCTCTAAATTCTAGAGCAAGGCCTTGAACCCTGGATCAGCGCGCCTTCTGTGCTATCCCCTTCAACCTTACTTGGATATGCTGCGTCTTAGCATCCGCCTGGAGTTTAGCTACGTCAACTTTCTGCTGAGGCCCTAAGGCCTTTTGCTTTCTTTTCCGCATTTCGGAAGGTCGCGACCTTAAGCTCTAAACCGTAGACTCTAACGCCTGAAGCCCTGGGCGCTCCTGGCGGTGCCCCAGGGGGCGCGCTCACTGTGCTACTGCGCGTATCTACACAAGAAACCTAGAACGGAAATTCCATGGAAGAGAATTAAGAGAGAGAATAAGTTTTCCCTGCACGAATAATTTATTGCTGCGCGAGCAGGAGCAGCAGCAGCAACTGCTGCTCCTGCCACGGGAGGGGCCCCCAAGTGTACTGTCTCACAGACATGGGGCTGTTTTTTATGCTGCTCTCGTTGCTGGAAGTGCTGCCGCCGCTGCTGCATGCTTAGGCGGTCTATGCTTTATCCTGTTTCCTTATTTTTGCCGCATACTCTTGTTCCTCTCCCCAAAACTCCCAGCATGAGGCCACTGCTGCTGCTGTCATCGTCTCTCCTCGTGGGCCTCCTTAGCGATACGCCTACCTGTGAGTGCATCGGATTTCACCCCAAACTCTAAATCCTAAGCACTACACCCTATACTGTAGGCCCTGAAGCCTGTATTTACGCGGCGGGCGTGATACACCTCCGACCAGTGTTTCAGGGTATGGGCCCCATCTCGATCACAACGAGTTCACGTTTTTACAAGGAGCGCGGCTGGCTTCGTCGCACAGCTGGCCTCTAATGTGTCCTGCGCAGATAAAGCTGTCTCTCTTGCCAGCGTTATCAAGGGTTCGGGATTCTGGCTGCGTTCGAGTGTTGTGTGGTGTGTGGGTGTCTTCAGCATGCAGCGCCACGGCCACCCGCCAGACGCTGTACGAAATCCTGGCGCCTAACGACTTGAATCTGAGCTTTCTTGGAGCTGATGAAGAGGCGATCGAGGAGGCAGCAGCAGCTGCAGCTGCAGTACCCTATGCAGAAGATCCGATCGGCAGCAGCAACAACAGCTGTCGGAGACCCCTGTCTCGATGGCGCATGAGGCCACAAGACGTCCTCACGCCGGATGCCTTCCTCCCCTGTTCTGCAGGAGCAGCAGAAGCAGCGGGAGAGGAAGGTTCGAACTTGGCGGAAAAAGGCGCTACTGGTAACGCAGTAGCACAGGAAGCAGTGAGCACGAGCAGCGTGAAAGCAGCCACGGAGGGCACAAACGGCAGCTGGTTCTCTTCCTTCATGGAGCATCTTGCATATGCAGCAGCTGCCCAGTCTGCCGCCGCCTCTGGCATAGCCGTCTACCCGACACTAGCGCCCCCCCTCAGTCCTCCTGCCGCCATTGTTGCTGCTCCTGAGGCGGAAGCCTCGGCTGTACAGGCAGGAACGACCGCAGCACCGGCGGAGGGCTGGAACTGGAGGGATGCAGTGACGGCTTTCTTCGACAAAGTAGAGAGGCGTTTGGAGGAAGGAGGGCCAGCTCTGTACGCCGAAGTCTACGACTTCACACTCTAAGTGTGCTCCACTGCGCAGCCACTGTTGTTGCTGCTGCTGCTGTAGCAACGAGAGCAGCGGCAGCAAGAAGTATGCTTGCGGCAGCCGGACTTGCTGCGAATGTAGCGTGAACAGCCACTCCCATGGTGGAGGTTGCCACTGTAAATCAGCGTGCACTTGCACCCCAAGTGGGGAGCTCAAATCCATTTTTCAGCAGATCAGCTGGTGCGGTAGCAAGGCCCTTTGGTGAACGAGGGAGCCTGCGCAGTGCTGGTGCTGCACTCAGGGAACTCCCGGGATGCCCAGTGGCTCCAGAGTGGTGTAGGTCCCCTCATTGGCGATCCTCCCTCCACATGCAGGCAGGGGCTACACATGCCGCAGGGCAAACAAACTGCTGGATCCGTCAGTGACGTAACAGTAGGGAGCAGATGGGGGAGTGCTAGACAAGCTGCTCCGCACGCTCTAGCCGCTGCGGCTACGTGTTGGCGCTTCGCGCTCATCGACGCTCTAAAACGCGATCATTGCATTGAGCCTTCGCTAGCGAGGGGTGTGGGCAGGAATATTTTCGTCCGTGCGCGTGGCTCCGTTAGCACGCCGTGGCGTCTGTTGCTCACGAACGTCTAAATTGACGAGTCTGCGCGAGGGGCCGACCCTCGCAGAAGCAGCAGAACCACACGGACTGCCTGCTACTGGCTTCCGGGCAGGAGGGGGGCACTACCCGGCTTAGATCCCCCAAGGCTGCGTCCGCTTATGCGAAGCAGCCTGAATATACGTACCTATGCACTCAGAGCTAAAAGGTTCTAGCGTATGTGGTGTAGGACAGGAGCCACGCCTCCTGGTGGGGTCAGCCCCCCTGCAGTGTCACGTGGGCTGTGTTGAGAAGTCTCAAGGGTTAAAGCCTCTCGAATTGCGAGGTCTGATAATTAACGTCCACTCTAAAGCGTAAACGCACCACCTTCAAGGGCGGGCGAAGCCCCTAGCATCTCGAGCAGCGGCGTCGTTGCTGCTGCTGGTGGGACTGGAGCCGCCGCTGCAGCAGCAGCAGAAGAATCAGCCGCTACAGCCGCGCCAGCAGGAGCTGCGCATCTATTCTGGCGCTTTTTGCATTTTCCTGCTTCGGGGACGCGCAGGGCCCCTTCTCCTGAGTAGGGAAACCCCAACAACCCCTCCGGCCATGCAGCAGCTGCAGTCGCAGGAACTCGCAGTGACAGCAAAGACAGCAGCAGCAGCGTTGGTTTGGAGGCTTTCTGCTGTTCACAGACTTGTGGGGCCCCTCTCTCTTTGGTGGTTGACTTTGCAGCTCCAGCTGCTGGCCCTGGGCCCGATATCCACAGGGGCCCCCATCCCGCAGCTAGGGGCCCCCTAAGTGCTGCGGGGGCAGAAGGTCTCCTCCTGCGTCCTCTGCAACTCTCTGGAAAACAGGAACTGTTCATACGCGCGCATACGCTTCACTGGCTTCAGGGGGCCCCCAGGGGGCCCTGTACGGCACCGGGGGCCCCTCGTCTGAAGCAGCAGAAGAGGCGCCAGCGTAGACACAGATGGCTCCTGCGGGCTTAGGGGGCTCGCGTGTCACGCGACCACGTTCTACTGCTTCGGCTGCAGCGCCCAAGAAGGCCTTAAAGCAGCACACAAGTGCAGCAGCAGCAGCAGCAGGAGCAGCAGAAACTACGCAAGCGGCAGATTTGCTCTTGGGGCCCCTGGAGGAAGAGGTTGGCTTAGATCCGTGGCTTCCTCACCGCTTCCCCTTCGACTGCTGCCCATTGGAGTATTTGGAGGCGGCGCGGGGGGAGTCTCCTGAGGGCCCGGAGGGGGGTGTTGGCAGCGCCTCCGCGTATTCTACGCGCAAGCTCAGCAGCAGAGTGGGGAATGAGGGCCTCTACGTTCTTCAGCTGTGTTGCCTTCCTGCAGCGGCGTTGGAGTGCTTGTCGCAACACCTGCAGCAGGAGCAGCAGCAGCACGGCTCGGTGTTTCCTGCTGCAGCGTCGAGTGCAGTGTATGTACACCCAGTGTCGCTGAAGGTTCATTTGCTGCGACCTGAGAGGCCCCTTCCGTTTCTCGATGTTCTGGTGGTGGGAGCTCCCTTTCGGGAGGGCCCCAGGGGGGTCTTTGAGCAGCAGCAGCTGGCGACAGCTATCCAGGGGGCCCCTAATCTCTCGGCGTTGGTTATCCGGGGGGATGGTCGGTGGCTGCAGCGGCTTGCTGCTGCCTGCAGTAAGAGCAAAAGCCTCTCCCGGCTTATTATTGAGGACGTGTGTTCTTTGGAGGGGCCCTCCGGTTCCTTCCAGCTGAGCAGCAGTAGAGGCGCATGCCGGTCGGCTAAAAGCAGCGCCAGCAGCAGCAGCGCCAGCACCAGCAGCGCCAGCAGCGCGTCTGCGGTTGTTGGACTGTACGTGAAGACAGTGGCTGCCATGGCGAACAGCAGGAGCGTCTGCCTGCGAGGCTGCGAATTAGGACTGGGGGGCCTGACTGTGCTCGTGCAGCAGTTGCACAAGCATGCGGCGTTGCTTCGTCGCCTCAGGGAGCTGGATCTCTCTTTCAACGGCATCCCCGAAGAAGGGGGGTCTGTTCTGGCAGACTTCCTCTTCAAGGGGAAGGTGGCGCCTCTTTTGCAGCAGCTCAGACTCGGAGGCAACAGTTGGGGGCCCCGTGCACTTGAGGGTCGGCTGAAGGCTTGGAGCCTCAAGGAGCTCGCGCTGGGGGGGGCCCAGGGGTTAGGGCCCCCCCCCCTGCAGGGGGCGGGTTCGGAGTCGTTGGGGGCCCTTTGGCTGGCCTCTTCGGATGTCTCAGTCAGGGTGTTGCGGCGACTGCTTCTGCAGCAGACGGCTGCAGGCTCCCTCCTCTACTTAGACCTCTCTTGCTGCGGCAAGTCGCTCACCGAGGCAGACGTCGCGGTGCTGTTGGAGGCGCTGTACGGCGGCGGCAGCAGCAGCATCGCCGTCCAAAGCAGCGGCGGCAGCGGCGGCACAAGCAGGAACAAGAGAACGAAGCGCGGCAGCGCCGCAGCCACGAGAGACACCGTGCGCTCCCCAGGGCCCCCCCTCCGCAGTCTGAACTTATCCAGTAACGGCTTCGGGCCCGCAGTGATGCCGTCCATTGGCGAGGCGTTGACATCCCCTCGCTGTCGCCTTAAAGCCTTAGACCTCAGCGGCAACCCCTGCGGCGCGCAAACGGCTGCACTCGAAGAAGGGGCTCTCCCGCTGCAGCCACTCGTGGATGCCTTGCAGGTGCTTTCGGGGATGGGCTTGAAAGATCGGCTCTGCCGCTAAATTCGCACGAGGGAGTGTGTGTCGGCTCCCGGCGGGGCTCGCCTAGCAAAGCCTCGCCACGAGGCCTTTTTCATGGGAACGTGTTTGGCTGCTGCGCATGCGTTCAGGGGGTCGAAAGCCGCAGCCCTTGCTCTCTTGAGTGCCTCTTCCTGAAGGACTGCAGCATTGCTGCCTTGGATCAGCTCGAGCTTGCTTCTGCGTTGCTGCTCAATCAGGGGCGGCTCAAGCTGCTGGATATTCGAGGGAATGGCAGGTGTGCCACAGGTGTGGCCGCAAAGGAGGATGGAAGTGCCGCTGCGGCTGCAGCGTCCCTCGCTGCAGCTGCAGAGGAAGTGGATTTGCTGCTGCTGTCCGATGGCTCGCCAGCTGCGGCAGCCGACACAGCCGAAGCAGCGGCACGAAGGCTCGTCGGTGGGAAGGCTGGCGCTGTCTCCGCAGAATCCCAACAGCAGCAGAGGAAGAGCGCAGCGGGAGCTCCAGAAGCAACAGCAGGAGCTCTCAGGAAGCCCCAGCAGCAGGGCAGAAGCAAACGGGCTCGTGGCAGCAGCAGCAGCAGTAGCAGCAGCGCTACCACCAGCAGTGCTGGCAGCAGCAGCAGCAAGGAAATGAGTGATGACGAGGAAGCCGCAGAGCAGCTTCACTCCGGTGGAAACGCTAACGGCAGGCGTAATGGACGCCTGCGATCCTCCCGCAGGGGTGCACGGACAGCCGCTACGTCTACGAGGAGAGCGGCGACAGCAGCGGAAGACAGCTTTTCTGCGGGGCCCCTTCCGGAGTGTCGTCAGAAGGGGAGGAGCCTCGGATGTCGCCGGGGGGGGGGGCCCCCCCCCCGGACAGGAGCCGCGAGGCCCCCTGCGGATGAGCTGAGTCTGGGCAGTGGGGAAACGTCTTTGCTTTCCGATATCACTGACAGCAACGACAGCTACAGCGATAGCAGCTCTTTCGACGAGGCAGCATGCAGCGCGGGAAGTTCAGAAGCGGAAGGCTCCCGGGAACAGCCCCATCCTCGAGAGAGCGGCAGCACCAGCGATGCCACAGCGCAAGACGCAGCCATGGCTTCCGCCACCGAAGAGGCCTCAAGCTCGAGTGACGACTCGGAGTATCGGGAGCCCTCGTCTTCGAGGGCTTCCGCGTCTCCAGCTGCAGAGGGAGCAGAGGCGTCGGCTGAGGAGGAGGAAGAGGAAGAGGTCTTCCAGAGGGCCCCCAGTAGCGGCAGAAATCCCAAGCCTTTGCAGGCGTTCAGGGGAGGAGCGCCCACGGGGAAGGCGCTGGCTGCACTCGAGGGGCTCTCGTCTTCTTCGGACGCGGAGGCGACGGCAGTCAGAGGAGGCAAGAGGAAGGGGGGCCCCCAAGAGGGCCCTCCCAATCGTCGGCGGCGCCAGGGCCCTCCCAGGGCCCCCCCCCCGCAGGCAGAGGAGGCGGTGGAAGCGTCGGGGGCCCCTTCAAAGGCCGCCATCTCCACGGAATCCGCCAAAAACGGGGCGCTCGCTGCTGCAGCGGCTGCAGCCGCCCAGCAGCAGCAACTGCCGCCGCTGCTGCTGAAGGCAGCGGCGCCAACAGAGGCACGCGCAGCGCCAGCCCCTCTGGGGGCCCCCAAGGGCGCATTCTGCCAGGGGGGCCCCTCCCAGGGGCCCATATCGGTTGTGGCGGAGGCTGGAAGGATTGGCGCTGGTCGAGATAGGCGGGGTTCCGCGCGGGGGCTTGGGCTTCCTCAGCCAGGGGGAGCTTCTCTCTCGCCCCTTCGTGCAGTGAAGGCGCTCGCACCGTCCTTGACCCTTCCGTACCCTGTAGGAGGGGGCCCCTTCCAAATATATTTCGGCATGCGAAGAGGCAGTCCCTCCTCTTCTTCTGCGCCGCCGCTGCCTCCGCTGCCTTCGGATCCGGAAACTCAACAGCACATCAAGCAGGTGCGTTTGTTTTCCTCTCCCTTGTTTTCCTCCCAAAGACCGCGTCTCTTCGCGGGAAGATGACTGCAGGGGGCCCCTTGAGCGCCTGTGGGCGCTTCCCAAGGTACCAGCACCGCTGCGACGGAGGAAAAATCCAGAGGGAGCAGAGCCCTGCAGGGTGACACACGCCGTGAAGGCCTGGCGTTGGCTTCAAGGTGTGGGCTGGTGTGCGTGCAGGCTCTGGAGGAGTTGGGGTATAGCTTGCTGCGTTCCTTCGTGGGTAGAGAGTCTCATCGGTTTATCTGCTGCTCTCCGCTGTTTCCCCTGCTGAGGGGCCCCCCGCAATGCGTGCTGTTAGGTTTGAAGCTGCTGTACTTCTCCGGGCTTTCCGAACTGTCCATGGCAGACCTTTCAATGCTGCAGCAGCTGCAGCAGAGTAGCAGCACCAGTCCGATGCTGCGACTCCTGCTTTCGCTGCTCCTGGAAGAGTTCCCTCTCAGCAACCCCACGTACAAGTATGCAGCCACGGGGGCCCTCGACACTGTCGACCTCCTCTGCCTTCCAGGGGTGCTGCTCTATGATGGGGGCCCCAACTGTCCAGCCACGTCTGCGGCAGAGTTTCGCGTCCTGTGGGAGCGCAAACACAACGGCAGCTGCAGCATAAACAGCGGCAGGACTGCGGCGGCGACGTCTGCGGGGCCCTCCACGACAGCGCCTTCCAGTCTTAAGCGGGATGGGGGGCTCAAGGGGCCCCCCGCCAACTCGGTTTTTGACCTCCTGCCTCCTGCAGTTTCTTGCAGGAGGCCCCCTGTAAGTTACAGGGGGGAGGCCCCCGCAGCAGCGGCAGCCACAACAAGAGCCGCGCACGACCCCCCCTTCTGCTCCCCCCAGACAGACTCCGCAAGGCGTTCGTCTTCGAGTCAACAGCCGAAGGATGTGGGGGGCCACACGGGGGCCCCCCTGTTTGCTACGCCCGCTCCCCTGAACCGCATGAAGAGGCCCCCTCCCAGCGTCATAGGGGGCCTTCCTTTTGGGGCTTCCTGCGGATCTTTGGACCCGGAGGCCCTAGGCGCCTGCGCCGAAGGCGGTGGGGCCCCCGCCGTAGGGGGGGGCCCCTCCATGCGGGGCTTCTCGGTGGATGCGGAAGGTGAAGGGAGCGACGGGACGCCCAGCCGGCTCACAGTGTCGCCCGGCGATTCGCGGGCCCCCCCCTTGGTGGGGCCCCCCTCGGCGTTCTCCTCCGTTTCGTCTTGCAGCGCATTTCCTTCTCAGCAGCCGCAGGAGCAGCTCGTGTACTGCTGGGAAGACGCGGACTGGCTGCGAGCCGTAGAAAGGTGCTTGGGGGGCTTCGAGCTGCAGGGGGCCTCCTGCAGCAGCAGAGGCAGTCAGGGCGGCCCTTGTTGCTGCCGCGAGGTTTTAGTCGTCGACGTGCAGACGGATGGGGCCCTCCGACGGCGGGTATCCGAGGCCCAACAGATGGTAGGGTACAGCCCCGTAGGGGGCCCCCGGGGAGCATCCCCGGCATCCCGCCAGCGCCGTCGGATAGAGGCGATCAAGCGGCTCGTGCTGAGAGTAATTAGGACGCCGTCGAATCTTCTGGAGGCTCAGGAGGTTCCCAGGATGGCGGAAACGTTCCACGGCTTCGTGCCCTTGGGGGCGATTCGATTTGGGAGCAGCAGGCACAGAGCACTGCTCTTCAAGGTGAGCCTGGAAGCGGAGACTTGAGCAGAACGTTTTGCGTCGGAGCCTTGCAGCATGCAGAGAGGCGAGGGGCTTCTTTTTGGCATCCGAAACGGAAAGGGAGAGGAGGGGGCGGTCACATGCGTTTGGCGTTTCGGGTGTTTGCAGGTTCTCTGTGACTCTGTGGGTATCCCCTGCCGGCTCATGCGCGGTTCCCCAGGATCTGCGGGGGCCGCTGAATTCGTCTACAATGTCGTTGTTGTTGGATCTGGCCAGGGTAAGAAGGGCCTGCGTGGGGGTTCTCCTTGCTGCTCCTCCTGAGACTCTTTGGGAGGGAGAGGGAGGCAGCAGCGGCAGCAGCTATACCACCAACCACCGCCTTGCTCAAGGACGCATTTGCGTGTTTCTGAGTGCTAGAAATACGGTTCTAGTGGATCGGCGCGTTTTTGCCAAGCTCACAAAAAGGAAACCAGAAAAGGCAGTTCCCTACCGAGCGGCCAGGGCCCTGGCGGGTAAGCACCAGGAGTGGACGGTTAGAGGGCGTGTATGGTGCATGCATGCGTGTGTGTTTGTACGCGTGTCTTCAGAAGCTGAGCTAGAGCATCTGATTCCGATTGTGTGGGGGGACGGCTCCGAGTCCACCGAGGGAGGAGCGTTCGCTGAAGGGGCTAGCGTTCCACCTTTTCTGCAGCTGAACCCCCCTGTAGTCAGCTGCTCGCCGTGCAGTGGCGTTGCGTGCTGCAGCTCGTGTGCGCCTCCCAAGCCCTGTGGATCCACACGCTGTATACACCTCGGGGATCAGGAGCAGCAGCAGCAGCAGCAGCAGCAGCAACAGCGGCAGAAGCTTGCCGCCGAGAGGGATCTCGACCGCTTCCTGCTGCAGTGCGCTAAAAACGACACTAAACCGAGGCGTCTCCTCTGGCCCCTGTCCTCCCCCAAAACATACACGCCCCTGCTCTCCGTTCTTGCGAATGGATATTTGCGTGCTGCTGACGCTGAAAAGGACTCAGAAAATGCTCTGCGCTCAAGGCTGCGCTTTGTGCGCCTCTGCAGGGCAAGCGGCAGTGGGGTTGGCGTGGATCTAGATCTGGATTTCTTCTTTCTTTTCCACGAGAAACTGGGGAAGGGCAATTTCGGCGAAGTTTGGCGAGTCTCGCTAAAGCCGCAGGCCATACAAGCAGCGAACAACAACCCTCACCACACGCGCAGCACTGCGAGCAGCAGCTGCAACCGCAGTACCCTCAAGGGACTGGAGGGCGATGACTGCAGTGCAGCTCAGCACCTGCCGCAGTATGCGCTCAAACTGGTGCCCAGAAGGTACATTTCGAGATCCGTAGATCTACCCCATATAGTAGTATCCGATTTGTTATTAAAGGAGCCCTCTTGATTATCGGGGTATCGAATTCATGCTCCTCCTTCTGTGGCATTGAGACTCCGCTTCTCGTCCAACGCAGAAAGCTCTTTAGAATATTTGCCTGGCAAAGAGGGAGCTGTTTTTCCAACGTCCACCGATGTGTATTCACGCGCCCGCGCATGTATAAGCATCGCAGACAAAGGCGGACAGCGGCTTAAGGGGGTACCGCTAAGACTTCACTATATGTGTATTAATCGCCGCCATCTGTAGTGTCTGCTTGCTTTCTCGTTTGGTTGTGTATGTGCTAGCGAGGAAAGCGTTCCTGAGGCAGAAATCATGCGGAGCTATACCCATCCCCGCGTTGTGCCTTTCCTGGGCGTCTTTGGAGGCTTCCAAATGTTGGAGGATCGGAGTAGAAGGAAGATAAGGCACAACTCTCTGTGCTTCCTCATGTTGATTGCGGATAACTCGCTAGGTAAGCCAGTGCTGCAGGGGCGTTAGTCCCTTGTAGAAGTGTGTAACGGTCGCAGTTGCAGGGGTGCGCTGTGTGAACGCCTGGTGGGAAATGCTCGTCCACTCTCTCCCCCCACTTTCCGTCCTCAGTTCGCGCCCCTTCGAGGCTAGTAGGCGTGCTAGCTATAGCTAGCGCATGCCGATTGCGGCGTCTTATTCTGCGCTCGTTGGCACCAACGAAAGGGCACCCCCGTGGAGTGAGAGAGGCCGAGTGCTCTGGCATGCGTGCGCACAGAGAGCTTGCTCAACCAGCACGAATCGATAGGTCTCTTGTTAGCGCGTGATTTCGTGTTTGTCGTTCTGCTGGATGTTGCCCGCGCCATGCAATTTCTGCATTCGCCGAGGAACGCCAAGCCTCACCTCCTGCATAGGGACCTCAAGCCAGCCAACATCCTTATCAAGGCGAGCGGCCTTTTTTTACTCCGCGCAGTGTTCACTCCCCTAGCTCTTCTTATGGGGAAGCCATCACGCAGTCACGGCTGCGCCGAGGTTCTTGGCAGCACGTACCGACAATCTAGATGATAGAACCTCTTCCTGACGCTGATGGCATAGCCAGCGTGAAAAATTGCACGGTTTGTGTGGACCTGCAGGACGGGCGCGCGCTGGTGACGGACTTTGGAGTTGCGCGAGTCGCTGAACATCGTTACTTCGAGCATGAGATGACACAGGGCCCAGGCACTGAGGTAAGCCTGAAACGCCATGCTCTTTGCAGTCAATCTGGTCAAAGCAGGGAGGCTGCTGCGGAGAGTGGTGGACGGGGAGCCATGCGCTTCAAGCCCCTTGAAAATGATGCATGGGAAGCTTGCATTTAGTACAACCCCAAACGGATGTGCACCTTCGCATCGCCGAGCGGCGTGTGCGGGAGGAAGCGGCTGCCGAGCTTCCTGTGCAGCAGGGCATCGCAAAAGTGTCAGTGCGGGAAGCAGACAGACAGACAGACAGACAGACAGGCAGACAGACAGACAGACAGACAAACAGAGACAGACAGACACACACGCACACGTACACACACACAAAGACACACACACACACAGACACGCGCACGTACACACACACAAAGACACACCCGTACACACACACACAAAGACACACAAAGACACACACAGACACACACACAGACACAGACGCCTACTCCCTCTTGCCTCTTCTCTGTGAAAATACCGCAGGGATATATTGCACCAGAGCAACGCACGGCTGCCTATGACCGGCCGGCGGATGTGTGGGCCTTTGGCGTCATTGCCGCGCGTCTCCTGGGGTTGCAGAACTGGAAGGAGCTTTCGGATCCCAAGCACAGACTAGCATTGCACAACTTTCCTATCAAGGTGAGTGGAAGCTGTCGAATTGGAGATCGCATCTCGCCTCCATCAGCTGCATTAGACACTATAATTCCTGTGTGTGCACCTCCCCCCGGAAGCGAGCGCAGTCAGTTATTCGCCTGCTGCCGGTTTGACTGAAGAGAGCTCGGCAACGTTTGCGCGATGCTAGTTTTCGCGATCTCGCCTCTTCACCACTAGCTGCTGCTGAGAGTGTAGCGGGTGGTTGCTTTCACAGGATTCGTTCCTGGTAAATCTGGCGCTGGCGTGCCTGGAGACGGATCCCCGCATGCGTCCCACCTTTGAACAAATTGTCAAGTAAACCTCACCCCACCCCACCCATCCACACCATGCTTTTTCTTCGCACTTGGTCTTCCCTTCTTTCCGAGGGCTCTTTGTTTGGAACACGCGCTTCTGACTTCACGCTGCTGCATGCTCCTGCATGCAGAAGCGCCATCGGACGCAGCAGCAGAAATATCGTTTTTTGTGCGTGCGACTCTGCGTGTGGACGTATTGTGGGACGTGCAGCCGCAGTGTTTCTGAGCTCATTCGCCTAGAGCTCGAAAGGGCTCTTCGCACGGAGTACCGGAACGTCTTTCCGCTGCAACAGCGGGACCTGTGCTGCTGCCGCTTCCATGACCAGCATCAGCAGCAACAACAGCAGCAGCGGCAAGAGGGGGGGGCGGCTTCTGGATCCTTGGAAGGCGGCATTAGTTCCCCCGCCCTCCTCCCAGCGCCTCTATGGCACTACAGGGCGGCCACTGCGGGGGGGGCCCCCGGCGCGTCAGTGCCACCGCTGGCAATCTCCCTGAGCGCTTGCAGTTCCCCGAGAAATGTAGCAGCAGGGGTCACCTCTGAAGACTTGACTTTAGAGGTGCCTTTGGTAGACATTCCAGGAGGCCTGAGCGACCCGCTCGTGACAGCATCGAGTGCTGCTGTCGCCACAGAACCAGCAGCAGAAGCCACGTCCACGCAGCGGGAGCAGAAGCAGCCTGTTGGTGCTGCAGCAGAAGCCGCTGCGGCAGCTACAGAGGCCCCTGCCTTCCCACTCTCTACTATCGAGGCACCCGCCGGAGGGCCTCATCCACAACGAACTGTAGGGATTCACAGGAAATCTCTACCTGCAGGCACTGCGCAGGTTTCTGCTCTTTCCCCTGCTGCTGCGCGCTCTTCCCCGCGGCGCAGCCTTGCCGGGGTCTTTGTGGGGTCGCGTGCTGCTCCTGTGGGGGCCCCCCCCAAAGGCACTGTTGCCGCTGGGCGCTCAGGAAGCAACAGCAGCAGCAGCGCCGGCAGCGACACTGCGTCTAAGGGGCCACGGGGATCCTCTCCCATCAGGGGGCGCAACGGCACACGACGTGTGGCCTCCCGCCTAGCTAGCAGGAGCAGCAGCAGCGAGAACAGCAGCAGCAGCTGTAACGACAGCAGCAGCAGTTACACGGGAGGAAGCAGCAACTCGAGTTCAGACGCTGAATCTGAGACCCGAAAAAGGGCCCCCAAAGGAGGAGCCTCTCTGACGGCGCCCACAAGTCCGCGTAAAGTTCAGGACAGGGCAGGGGGGCCCCACCCAAAAGGCGGGGGCACCATCCACAAAGGTGGGAACGGCCCTAAAACCCCCACCAGCAGACAGAGAAATGCACAGTCCCCTGTTTCAGTAGCGGCGCGCTGTCTTGAGCGCGGTACTTCAACGTAGTACACGGCTTAAAGAAAGGCTTTTCTTTCTGAAGGCCCCTCTTAGTGTGCCTTCTCCCCGCGTATTCCCCTGTGTGCTTCCCACCTGGGGTGTGTACCGCTATTAATAGATTGGGGTTTCCATTCGTGCGTCTCTGCTCTACGTTTGAGAGAGGCAGAGGAGTCCTAAGCGGCCGTTTTGAATAGTCTTTACGGCATAGGGCTTCAAAGAAACACTGCATACAGGTCGACGGACAGGAGCACTGCACACAATAGTGAGCAGACGGGTTAGGGACACATGGCAGCGAGAGATACAATAAACTAGGGGCGCGCCTCGACGCACCAAGAGTCGGGTACTCTGCAAGGGCAAACCCCCACTAAGCCTCATAGCCTACACAGGTCACGATCAGCAGTGCAGCCACCTCTCCGCCCCCCAGCTGTACGTACACCCCATCCAGGTGCACTGGTTAGTAGCCTACACCGGCGATGCCACGTCTCGGTAAAAGCAGTGTGTCGGCTTCCCCCTAGCCCGGGTGTTAAAAATGAATGTTGGGAGCAGGGAGTCATAGAAGGGAGATGCCTGATAACTGTGCGCCGGACGCGGAGCGTTGGGTGGGGGCCCCGAGGGCCCCTACGTGCGGACACGGATATACGTCTTCTTCGGGATTCCCTCGGCCTTTGCATCCTTGATCTGTTATTCCGAGGAAATCGCAGTGATATTTCACTTATTTCTTGGGACCTTCATGCGAAACAAAGACCAAACGCTGGAGGAAAGGAGTACGGCACTGGCCAGCACCTGCTGCTGCAGTAGGGGGCCCTCAGTACTAGCCAGACTGGGGCACTCCTACGTCGCTTTTCCGCAGGAACTACTTCCATTCTCTGCTTAGAGCGTCGAGTAATAGCGTCAATAACAAGACAGGCAACTCCGAAGGGCGGAGATGAAGTAACTTCTCGAATACTGGTTTCGGACTTGCTTGTCGCCTCGCACCAAAGTACCCTTGAGCCCATAGGGCTCATGGGTCCCTGCAAGGCCGAAAGATTGTGTAGCTTCCATGCCACTGTAGGCGACTTTCTGCCACGCACAGCTCAATAGGATCGCCAGGCAGATCCATTGCTTCTCCCCTATGTCTCAGTGGAGGTCGGCCTCACCGCGCTGTCGCTAAAAGTATGGGAGGCAACTCGCAACGCGCTGGGGGGGACCCCCCGCCCTCCAGGAGCGAAGATCTCCGTCTCAGGGAGACGCAGCTCGAGCAGGAAATCCAAGGGGCCTCCTACTGGGGGGAAGCAACTTCCGTTTGCGCTTCTAACCGGGGGTTGCTCAAAGAGGGGTCTCCGATGAGCCCGCCGAAAGAGCCTGCAGATCGACTTCATGATCGTTCTCATGGGGGATCCAGCCTTTCTGCAGAGTCTCTCTCTGCTGCTGCATGCTCTCTCTTGAGTGGTGAAGGGGGAGAACGTCCAACAGCTGCAGGGGACCCCACACTGGGAGCCGTGGAAGCCTTTCCTACGGAGTTTGTTCTCGCGCCGAGCTTGTTAGCCGTGGCTTTGAGCTTCCTGGAGCTTCCAGACCTTCTGCGCTGCCTCCTTGTCTCGAGGTCAGCCTTCCCTACACGTCAGGCCTCATGGCCTTCTTTGGGCTGCACTCCCGATATTGCAGAGCCTATTCTTTAGGGCGCTGCTTGAAGCCTCTGCGAGTTCGCAGGCTTTTCCACGAAGCGGCGTGCATTGCTCTTGCCAACGTCACTGCTGTCGGAGACACCGGTAATTTCTCTCCCTTAAGCACTCACTCTAAACGGTATTTTATGCCCCCCCCCATACCCTCAGGCCTCCGCTGCACCTTCAAGCTTCCCCTTTCGAGCCTGAAGGGGGAGCAGCGGGAAGCGGCAAGCCTTTCAGCGAGCTTACGTGTTTTCTGGTGATCTGCGCACCGCCTTGCTCGTTCAGCGCGGGTTCTTCTCACCGACAATCAGCTGAGGGTCCTCATCAAGCGGTGGCAAGTCCAACCTTTTACCCCTGCACTGCCCCAAAGTCTGCTGCTGCGTAAAGGATGGAGCCTCCGAGCTGCCGTCCACCTCTCGAGGGTTCAAGCCGTAAGGTCTGTGTGTGCAGCACGAGACTCAAATCTCTTGAGATTGACGGATTTTTGTTGACTCCGAAAGGCCTCCACGCCCTGCGGGAGGCGCCTCTGGAGGCTTTGGCGCTCGCAGGCATTGAGCAGAAAGATGACGCATTCTTAGAAGGTCCTTGAACGTCCACGACAGCCCCTTTGTTCGCACATGTAGGCGTGCTTGAGCTGCACGGCTCCCTTCTGCAAACGCCGGACCTGTTTGTGACGCATGTGGACTGCAGCGCTGCACGGAACCTGCGAGCGGCTGCGATCGTTTGGCTTCGTTTGCTACGGCGGAGAAGCATTCAGCATCGGGTAAGTCTCAAAGATCAAACGGCGGATCCGAAGCCTCCCGCTGCTGCTGCCGAGGACTGCTGCCCTCAACCGCTGTGCCAGGGTGTGCCTTCCCCTTCCCAGGGTGCCCCCGCATGTCTCCTTTCAGTGCCGCGTGTGGTCTGTATTTCGCACAGCGCTTTGGAGGCTCTTGGACGCTCTTTGAAGAACCTCAGGAGTGTTGTAATCGAGGCTCGAGACGAACGACTCACGGACACCCTCGCGGAGGCCGTCACTGCTGCAGCTGCATGCACGCTCCGCAGGCATGCTGCTGTTATTCCGGTTGCTGTGTATGTGTATGTGTATGTGTATGTGTATGTGTATGTGTCTGTCTGTCTGTCTGCCCGTCTCTGGCTTCTAGAGGTTTCGTGTGCCTGAGTATTTCGCCTCTACGATCGGCTGTTTCTGGTGCAGTCGCTGCTGTTGCTGATATTGGGAGTGCTTTCTCCGCACGCTCCTCTAGTCCGGCGGTTGGGAAACTCTTGCGGGCTGTCCTTTGCTCTTAGTCTGACGGTTGGGGGCATCACCGAGAGCTGCCTGTTGCGTACTGCCCAGCGCGTGGGACCGCAACTTCACACTTTCAGCTATACGCGGTGCGCTCTCCCAAGCCTCACACTCTGGGAGGGGGCTGGTGTGCTTTTTCGGGGCAGGGATCTGAGAACCCTTCATGTTTCGCCCTTCTTGTGAAAGGCCTCATGCCACTTCCCAGAGCTTGCGCCGTAGAGGCATCGCGGTTCGTGCTGTGCAGGCTGAACGTCGAAGGGGCCCCCGTGAGCGACGCCTTGCTGCACATGTGCGCCCTGAGGATGCGAAGCCTCTCGACGCTCCGCATCTGTGATGCTCTTTCCCCCCGAGCTCTACAGGGCATCCCTAGGGGCCTCCACCAATACACAGTATGCCCTGCCCCCACATCCCAAGTCCAAGTGTGTGTGTGTGCATGCGTTCAAAGCTGCAAGGCTTTCTTGGGGCCCTTTGGCCGCGTACTATGGGCATCCAGCAGTCCTGCTTCTAGCGTGGCGGCTTGGCAGCTGCACTTTGGGGGCTATTTTTCCTCTAGCAAGGAGCGCTGGTACTGTGTGGCTGCAGTCTGTGCCCTTGGTTTTGCGGTGCAGCAACAGCCCCTCGTTTCTGCGGAGGGCCTCTCGCGGCTGCAGCCGTTGCTGGGTATGCCCAGTCCTAGAACCCCAACTCCTCACGCGCTTAGCTGACTCCTCGATCGCCACCTCGTAGACGTGTTTCTTGTCTTGGTGCAAAGCCCTGCGATCTTCAAGCGTGCGTTATTGGGATCCTCTGGGGTCTTCAGGCCAGCTGAAGGCATTGACGCTGAGCCGCAGCTTTGGCTTGCCCTTCGCGGTCCTCTCGAACATCGATTTCATGACGCTTGCACGATCGCTCTCCTCCAACTTGGAGGAGCTCGAGCTTAACGGGTCCGTTTGCTGTTTCCTCCGCTTCAACGTTGAGCGACTGGGGCGCGAGAAATTGGGGCTTTCGGCACCCCGTTTGGCATGCAGGGCTTGTGTGCATGAGGCATGCAAACGTGGCTGCTGCCTCAGGCTGCACGGCGTTTCCGACGCATTCCTCCACGAGGCTTTGGATGCCTGTGGCTCTGGAACCCCGGAGGGAGATCCTCTTTGGTTGGAGCGACCTCCAAGGAAGAAAAGGCGCTGGGCCCTGCAGCCTTCTCCAGAGAGACTGCACAGCTGGAGGCTGAAGAAGGTGTCTCTTGAAGCCTCAGATATCTCGGACGTGGGTTTGCAGACGCTCGCAACATCCCTGGTAAGACCGGAACGCCCTGGCTTACACGCAGAGATCTTAGACCTCTAGCCGAGTCTGGAGGTGTTTACGCGCAACATAGGCTCGTAGGTGTGCAGCGACGGGTGTGCGTGCTCTGGAGGGGGTGCGTTGGTCGCAGCCTTAGGCCTGGCCTACTCCGGAACGCTGCGAGGGGTTGGGAGGTGCTCAAGGCTTCTAGGTGTCTGCTGCGGGAGCGTACAGCTCGGGGGTTACTGATGAGGGTTTCGATGGTTCGCACACAGGGCACCGAACTCGTCAGTTTATGTCTGAAGGGATGCCACGCAATAAGCGAAGGAGGCCATGCTGCCATTGCTGCTTGCTGTCCAGTACGTCGTCCGTGCTGCGCTCTAGAATGTTTCTACAGCTGAAGCCTTTGGTCTCACGAAAACGGCAGTACTGCCTGCTAGCCCATTATGCAACGCCCGCCACTTCGCTTTGAGCTTTCGTGGGGTCTTGGGAACGCCTCTGTTGTCTGCGCTCTGCTGTATTTCTACTGATCTCAGAATTTAATCGCTTTGAACCTAGGAGCGTGCTCGGGAGTCAATGACCTCAGTGTAGGACAACTCCTAAACGGCTGCAACAGCTTAAGAACCCTCGTGCTAAACGACGCCAGGTAGGGAGGCTCAAGGGTGTGGCTGCTCCTTACCGCGCCTTCTTGCTTCTCCCCCATTCTATCTCCGCCCTCCACCCCTCTCCCCCCAGACCTCGCTATTTCCCCTTCCCGCCTCTTCCCCCTGAACGGCCTCCGTAAATCCTCGCCCACTCCGCGACCCTCGCTTGTTGGGTACCCTGTCTACCAGCGCCCTACCCTGACGCCTCGTGTGCTCCTCTGCAGAATTACGGATCTCTCTCTGAACGCGATTGGTCACTGTCTGGGGTCTTCTATTCTGGAATTAGCCCTCCACAGAAACGACAGACTGACAGATGAGGGCCTTGGGGCCCTCGCTGCTGCCTGCCCCTCCCTACGGAGACTGTCGCTCTCCAAGTGCACGCACTTGGGGGATCCAGGAATTATTGCCGTAACCCTTACCTCCAGACCCCAACACCCTAAGCCCTAATAGGCTGCAAGCTGGCCCTGGCTTCACGCGTCCTTGCAACCATACCTGCAATCAAGGGCCTCTCTCCTTCTCGCGCCGCTTTCTCAGTTCGAGTGAACGCCAGGGGGGCGCTGACGCTCGGAGTTTAGAGTTCGCAGTCTCCTCTCAAGGCCGAAGCGCAGTGTGTTGTGGGCTGTCCGTCTTCTGGCAGATTGCGGAGGGCTGTAGGAGGCTTGTGAGCCTTCGTCTGGACGGCACCAAGACCGTAAGTTCCTTCCCTGAATTTCAGTCCCAGGGATGATCTCTGAAACTCAGTGTACGACGCAGGCTTGCTTCCGTTCGAAGCACGCCCTACTTCATGCGTTCCACGCTGGAGGACGCGCCAACTCATTAACCCCAAGTCATGGAATCTGCTATTTTCGAGCGCTGTACAATTTTCAGAGTGACCCCGGCGTGCAAGCAGTGGCCCTACATCTTCGCCGCCTTGAGTTTCTACACTTAAGCCGCTGCATGTTCGTTTCGGGAGCTGCTCTATATCTCTTTTGTATAGATAGAAACCCTGCACTCAAATGCATCGCCATGCCCTGTGTCAAAGTTACCAGCGCGCAGGCGGCCGCCTTCAGGTAAGCGCCGAATGCAATTTTCAACACGTTGAGGGGCAGCCAGAGCTCACTCGCCCTACAACAGTTTGAGAAGGGCCCGAGTGCGACTCTCTTCGGATCCGATATGTCCATGCAGGGCCTATGGGGCTTCCATAGATGTTTTTCTTCGTGCCTCCTTAAAGATTTGGTGTGGAATTTGTTTGGTGCAGGGAGAAGAACCCAAACACCCTATTGAAGCTGGAGGACTGCTGCGAGTGAAGGGGGCCACCGCACCTCTAAGCGATAGGTGCCACTCCACAGCGTATCTGGCCTTTCCAGGATCTCACGTGATTCGCATACTGCATGCTCTCAGAGGGCTACTCAATAAATTGTATACAGGGCAGTGCCGCTGTCGAAGGGATCTGTTGACTCCAAAGAGCGACGGCGCATGTGGTTCTTTAGGGGCCTTCCGGATCCCCATGTCTGAATAGATGTGTTCTCAGGAGAAAGAAGGCGCAATGTGTCTGGTTACAAATGAAGATTCGCCTCACCTCAGCTCGGCCTATTTTCTTTACCGCACTGCCCGACTCAAGGGGGCACTTCTGTCTCCACAAAGAGCTGAAAGCGCCCTTTGCGAACTGGGCCCGGTAGCACAGGGTCGCTGTTGTTTCTCCCAAAGTGCATGGAATGCCAACCGACTCCTGGCATCAGTTATTTGTGTCTAGGGCATCCCGTAAAAGCCTCAGGGTCTTACTGGAGGCCCTATTTCGCCCTGGCCACAAAAGGAGCCCCGAGACGCAAGAAGGCTCATGGCCTTGTCCAAGTTGTCTTAGAAAGGGCTTTGCCCGTGATGTGCCTTGTGTCTATGTAGTCGTAGGACTGGGGTGCAGGGTGTGTGCTGATCAGGAGTACTTGGAAGATTTGTTGCATGTGCTGACTTGCAAAAACGCCCCGTGTGAAAGGGCTAGAAGGGTCCTCCTCGGGCCAGATCGAATTTCGCTCTCTTTTGCTGCTTGAGCCACCGTTTTATTCTGATGGCGAGGTCCATGACTGCTCGGTAGGGGGACAGAGGAATTGCAGTGGACCTGCCTCCTGCAGCCTGCAAGCCTTGGTGCCTTAGTCCTTGAGCTCGGCCGTCGCTGTTTCGAACGATTTCCAACAGTCTGCTCATTTACACGCTGCCATGCACCCTTAATCATTTAGAGGTCTAGGTTCAACTATTTTTTTGCATGGATCCTTGGAACCCCGGCAAGAAGTGACCCCATCGGGGCAGTCCTCGTGCAGCGCTTTGAGTGGGGCCCTAGGGCCGAGGTCCCTTCTGGAGCAGGTTACCTTTTTCGGCAATGCACGAGCCTGCGTATGTAATACATCATACATAGAGGCTTGGAAGAGACGTATTTTTAGCCAGGCGAATCCGAGGGTCACTCCAGTTATGGCCCCTCCCAGGGGGCCCTCCGCGGAGGAAGGGCTCCTAGGGGCCCCCCAGTTTGTGGCCTACGAGCCTTTAAAACCCCTTGGCAAGCCTGAAGCCTTTTTCGATCCCTCATCAGCGTACCCGGGAGCCAGTGCTCCGGTTACCTGCCTTCCGGCTCACGCGGTCAGGGTCCCTCATGAGTGGAAGGGGCCCACAGAGGGAACTGACCCTGCTACGAAATTTGTAGATTACAAGTTCAGAGGGCGCCACCTTCCCCCTGGCATCCTAGGGCCCTTTGATGGTTGGACACGAGCAAGTAATTTAGGTTCTCCCAACCCACCGTACGAGCCGTTAGACGAAGGGCCCCTGCCTCAACCACACATACCCGCGGAGGGCCCAAGTGCCGAACCTTCAGTGGTAACTGCTCCTCCTAAGAAAGGAAAAGGCGCCAAGGCGTCCCTTACCGCGACAAGAGGCAAGGAGTGCCCACCGCTTGCTTCCTCAGAGGAACCTTACTATTCTTTACAAACCCGCAAGCGAGCCCTCGCCCAATCTGGGGCTCAAGAGGGCCCCTCCTCACAGAGCGGCAATACTAGGGGAGCTAGCAGCAGCAGGGGGTCTCCTGATTTAGGAGCTAGTGCCTCTTTAGCCGTAGGCACCACTCCTTCAGGAGGTGGGCTTCAGCAGGAACTGTACGGCCGATATGCTGACGAGAAGCTCTTAGCTCAGGCCCACCTAGATTTGGGGTGTCCAGGATGGGGCTTGAACGGGGGGGACTCTGAGGAACTCACAAGCACGGAAGTGCTGTCTGCGGCACCCAAAGGAAACCCCTGCGTGGTAGTGAACGTGCGGAGTTTCTGCACCAGAGCTGTAAAGTTGGGGCCTCCACCCAAGGGCCCTTTTGGGCGCTGGCTGCACGGTATATTTGGGTTCCTCGCAGAGTGCGCTGTATTTCTGCCTCGAGGGCTGTTTCTCTGGGAACTGCTACACCCCCAAACAGAGAAAGGCTTCCCGCTGGTAAACCCTCAGGGAGTCTACGGCCTCAGACTCTTCTTAGACGGGGCCTGGAGGGTAGTAGAGATCGATGACTTTGTGCCCGTAGGTGGACCTCAGGGATCCCCCGTCTTCCCAGGGTCTGCTAATGCTCACGAACTCTGGGGGCCTTTAATTGCTAAAGGCCTTTTGAAAGCGTTCAGGAACATCCTCGCTGCAGGAGGAGGGCCCCCTCCAGTCATACAGGCTCTTACTGGGAGAAGAGAAGTTACACTTCCCCTCTCTCCATCGCTTCTTGGATCCTATGTTTTAAGGGGAATCTGGGTTACTGTCAAACTTAGCCCCGCAGCTGCATCGGCAGCAGCTGCCGCCAATGGCGAACCCGATGCTGGATGCACGACCAGAAAGTGGGATGCTACCAGTGCAGCAGCAGAAAGGGAGAGGGCAAGCTCCCTTGAAGGGTTCCGAGAGGCCTCCTCTGAGCACATGTTGAGCTGGAGTCCTTTCCTAGTTGCAGCTGTTCGCGAAGAGGGGGCCCCGGCTGTGTCTCTTCTAAATCGGCAGTCAGGTGGGGGCCCCTTGCAGGATATAGTGGGGGCCCCGGGAGCCCAACCGAAACTATGTGAAGGCTCAGAGTGCTTCACGCAACCGGTTGCCCAAGACTCCACAGGGCCTTCTCTGGAGGAAGCTGAGCAGCTTTCCGAGGAGTCTTTCACAGACTTCAGTGGGACCCTACCTCTGAGTAGCCCCCGACACCCCTACAATATACAGCAACAGCTGAAGCAACAGCGTGCTGCTGCTGCCGCTGCTGCTGCTGGCGAACCGCAAATAAGGAGGGAAAAAGAGGGGGGCCCCATCATTGTCACGAGACCACTCGCTATCCTTCTGCAGCACTTGCTGGGGGGCACTGCTCTGCCAAAGGAGCTCGATTGGGAGCATTATGAGAGGCCTCCAGATTCTTGTGCTGCTCAGGAAGCTTTGCCAGAACAGAAGGGGGGCCCTGGTCTCCTAAAGAAAACCTGTGTAGCAACAACTTTAACAGACGACGGAAGAACTCCCCACAAACCTGAGAGCGAGGCTCCAGTCATCAACGTAGAAACCCCGAGACCTTTGGTTAGCCCCACCGGAGCTGCTCAGCTTCGCCGAAGCAGTACTGCCAACCTTGTCAGTCCACCCTACTATTGCTCCTTCAATTGCTGCTAACGACGATTTCAGGCTCCTTTTCAGGCAGTGGTACTACTGCTATTATTCCCGCTACTGCTTCTCCTTTTGTTGCTGCTGTGGCGCTGTCCGCCATGCAGGAGAAAGCGGCCCTCCTTACGGACGCCCAGAAGCTGTGGGGGGTTCCATGGGCGACAGAGGGGCCCCCGCCGGTTCCCGCGGAAGGTTTGCGGCTTGAAGGGGGGCCCTGGGTGCCTTGGGACAAACTAGTCGCGTGCCTTGCGGGAAGGCCCTGCAATACCTGCAGCACCTTTAGCAGCAGTAGCGGCTGCTACTCCTGCAGCGGGCCTTCCTTTTCTGTTTTCCTGCCGGAGCAAATGCTTGAGGGGGCCCCCCTCAAGGACCTTTACGACTACGAGAAGAGTCTCCTGCCCCTTCAATTTCCTCTCAGGGCCTCGGTGTGCCTCTTGCAGATTCCCAAAAAAGGGCCTTCCCAAGCCGCCGCGGCCGCAACAACAGCAGGTAGAGCAGCTGAGGAAGAGAGGACAGCTGCGGCAAAACGGAGGCGTTGCCTCAATCACTTCAGGCCCCACACTGTGTTACTGTCTCTCGAGGGGAACCCTACGATGGTCGAGGGGCTGACGACGGATCCCCAGGAACGCTCACTGCAGCAAGGAACAGATGGGCGTCCGGAACGGGGGTCAGATGCCTGTCGGTTTCCACATGCGACAGCTTGCCACTTCCTTAACCTTGATACTATCCTCCCCCAATGGGCTGCGGAGGCCCCTCAGATTGCTGCATGGAGCGCTGCTTCCGCGCTGGGTCCTGCTGGTGCTGGAGCTGATCCTGCTGTCTTCGCTGCCGCGGCACAAATATTGATGGGCCCCGAGAGGACGAACACTTTGGCCGCCGGCTGGGATGCGGAATTTCCGCCTTCTCATGAACTAGGCCTTACCTCTGCAGAGGCATCCGAAGACGCCTCAGCAGCTGGGTTCTCGTCCACAAGCCACTTGCTGCTGCGGCGTCTGAAGGATGCCCTCCTAGCGGAGGACTTAGGGGCCCCCCGTCCGGGGGCAGATTGGAGTGCCCTCCAGATGCTCCGCCTAGCAAGGGGCTTTGAGAGTTTGCTTTTAGAAGGACATACGGGCTCTCCAGTCAGCGCCCTGCTGGATCTAGGGGCAGGGATTTTTGGATTCTTGGTTTTTTTGAGGGCTCCCGGTGCTCCAGGGCCCCTCACTGTGTCATGGAGGAGGCCCCTGCAGCAGCACCAGCAGCAGCCGGTAGAGGGGCTTCTGCATCATCAGCAGGGAAAACGGCGGGGGCCCCTTGTCGACGCTATTGTTTGCCCTGGAGGTTTGCCCAAAGAGGGCGGCGGCGCTCAGGGGCCTTTACAGCAGGGTTTCTTGGGGAGTGCATGCACACACTACAGCCTAGACGAATTTTTGCAGCAGCAGCCCCTCTGCTTTCGTGTGCAAAAGTGTCCCATTGTAGGCCCTGAGAATGGGGGTCCCGGATGCTACTCTGTCTGGTTCAAAGCAGAGGTGGAGGCCCTTTGGGGCCCCTCAGATGGGAGCCCCTACCTGGTGCTGATGCCCCATCTCCCGCACGCAGGCCTGATACCTTTCCTTCGTCTTTCTCTTACACCCTTGGGGTCTCCGCGCAGGTTGCCTCTACGTGGCGCCCTCGAAGAAGGCTGCAGCGCCTCAGAAATCTCTCTAGAGGAGTGCCAGAGTTACACCAACGTCCACCTCGGCTCCAAGGATCTTCGAACCCTTCCCATTTTGCCTTTCCTGAAGGTTTCACTCACAAGCCAACGCTTTCCCCACCAAGACCACCGGCATCAGAAACAGCCGCAGCATTCCTACGTAGGTAAGTATCTGCTTCTACTTGAGGCCGCCATCCCTAGCCCCTCACGTGCCGTCCATTGCGCCCTCACTGTAGCCCTCCCTCCTCCGGTGTCATCCGAGGAGGAGGGCCCCATACTGGAGGGCCTTGCTGGATCTGAAGCTCCACCTGCACCTGTGGGGGAGCCCTCCCAGGAGGGCCCTGTTTCCCTGCACACGCCTCTGGTCATTCGTCCTCTCCCCATCAGTTTTAAAGCTAGCTGGGCAGGGGATTCCCTGTGGGGCCCTGCGGGGCGCTACCCCGGGTCCAAAGACCTTTGCAATTACTCCGACCAAGACCGTTTTCTTGTCTGCAACCTGCGAATAGTGGCCAGAGGTCCGCAGACAGTGCGTGTTTCTCTTTCCTTGAAGCTTGAGGGGGGAAGCCAAGGAAACTGTCTACAAGTGCAGCTGCTGCGGCTTGACAGAAAGACAGCCTTCGATGCTACGAGAGAAGCTTCGATTAAAGACAACGCCCTGCACGCAATCCCTGATGCCCCGCTAGAAGGGCCCCTGGCAGAAGCAACTGAGACACCAGCAGCAATCCCCAAGGCCCCTCTAGCTCCCAAGGCATACCCTCAACGGAAAGGGGCTTCCGAATACGACGGCCATTCCCACCCTGGAAGTCCCCCCCGGAGGCCGGAAGAGGTCCTGCTGCTGCAAGAAGACGGCCCCAGTGTGTGTATTTTCCCCGATGTGCATCTATCACCGGAAGTCCCCTATATTCTCAGGGCTCATTACATTGGCGCCTGTGGGCAGTCTGCAGAGGCCTTCCCCCATGCATCCACTTGCTCTCAACCAAGCAAAAGCCACGGCAGGAGCAGCAGGTGCAGCTGGCTACTAGAAGTTGTTGGGAGCGGGGAGGTGCTCGTGGGACCCGATATCAGCAAAGAAGAATTTAATTTCGCGTGGCTGTCCCGTTGTGACCCAGATAGGGGCCCCCGGGGGGCACGCAGCCGTAATTCGTATCTCAACGGGCAACGGGGAGGCCCTTTCTGGCGGCCCTTACTCGAAGGACGGCCAGCGGGCGTCGGAGAAGCTCCGGATATATATGCAACTACGCTCCAGCAACTGCAGTTGCTGGTACACTGGAAGGCGCAGATGTCCATCGAAGACTTCTTTCGGGCCTTGCAGTTTGAGGCACTCGAGGGCCTCCAACAAGATAAGGGCCGTGCCGCAACCGAAGACGGGCCCTCTGCTTCAGCATGTTCCCTGCCTCGGTGTGCTCTTCAAGAGCGCTCCCCCAGCAGCAACCTACAGGCTTTAGAAAGCCCTCAGGACGAATTCCGCGGTTCTCGAGATTCTCAGGGTAGAGAGGAAACACAGAGTTCCCCTTTCGACTTGACACTGGAAATGTTCTGCAGCAGCAAGCTGCTGTCTGAGGGACCTCTGGGGACACTTTTGGGGTCCGTGGACGTCCGCAAGCGCCTTTACACGGAATGTTTGGGGCCCCTTGTTGCTGCAGCGGGAGGCTCGGTGACACCCCCGTTGATGGCTGCAGCCATGGAGAGAGCAGCATGGGGTTCTTCCCCAAAAGGCCCAGAAGAAGACGGAGTTTTCCCCAAGGGGGCCGCTAACTCCAAGAAAGGGCAGAGCCCCCCAGATAAGAGGCCCAAAGGACCTTCAGAGAGGCCCCGCCAGGCAGTAACTGTAGCACCTAGGGGACTTCAAAGTAAAGGAGGCAAGGATGATGCTAAGCGGGAGAGGAGCCTCTCTGTTGTGTGCTCCGAGGGCCCTGCACTGCAGCCTTCTAAACCCCATTACTTAAGGAGCCCTTTCAAGCCCGAGATTTACGTACATCCTCTGCTACGCCGCTTTGCGGAGTCTATTTCGGGTACTTGGCCCTACAGGACCGTGACCGCCTCTTCATCGAGCGGTGTCTCTGACCCCCCTAGGCTGTCTCGAGGGTCCCCCGTGATTGCAAGCTCCTTCCAGCCATCGCACGACTGCAGCACCATCCCTCAGACACAAACTGGACACCCATGGGAACCCCAACTTGGCGAGGCCCGGTGTTCAAGCCCATCGCAAAGAAGTTCCTCAGAACTGCTTGAGGCGACGGTGGCTTACATAGAAGAGGTGCGTGCCCTCCTGCAGCAGCCTCAGCAGGAGGAGCAGCAAGCAGAGTATCAGGTTAAGATTGGCTGTGAAGCTAATGGCGTTCTGGGCCTTGGGGGCCCCCCTCAAGCGTTGTCAGGCACTTTTTCGCACATGCGCGGGGGCCTTGCGAGAGCGCGCGAGTCCCTGCGGGCATTGCAGCAGAAGCGGCGAGATGTGCTAGTAGCCTATGAAGAGATCTTTGAGGAGGAAACATGCAAGGATCTATCACGGCCGGCCCTCACGAAGTTGTTGGATCAGGCCATCGACGCCAAACTTGCGGGGCCACATGCACCCATCGTTCGCAGGATAGAAAACACACTAAACGCGCTCAACTATGTACAGAGGTAAACTAAGATGCGGCTGTTGCCACTGGTGTCGCTGTTGTTGCCGTTGTTATTCTTACTCCACCCCTTCGCGAGCCCCTCTGGGAGCCCTGCTCAGCTCTGATGGGCCCTAGTGTACCCTGTTGCTGCAGAATGCAAGAAATTTTGGAAAAGACCACCAGCGGCACTAGTTCCGCCGCGAAAAGGGACGAAAGGAGGTCCCCCAAAAGAAAGCACGAAAAAGATACAGAGGGGCCCCTGCTAGGCCCAGAGGAGGTCGGCGAACTGAGGTCCTTAATCACTGCGGTGGAGGCCCTTGAAAGGGCTCCCATCCCAACGGCGCCTCTCATACCCCCCAAAGTTGCTGTGGTCATTGCACATGCACGGGAAGCAGTCCTAATAAACAAACAAGGACCCTCCCTTCAGATGATCAGCGGGAGCGCCCTATAGAAAGCCCCTAAAATGGGGTCCTCTACAAAAGACCGCATGACTCGCAGGCCCCCTCATGCACACCGATATCCCTAGTCCCGCGCTGTAAGGGAGCCGTCTGCTAGAAGCAGGCTCTCCCCAGGCGTCGGTTCCTTGCCTCGAACGCTCAGGAAGAGGGCCCCTTTGTTTTGGGGGGCTCTTGTTCGCGCAGCAGCTGCAACTTACTGGCATGTCGTGCATCCCTGGGGGCCCGCCCCCTTGATGCTCTTCCGTTCCTGCTCCCCTTCTTCGAAGACCCCTGTGCGTCTGTTCCTTGCATGCTCCTCTCTCGCGGGCCGTGTGAGGGGGGGGGCCCCCTGCGTAGCCGTACAGCGGGCCCCTCCTGCTCTCTGGCTGTTGGTAACCCTGGGTCCTTAAGGGAGCACCCTCCCTCGGGATGTGCACCCTGCTGGGCAAGTTTTTCAAAGTGGAGAGACTCTGCAACAAGAAGGATGGCCAGCTCCGTTTCCCTCTCCTCCTGTTCGATATCCGAGAGGCTGGGGCCCACAGGGGCAAATCCTTGAACCTTCGCTGCCGCCTGGGGGCCCCACCGGTTGCAACTCGCATCATACCCAGGGCCCCCAAGACTCCGGGCGGCGGCTCCCCGGGGCCCCCTCAAAGGAAAAGCCTTGCCAGACGCACCCTCATGAGGCCGCTGCTGCTGCTGCTGCAACTCCTCTTCCATCACCTGCCTAATACTCGCGACAGAAGAGGCCCCCTCGCCTTCCCTTGGAGGCCCCCACCCGCGCCACACTGCTGCGGGAGGGCCCACGGGGTCGGCAGGAGGCCCTTCAGGGAGCTCGCGCATCCCGAGGCTGCGAAGCTTCAGAGCCCGCTTGCTTGGGTGCACTCGGGCAAGAGACTCCAACGAGACTTTCATAGGGCCGCCCACCCTTGTTGAGGCGGCTGCTGATGCTCCGTCGAGCACCTCTGTCGAGGCTGAAGAAGGGGTTGGCCTCTGCGAAGAAGTCGGGAGAGGCTTGTTTGGGAGGCCGCCCCTTGCGGGATGGTCATGAGTACCCAGCACCGTCGAGATCCGTAAGGAGGCGTTCCTAACGGGAAGAGCGCACAGGGGCCCCCGCACAGGCTGCCACTGTTGCGTCAGCGCCTGGGGCGCAACACGCTGCTCGTCGTCTTCTTGCGATGTTACACTGCTTTGGAGCAGCTGCTGCGTCTGAGGCTTTTGTTTCCACTGAGAAGTAGTAGTAGTAGTACTAGTAGTAGTAGTAGTAGTAGTAGTACTAGTAGTAGTAGTAGTAGTAGTAGTAGTACTAGTAGTAGTAGTAGAACTAGTAGTAGTAGCAGCGGGAAAAGGCAGAGGTCCTCGCGTGGCAGCGGCAGAAGGCCCTCCTGCAGAGGCTGGTATTCTGGCTGTGGGGCCCCCAGATTTGGCATCTTTCGGCGACCTCTTCTGTTGTTGCCGTTGCTTCTGCTGGTGTTGCGGCTCCCTGAGCTCTTCGAATTGGCAGTGCAGCTGCTTATCCTGCCCCTTGTGCTGCTTGTGCTTTTGCGGTTGCTGCTGGCGGTCTTTGGGGGGTTGCTGTGCTGGCTGCACTCGCAGCAGTTGCTGCTGCTGGGGTGGCTGGTGCTGGTCTTCTACGACGCCCCCGTCGGACAGGCCCGCAGCAAGAGCCGCCGTGGGTAGTACACCAAGGACGGGGCCCTCTAAAGCGGCAAATACCGACAGCCAAGCCTCTCGAGGGAGGCCCCTGGGGCCCCCAAGAAGGCTGTCGGGGGGTAAGAACACAGTCTTCAAGAGGCGGGGCCAGGAGCCTCTCGCCACGGAGTTGCTTTCTGCAACATGGCCATCGTCGCCACTCTCCTGCGCAAAGCCGTTGGAGAGTACTCTCTCCTCTGGCGCCTCATTTGAGGAATCTTTGCCATTGTGTCGGACGTCAAATAAGTGAGGCTCTTCAGTAAGAGCACCGGCTGCGGCAACCTGAGCCAGTAGAAGCTGCATGCCTGCAGCGGCGGGCCGCTGCAGCAGCAGGGGCTGCTGCTGATGCTGCAGCTGCTGCTGGCTGTGGCAGAGCGAAAGCTGCAACAGCAGCAGTGGGAGGTTGAGCAGCATGGAGCAGCAGCAGAAAGTGAAGAGCTCGGGAAGCTGCAGCCTTGCGCTGATGTCGGACAGATACAACATATCGGAAACAGCAGCACAACGAGACGCCAAGTTGCTACAGCAAAGCAAGGTCAAAGAAGGACAGCATCCCTCCTCTCCCTGGTGCTGGCGTTGCCGCTGCAGTTGTTGCTGCTGCCCCTGTTGCTGCTGTTGAAAGAGAGGAAATGAGACGGGGAAACGGGGGAGTGTGAGGGAGACGGTAGCAGCGCCGTGGCTGCTGCTTGCCGTGGCGCACTTCACTCCGCCCAGCGGCAGCAGCTGAGGTGTATCAGCAACAACTGCAGCAGGAGCTGCAGCATCTCTCAAGGAAATAGTGTACAACAGGCCCAAGTCCGTCACGCCAAGCAGCTGCTGGGGGCCCCCAAACAAAACACTCGTAAACGTGGGAAGAGCCGGCCCCTCCTGAAAATCTCCTGCATGCGTAATCAGGTGCATCTCGGGGGGCCTCGCATCTGACCTCCAGACGCACAACCTGAGCAGCCCAAAGGCAGAAAGAGAGTCGTGCGAGACACATTACGGGATCCACAAAAGTAGTAGATGCAGTGGCGTCAACAGCCGTCCCCCTTAGTCTGTTTCCAAGAGCGCAGGCGTGCAGGAATAAGGCAAAAGCAGCAAACGCAACATCGGCCTCAGCAGCAGCAGCATAGTCTCTACAGCACGAAAGAGAGCCTCCAGAAGGCGTCCGCGACGTATATACGCACTCTCCACAGGCGGTCAGTGAGGCCCCTCCAAAGTCGGAAACACAAATATAGTTCAGAGGAGGGGCCCCCTGACCCGTCAGCTGCTGCTGCCAGCCCCCTTGAGCGGCTCCCCGATCGCCAGGCGAGGAGGCCCCTCCAGAGGGCAAACGGGAATCTCGGCTGAATCTAATCGGCAGAGGTTTGAAGTACAACTCCCACAGCTTTGCGAAGCCGCCGCCGCTGCGGAGGGCACAGTGTGAAGACTGCTGTTTGACGCATTGGTGCTGTTGCTGCCGCTGTTGCAGCGGCGGAAGAGGCCCTCCTGGAGGGGCTGCAGCAGCGACTGGGCAGCCTCCCCATATGAACACTTCTGCACCAGCCAGCCACACCACAGGCCCTATAGGCACCGGCACGCTTAACGACTGCAGCCTCAGCCGCAGCCGCGAGCCAGACCAGCACCAGTAGACAGCATGCGCTTCCCTCTTCCCTTCGCTCCCTCCCCCCTCCCCCTGCCTCCACACACACGAGCCACTCCCTTCCCCGATGACTCCACTCTTCTGCAATGCTGCTACAAGGCTCTACAGACGAGGCCCTCAACTGAGTCGCTACGGCGGACCTCAAAGAACATTGAATAAGCATACAGACACACACACCCATACACAGATGTGCATGAACCGGCTTTCTTTCCCACACACGCACACACACACTCACAAACCCCACGACACCCCAGTGACTGCCCATTGTTTCCTAAGGCCGCAGAGCTTGCGCGTGAGGCGTACGTACGCTGAGGCGACCCCGTCAAAAGGGCCGAAGTGTTTCCATGCGCAGCTATCTGAGTGGCGGGAGGCAGCTTGAGGGCCTCCGGTTGCTCCACGTAGGCAACCGTAGACGGCTGCGCGCACTGCCCCCTTGAGTTGCAGCCGAAGCAAAGCGCTTGCCCTTACACACACCACCATTTCCACAAATTCGAAAGCCGAACGTTGCGAGGCAGAAGGAGCAGGCGGAGTCTTTGGACGCCTCGCAGTTCTATGCGTGGTTAAAAGGCTTAGCGCGTTTGACCAAGGGGCTTCAAAAGCCGTACCATGGGAGAGCAACAGCAGGACGTGGCGATCTCCCGCAGCTACGGAAGAGACACAGAGCCTCAGGGGGTATTTGGGGGTGCAGCACGAGGCCGCAACGGGCAGACCGGCCGCCCCTCCATGGGGCCTCCTGGAGGCCCCATGGCGGGGGGGCCCCTCCGGGCTCTCGAGTCGCGACGCGAGAGCTCCTTTACTCGGCATCCTCCCGGGAGGCCTCCTGGATGCCTGAGCCAGCAGCTGGGGGCCCCCAGGAGCGCCTGCATGCCCTCCGCCGAGCTCCCTTGCTGAATGCCTTCTTGCAGCGGCTGAGGGGCCCCCATGCACGGAGGCGCTCTTCAGCAATGCGTCGGGGCCCCACACGTACACGAGGGCCTCCGGAAACTCCGTTGCGTCCCCTTCAGAGTGCGTCTCCAGGGGGCCCCCAGGGGGGCACTCCCTATACACCAGGGCAAGGCCATGACGCACCCCTAGGGCGACCTGAAAAAAACAGGAAGTCGCAGCAGGCTCCTCAAGACTCCCTGTAGGCGCCTGCCTCCTCTTAGCCAGAAGGCTGCACAAGAGGCCCACCCACTTTAGTTCACCGCCGGCCCTCTTTCCCCCGTGTGCCCCTTTCTCCTGCTTCCCCCTCGGTGCCTCCAGGCCAGAATAAATATCGTGAATGAACAATTTCAAATAAAAGAAACGTTAGAAAACACAGTCGGTGCCTTCGCTATTTATTTGATACTCATGTTCTCATGAATTTTTAGATCCACAATCATGTTCATGAATGCAGAGTCTCGAGAATGTCTAGGCGCGCATGGCTGCAGGGGCGTGCTGTCAATCTTTGAATGCTGAGTCATGCATGCAGTCATCTATGGGGAGTCTCCGTACCTGCACGACCTGCAGGGGGCCCCCTGGGCCGTCAGACCCCGCTCGCACGTCCTCCGTAGGGCCCCCCTTCGACGGGGACGAGCGAAGAGGGCCTCTCAAAGGCAAAGGAGTCGGGCTTACAGCGACGCCACTGCCCCCGCCAGCCGAGGGGCCCCACACCCAGAGGGCCCTTCCAGTCGAAGCGGCGGAGCCTCCCGGCCCGCAACAGACGGAAAGGAGGCCCAGACATTCGGACTGCAGGCAGTGGGGGCCCCCACAGGCGCTGCACCGAAAGGCGCCCTTCTGAGACTCGCCTGGATGCGCCATGCTCCGGAGGTTCTCTTTGTTCTGCTGCTGTTGCTGCTGTTGCTGCTCAGAGGGAATTCTAAGGGGCACCCTGGTGGGGGCCCTGTCTTTGCTGTCTCCGCGGCAGGAGAAAATGGGGAGGCCGAGCAGAAACGAGTCCTGGGCGCCCCAGGTGTACAGGCACCTCGCGAAGCGCAGCCCCAAAGGGGCCCCTGAGCGTTCTCGGGGGCCCTCTAACGGCAGCATGCGGGCCCCCAGAGCGTTGCATGCAGCCGAAGGGCTGGAGGGCCCCCCTTCAGGCTGCAACCCCAAGGGCAGCGGCAGCAGCTGCGACAGACGAGCGGCCTCGGCTGCAGGGGGAAGGGGGGGCCCCGCGCTGCAATACTCACACTGGCTGGGGCCCTCTGCTTCCCCAGCAGACGAGGCCCCCTTCGGCACCAAGCACGCCGAGCACAAGGGCAAGAATTGACAGAAGCAACTGGCAGGGGCGAGGGAAGTCTTTGCTGCTGCTTCTTTCTGAGAAAAGTCGGGGGATCCCGCTGGTCTGCTGCACACGTCGAGCCTCTTGTCAGTGCTTGTGCTTGCGCTGAGGCTTTTGCAAGGAGCGGCAAAGTCTGATCGTTGACTGAGCGCAGCGGCTGCGCGTTCGCAAACGGATACTGGCGGTTGCAGCTGCAGCAAAGACGGGGTCTCTGGTAGCTTCTCAGCTGCTCCAAAGGGCCTCTCCACAAAGGGGCCCTTGACAAGGCTCTGCTGCAACAGTTGGAAGGCGCAAAGGAGGTTCCCTCTTCTAAGCAGCCGCGACACCCCGAGAGCCGCACATGAGCTGCAGCAGCTAAGACAGGAAACCAGGGGGCAGGGAGCCACCGACAGGGGCCCCTCCGATTGGCCTGTCTGGGCTCTAAGGAATAGCGAGTTCCAGGGGCCCCGGGGGCCCCTCTCCGGAGGAACGGCCATGCAACAGCAGAGCCTAGCGTGAGCCCCCTAGCGAAGACAGCTCGGGGGCCCTAGAGAGCCTCGCTGCAAGTGCTGCAGCGAGGCGAGAGAAACAGAATGCGAGACAGGGGGCCTCGCAGAGCAGACAGCGCGCTGGAGGGTCGGCCCTCCCGTGATCCTGGTGGACGGTACTTGAAGGGGGTCGAGGGAGGGCCCTTCTAGGGAGAGACGAGGGGGAAAATCCTTGCAAACAAGGAGATCGTTGTATCAATATGAAGAAATGCCACAGAAAAACAGCATCAGCACGCTTGGTTTCCGGGATATCATAGATATATCCCAAGCATCCAGCAGACCCATGAGGGGCCCCTCCCGGGGGGCCCCTCCAGGAGGGGCCCCCCCTCGGGTACGAGGAAGACAAGCATGCACACAAGGTGCACCAGGCCTGCCAAGCGTAACTGGAGCCTTTAATTCCTTCAGCGTAGAGCAACTCAATAGCCCCGAGGATCCTCCTTCCCAAGATCTCCTCATAAGGGGGCCCTTCCCCTCGGGAGCTCGCGCTTTGAATGCTCGTGCATGAGCTCCTGAACGTCCTAAGAGGGGCCCCAAGCCCCACGCGGGTTCCCCAATGGTCTCAAGGAGCTCCCACAGAGGGCCCTGCCCCTTGTGCAGCGGTCGCTTCTGTCGGCTGTTCCTCCCGCTGTTGCTGCTGCTGCAGGTTGCTTCCAACGGAGGCGCTGCCTTTCGAATTTCTGGCACGAGCTGTGCTGCAGCTTCCCAGCCGAAAGAAAGCTCCAGGCCGAGTTCTCTTCATGGGAGGCGTCTGGACGCCTCGAAAGGCGTCGAGGCCCCTCACTTGTGCATGAACGCACTCCACTCAACAAGTTGCCTTCCTTCCCATCCGCCATCATCGGGGGCTGCCTCGGAGGCTCTAGCCGAGGAGATTCTTTCTCCGCTTCCCCGGAGAGTTCCTGCGCATATTGAAAGGCCCCCCTACGCCCAATGGGGCCCCTCCAAAGCGGATCCTTCGGAGAACCCCTCCGTGCGGGAGTGCTACATGGAGGAGGAGGAGCAGGAGCAGGCGAGAATGCCTGAGCCGCTTACTGAGGAAGAAATAGCGAGTCAGGCTGTAGCCATTTGCTGTGGCAGTTGCTGCTGCTAATCCTGGTGCTACAGCAGTTGCTGCTGCTAATCCTGGTGCTGTAGCAGTTGCTGCTGCTAATCCTGGTGCTACAGCAGTTGCTGCTGCTAATCCTGGTGCTGTAGCAGTTGCTGCCGCTAATCCTGGTGCTACAGCAGTTGCTGCTGCTGATCCTGCTGCTGCCATTGACTATGCAGCTGCTGTTGCGAAGAGAGTCTACCCCTTCCTCCCCCCCTCCTCCCTCCCTCCCGCGTAGAGCCACAACTGCCCATGCACTGCTTAGTGTTACTCTGTCCCTTCAAGTTGCAGCTGCCCTCTTCCTGTTCTTCAGCCTACTGCTGCTGCTGCAGCTGCTGGCGTGGCTGCTCTTCTTGCAGGACTGCGGGCTGCATGCCGTTCGGCGCGCTTCGTGCTGGACAGCTGCATGAGCCTCCTCTCCCCGCCACTCGAATTAGGAGGCCTCTCGCAGCACTCTCAGCCTGAGTTGCACGGCAACGGGTTCATCTGGAGGGGCCCTCATGGGGGCCCCTGGCCGTCTCAGTGGATTTCTGCAGCGACGGAAGTCGCAGCTCTCTGCACTGCGTCCAAGCTACCTCTTAGTGGCTTATTGATAGACTTCTTCTGTCACCGCGTAGCCCTCGCTATAGGGGCCTTCCCCTCGCCTCTCGGCTACAAGGGCTATCCCAGAAGCTGCTGTGTTTCTCTGGATCACGTGCTGTGCCACGGTACGTGCGTGCAAGACGTAGCCGCTCGACCTCAACACCGTCCGATCCTGCTTGCGCTGACTGAGCACGATGCCGTGCGGTAAAGACGCCTGGGAACACTCTGCGGAGGTGGCAAACGCTGCTTATAGGGAATGTTGCTCAGAGTGAATGCTGCTCAGAGTGAGTGCTGCTCAGAGTGAGTGCTGCTCAGAGTGAAGGCTGGCTGCTTGGAGTGAGATTCTTTGAGTAGGCATACCCAGTTCGACGCCTTTGGAGCCTGGCTCCCTCGTCTCTGTGGATGTGACCCTCTTTCTCGACGGCTTTCACGGAGACTGCTGTGCCTCGGCGCTCTACACGCCTCCCCCAGAGGCCTCTGAGGATCTTCCTTTGCAGACTTCCTCGCCTTTCTCGAGAGGTTCTCTTGAAAGGAAGAAGCGACTCATTGAGGTCGCAAAGAAAGCGACGCAAAGAGGCATCGACGCCTGCAGAGAGGGAGCTCCGTGCGTGGCAGCTCTCAAGGCTTCTTTTTCTTTCCACGTCGGCCCTCTCAGACCCTCCTGCGCCGCTTGCCGCTGCTGTGTTGCCGCTCTATGCCGTGTCTGGCTCAACAGCCAGTGCCTTCTCGTCGTGCTGACTAACGGACCCCCCCTTGTCGACGGGGGCCGTCCACATGAGTGAGGACGGCAGGACGCTGCTCCGTCACCGCCCTTGCGTGTGACACACGGCTGCCAGCGCTTGTGTGCGTTCTGCGCCTTCCCCTATGGATGCTGCTGCAGACTCTCTGTGATTGGTAGAGCGATCGAGTCTTTTTTAGGATCAGAAGGCTTCTACTCTCCCCCAGCCCTCTGCGGCCATGGCATTGGCAGGCGCTTCCACCAGCCTCCGTTGGTACGCCTCACAGCAATGCGCCTTTTCGCCAACTCCATCCAGCCGGCAGCTCTCCCTAGCGCCCTTGTCTTTCGCTTTCTTCCCTCCCCTGCGTCTCTTCTGCACCAATCTCTTGGCTCGATGCGTCCAACACAGCCCAAAAGACCTCCACGCGCCGTCGCTGTACCCCTCTCAGCCTCGTTCCTGCGCCTCCAACCTTGTTTCCTATACTCTGCTCACGTCCTCAGCGCTTCTCCCCTCCAGTATCTATCTCCGATATGTATATATGTTAACATGTATATTTGTGCCTCTCTGGTAACTTTCTCTCTAGCTAACTGCCTCTGAATACCTGTCTCTCTGAATACCTGTCTCTCTGAATAACTGTCTCTCTGAATACCTGTCTCTCTGAATGACTGTCTCTCTGTGTAACTGCCTCTCTGAATGACTGCCTCTCTGTGTAACTGCCTCTCTGTCTAACTGCCTCTCTGTCTCTCTGACTAGCTGTCTGTCGCAAATTTGCCAGCTACCTCTCCAACTTGGTAGTAGTCCTGCTCCCTCTTCCTCTGTGTCGCGCTCTTACTTGGCGCGTTGCGCTGCGTGGTGGTCGGTGGCGATGCTCTCCCCACCCACTTCCCTCCACACGCAGCAGGCAGGGCCCTGATTGAGCTTGGGGGCCCCCCGTTTGCTGCTTGGACTCGCAGATTCACCACACATGGGCCCCCTTCGCCTCCGGATCGTTCTACCAAGGCCTCGCATTTACAGTCGAGCCGGTGGTTTGCCCTTCTGCTACCGACCTGAAGTTAGAAGCCGACCAGTGGACAGTCTCTGCGACAAACAAATTACCGTCAGCTCCCCCGCTCGCTTCTCATGCTTCTGCAGCGCTTTGTTTCTAGCTGCTCTTTCACTCGCACTCCTGACGTTCCTGCTCGCGCGACAGCGTGAACAAGTGCCGCTACGAGGGATTCTGCTGCCGCGGCTGCGGCTGCTGCGTGTGCTCTCAGCGGTGCGCAGTTCGAAGAAACCGTTCTCATAGGCGCGCAAGGCCCCGAAATTCTCACGAAGCCCTAGGAGAAAGGGCCCCCTAAAGGGAGTACTACTACCCTAAGGAGGCCGTTTGCTGGCACGGGAGTACTACTACCCTAGGGAGGCCGTTTGCTGGCACTCCTATGGGAAATGCGCCTTCTCAGCGCGAAGGGTACCCAGCGGCGCGACGAGCCCTTCTGCAACCCTAGTAGAGACGGCCTTCCAACCAGGCCCAATCCTAGTCGACCCCGACAACAGCGGAAATCCTACCCAACTCACGGCTGCAAATCCTCGCCGCCTTCTCCCCCCCCGCACACGCGTCAGGGGCAGCCCTCTGTAAAACCCCTAACCCTGCGAAACTGGCGAGGCAGGGGCAGAGCGCCTGCCTCGTCAAGAGACAGAAGAGTCGCATGGAGGCCCTTCTTGCCTGTGAGGCCTCTCTGGTGGCTGCTCACGGGGGGCAGCGGAAGCGCCTGCATAAGGATGGGCCCGCGCACGAAGGTGCCTCTTTCGGCGGCTGCTCTTAGACGCGCCGCGTCTCTTTGGCGAGCCGCCATCCGATGCCGCTTCTGAAGGCGGAGAAAAGGGGCAGAGGGCTGCAAGGGCCCTCGCGTCGATCTCTGGGAGGGCACTGGCGGCAGCCCCCGCCTCCGCGCTGCTGCAGCTGTGCATGCAGCAGCTCACAAAGCCACTGCTGCGGCGGGTGCTGATTCGTCGAGTCTGCCGAAGCCACGAGTGCTCTTCTTTGTGGGCTTCGCGCTCTCGCTGCTCGGTGACTCTAAGGGCCTCCCTGCCAATCCTAAAGTCGGCGGCCGTCGCGTCATGGAGGGCACCCAGGAAAGGGGCCCCCCGCTCCCCGTGCAGGCCCTGCTGGGGGCCCTCGTACAGCTCCCCGTGCAGGAGATCCGGTTGCGCGCCAAGCGTGCCTGGCTGGCTCCCTGGGGCCCCCGATCGGGCTGCGTAGAACGCATGCGAGGCGAGGCAGAAGGCCCCCACGATGAGCGCGTGGTGCTCGTAGGGATTTCTGTTGAATTTGCTGCTTGCCAGAGAGAGAGGCAGCGCAGATGCGCCCAGAGACGCCAAGTCCAAACTCGTGGGCCGGATGAGACTGTCTATTTCGCTCAGGGCCCCGAGGGCCCCCACCCGGGGGCCCCGGCGCAGCGTTCGGCGACGCCCAGAAGGCGCGGAGGGCCCCCCCCCCGCTTCTGGAGCAGCGGCAGAAGACAACGGCCGCTTCGATGCACGGTGCAAGACTCGGAGGGGCTCCTCGCTTGTCTCGCCTTTCGGAGCTGCCGCTGCTGCTGGGGGCTTCTGCGCCTCCTCTTCTTGCTGGTGCGTGGGCTGCTGGAGGGCCCCGCCAAGGGGGGGCCCCTCCAGCACCTGAAATGCCTCTCGCTCTCTTCCGCTCACGTCATCCTCGGAGGCTGCTGCAGCAGCCTGCGCCGCGTCTGGAGAGACAGCCGCTGCATCCGATAAAGCTGCAGCAGCTGGCGCAAGGAGGCCCTCAAAACGCTCCCGGGCTGCTCTGAGGTGCTGCTGCAGCATCTGCTGCTGCAGCGCCAGATGCCGATGAACACATAGGCCGTTGTAGACCGCAGCGAAAGGCGTCGCTGCAAAGGCCTTTGCTGCACTCGCTTCCTCCGCTGCTGCTATTCTTAGGAGGCGCTCGTATCGGGTGCCTGCAGCAGCAGCTGCTGAGCTTTGGCCTGCCGCCGCAGACGATAGCTGAGAAGGGGATTCACAACAACCCACATGCACATACATATACGTGTGCATAAAAGACGCAACTTACATACACACACATACACATGTACATACAAAGACGCAACTTACATACACACGTACTCATGCATTCACAGACACAACCCACACACACATGCATACACACATATACACACAGGGATATACATATATCAACCACTCAAGCGCCATCAATCCCAACACCCAGCAGTGTCCCTTCGCATGTGTGGCACCAGCAGCAGCGCCGGCTAAACAAACACGGAGCTATACAAAGGAAAGCAATACGCAGCAGAACGACAACAAACACACGAGAGAGGCTCCCGAGACGCCAACACTACGCGTGCGCGCGGGACAGGGGAGGCGTATGCCGCCTCTAACCAAGGCGGATGCAAAAATTGCAAAGTCTGATCTTTAGTAATTTCGCATAGCTGGCAATAGATATGTGTCTATACAGACAGACCCAGACGCACACACAGAGGACGGAGCGAGCCGAAGAGAAACACCAGGCCAAGGCGGCAGCGGCACAGAAGACACAGCAACGAAAGGAGGGCAGTAGAAATCTCCACCTACTTCAATTTGAACTGCAAAGCTCTTGAGGTTCTCTCTCCAGTTTTGCCTTAGGACCTCCCGCGTTGCTCTTAGAGTTTGCTTGTCCTTCTGGGTGAGCACACCGTCGATCTCCTCCGCAGGAGGCCCCAGAGGAATTCCCCAATAGCAGCCTCCTTGTTGCCACGTGCAGCGGTACAGGGAGAAGTTGCAGCCTCTATATGCTACAGCCCTCCTCCGTGCAAACGGAAGGAGCGTTCGAGTGGCAAGAGACCTCCAATCCGTTCCCCCTGCATGTAACGGTGCCAAAGACCACGGTTTGAGGGAAGGAGTTCCCAAGAGGAATTTCTTGAGAAGCCTAATCGGCAGCCCGAAGGATCGCACTGAGACGTCGAGCCTCTTGCGGCGGCTGCTGCTGCCAGTCCACTGCACGCGAACCTTGACAGCTGCAACGTCCGCCTCAGCACCAGCTGATGAAAACACCCAGGAAGACGAAGGAGGCGCCCACCTGCGAGCGCAGCAGCAGCAGCAGCATCAGCAGCATCAGTACCAGCATCAGCAGCACCAGCAGCATCAGTACCAGCAGCATCAGCAGCAGTACCAGCAGCATCAGCAGCAGTAGTAATAGCTGAAACGCTGATCTTTATGACCCCGTTGCCTCGTGGGTTCGCTTCTTAGGGGTGCCGCCCCGGTTGCCCTTACGCTGCTGCTGGTTCGCCCTCCTTTAACTGCGGCAAGTAGCTGAGGGGGAGGAAGGCCCCTTCAGAGGCGCTGCGGAGCGGCATCTGGGGGCCCCCAAGCCCTAGGGGGCCCCTCTGCGGCGCCAGCGCCCATCTGGGGTCCCACACGCAACCACACGCAATGCCAGAGCCCCCGTAAGCTATCAATGAATCCGAGGCTCTTCGCTAAGAAAGACACCCCGACGGAAAAGGCTGCCAGAACGTTTGCACCTACTGCCACCCAGGCACAGAGCCCCTCGCGACGGGGGCTGCTGCCCCTTGTTGACTACAGGGGCGAAGGGTAGCGCAAATAGAGATTTTTTCAAGGAGCGTGAAGTCTAGAGTGTGTAGCGGGAGTCACCTCAGGCCGCGGCAGCGCGGTTCCCCTGTGCGTGGTATTCCAAAGACACCGTAGGGAGTCGCCTCCAGCAATATGACAGCAGACCCTGAGCGTATCAAGATGCACAGCCCTCGTCCTGCACGGAAAGGCGTCCCCCACCTCGCGTCTTGTTCAAGAAATTGCACAAAGACAGAGACAGAGAGACAGAGACGGAGGGAGAGACAGAGAGAAAGAGACAGAGGGAGAGAGAGAGAGACAGAGAGAAAGAGACAGACACACAGACACAGACACAGACACAGACACAGAGAGAGAGAGAGAGAAAGAGTAAAGAAAACGGAAACGTACCGAACTTTGCATGTGGAGCCCCCCAAAGGCCCCCCCCGGAAGAAAGGCTCCGCTTTCGACCTGTGGGAAAGAAGACGCAAATTCCCTCCCGGAGCCTCGACTTTCTCAGAAACACCCAAGTGCTGATGAACGTCATGCCCTGCAGCAAAGACAGCAACACGCATGGGTAGCGAGCAGCGGCTCGCAAAGCTACCTGGAGGGCACAAACGCATACACGGCAGTAACCAACGGTAAACGCATACGCAACGGGATTTCTGAGGCGGTGAAGCCCATATATATATTTGCGCTGAAGTCTTTGCCTTTCTTTCCTTTTCTCCGTTCGTGCAGACCTTTCTGGTGAGCTGCATTGCCTGCTGCTGCGGCGCACGCTTGCCGTGCAGCAGTGTCTCCTCGGGGCCCTGCACACACCCGCACGGAAGCACAGCTAATGAGTGTTGTGCATGTGCATGCGCAGCGCGCAGCCAGCCGGCTAGCGGCGGCCTTGGCAAGAATCTTTCCCGCCAAAAAGCGCGCCTAAAATCGGGTGAATTCGAGAACTGTACGCGACCGTTCGGCATGCACGCGCGAGTGGCTGCAGGTTGCACTGGAAAGAGGTCCCCAACACCCACGCCTGTACGGCTCTTAGTGTTTGCCGGAGGCAGATCTGTCGAGGAGGGGCCTCGAGCTGCGCGGCTTATAGCCCCTTCCTCATGCGGTGTGCTCGAGGGTTGCGCGTGGCACCGGGGGGACTATGGCTCGTGGGAATGCCTTTCAAGAGTCTTCCCGTCAGGCTCGCATGGGGAGAGAGATACCTTGAAGGCTTCAGGTGTCTTGCAGGGTCCTAAATAAAAGACGGCAAAGTCGGGAAATATCTGTTGCAGCTCCTAAACAGCGCAGCACGGCAGCCAAAGAGCGGCGATCAGAGACCCTTGAAGAAGGCAGCCCGCGTAGCGGCAGCGGCTGCTGCTGCTGGCGCTGCACCTTCAGAAGACTCTCAACGGACCCAGAGAGTCGAGCGAAATGCTAGGGCCTTATACCTGCTGAAAAGCTTGCTTTATCACCTCCTCCTCCACTGGTAGGGGACCGCCGGTTGACTGCCTACGCAGCAGCAGTCTCAGAACGAGCACGACACACCACGCGATGAGGCCCTCTCCCCCAGCCTCCCGCGCCCTTCAAAAGTGGTGGTATCCGCGATCATCTCGAAACGCATGCACGGAGGAGGCCGTCTCAAGGACGTGCACTCGCCGCGTTCTACGGGGGCCCCCTCAAACACTTTGGCCTCCTAAGAAGGTGCCCTCCAGAGACGCCAGTGTGTGCGGGGTGTGTGCTTGCCTGGGTAGCGCGTGAGAAATCCCGTCCTCGCCAGCCTCGTCAAAAGGGCACGCTGCCTCCGGTGGCTCTGCTGCGAGGGCCCCCAGCCTGACGAGAAAAAAGGGGAGAGGGCTCAAGCAGCCGATAATGACGGGCAGTGGAGAAGAAGTGCGCCGATGAAAGGTCCGCGCAGACAGAGACGAAAATCTCACAGCGGCCTGCCTGACGCGAAGAGGCGTGGGGCCCCCACTCCTAGGGTACAGTTCTATTTGTGGATCTGCCTTTTCCGTGAACGCACCGTTTTCGCATGAGATCTGCGCTGAAGAAGACCCCAAAGCGCCTCAGCATCTCGCGAGCGCGGCTGCAACAGGCACAACGGGAGTCAAGCCTCCACGAATTCAATGAATCCCATAGGTGACGAGTTGGGATTTTTCATGGCTTTCGATCTCGCTCTCAAAATCCCTATGCGCCGTCCCCCTCGTGCACCGCAGACGAGGCGCCTTTCTGACACGCCTTGCAGCGCTGCTAAGGGCATGATGGATGCAAAACGAGGCAAAGGCTGTCAGCGCTGCCTTCCGAAAAGCTGTGCGGACTAGGGCCCTCCCGCAAGGGACCTGTGCGCCTGCGCGGCGGCTCTAGTTTCGAGCGAGCAAGCCGATCTTCCTCCTCTTCTACCCCCGTCCCCCTTTCGCTGTCTTGCCTTGCTGCGACGCGAGCACAGCGTGCGTGCTGTCACATCCCAAAGGCAGGCTCGCCCCACGGAACTGTGCAAGAGGCTTACCAAGCAGGCAGAGAACGGAAACGGAAGAGCGACGTGGCCCTACTGGGGGGACGAACTCCAGCGTCATAACCGAGGAAGGAACGCTGAGTAGACGCGTGCATACCAAGCCCACACTCCCAGGTTGATGGAGAGGAGGAAGGCAAAGCAGCGCGAAGCGCTGTGCAGCGCTTCCAGCGTAGACACTGCAAGGCGGCAGACGAGGCCGCAAAAAGCAGCAGCGCTCTCAGCGGCTCTTTCGAACAAGCGCCTCCCTCAGCGTGTGTGTCGTTTCTAGAAACTCTGCAGCGGCGTCCTACCGTGAGCATCTTCTCGTCGTTTACGCGGGGAGGGCCCCCCTGGACGTCGGGTGCGGTCCCCTGCCGTGCTGCTGTCATGAAAGTCGCGTTAGAGAGCGCCTCTTGATCGGCAGCAAAAGGGTCGCTCAAATGGGAACTCTTCGCCTCCAGCAGGGGTCGGGGCCCCACATGCAGCAGCAGATCTCGGGGGGCCCCAAAGAAGGCCTTGCAGACGCAGCATTGCAGCAAAGAACGCGACGCGCCTACTGGAACGGCCTCAGGAGGCCCCTTAAGGGCTGCAGCCAACTGAGACAGCATCCCTGAAGAGGAACCTGCCCCGCCATCGAGCAGATCCGTGGCTTCGTCTTGGAGTGCTGCCTTGGGTGCCTTCTGCTTGCTGCTACACAAAGCTGCTGCTCTTTCTGCTGCTGTTGCAGTTGCAGTAGCTGTTGCACTTGCACTTGCACTTGCAGTTGCTGTTGTTGTTGCACTTGCACTTGCAGTTGCTGTTGTTGTTGCACTTGCACTTGCAGTTGCAGTTGCTGCAGTTGTTGCACTTGCAGTTGCAGTTGCTGCAGTTGTTGCGCTGTCAAACTCTGCGCTGCGGGCGGCTCTACTGGCGCGGCGCGTCAAGGGAGGGCCCCCAGAAGCAGTCGGAGCTGCTGGAGCGGCTCCAAGCCGCCGCTGTTGTCGCGTTTTGGAGGCAGCAGTGAGGCCCTTTTCTTGAAACGACAAAAGGCGTCCTTGGGCAGACGCATGCCTCCTAAGGCCCTCCTTCCCACGACCCCTCGTCGCTGCCCTCGCGGCTGTTGCTGCTGCTGCCGCGCGTCTGCGCCGCAGCAGCAGCACAGCAGCTGCAGCAGCGGGATCTTGCGTGAAGCCTCGAGTCTCCTGGAGGGCCTCCCTCGCTGCTGTGGCGACTTGGAGGGGAGGGGCCCCTGGGGCCTCCTCGCCCTTCACGGGAAGCGCCCGCAGAACGGCCCGCGTGGGTGTTACCTTGGCTGCTCCCTGCAGCAGCAGCACCTCGACATTTCCGAGAGACGGCTGCTGCTGCTGCTGCCCTCGGCGCTGGATGTTGGCCTCTCGCAGCCGCTGCAGCCTTTCCACAAGCTGCGCTCTGTACTGAGGCGTATCTGCGGGCCCCCATCGAGCCCTCAGGTGTTGGTACACCTCATGCCTGCGCTGTCGCAGCTGCTGCTCAGGCGTCAGAGGTTCTAGCTGCTGCAGCTCCGCAGCCAGAGACGCATACAGACTGTCGAGCAGCAGACACGCCACCGAGCCAGGTTCCCCCTGCTCTGTCAAGTCGACAAGGCCCGCTGCAGGAGCCCCCTCTGAAGCCAAAGCCTCAACGCGCCCCTCCGCCCCTGCACACCAGGAGCCTTCGGGAGAGGGGCCTTCTGGGAAGTCTGCTGAGGGGCCCCCCCCTTCGGCCGCCGCGCGGGGAGACGCCTCCGCTAAGGCCCCCTCCTTCAGCGCCGCGAACGTTCCTGAGCGCCCTTCGCTTTCGGCAGCGACGAGGGGGTCCATCGGATGCATGCTTCTCTGGAGGGGGCTTGCTCTACCCGAGCACTTGAGGGCCTACTCTTCCCCGGAGGGCCTAGGGTGGGTGTCGTCTGACTATCTTCGAGGTTCGTGGTGGAGCCTTTCCGCATGTGATCGCTGCTGCCGCTTCTCGACACAAGAGCAAAGCGGGCTCTGCTGCTGCTGCAGCGAGTTGGCGGCGCGCTGCCTCAAGAAGGCCGCAGGGACCCCCTTCGGCGCAGCGCATCTCACAGGGGCCCCCAGGGGCCCCTCCCCCCTCCCAAGTCACCCTTCCTGGAGATTCCTCCACGAATAAAGGCCGCAATTATGCAGGCAGCCACCCTCAGAACGGGGAGTGCGACTCCCTGGGCGCCACTCGCGCCTCACCGGCGCTTGTGCTGCAAGCACACGCTCGAAGCCTTCTGCGGGGGCCCCGGCGAGGGAGCGACATGAAAGGCGAAAACACGAACTATTGAAACTTTAGAAGCTGCGCAAGAGGACTGAACGGCAGAAGGAGCTCTGGTTGCTGCCCTTCGCCCGCAAGAGACCCCAAGCCAGGGAGCAGGGGGCCCCGCCGGCAGGGGCCCCCAGCCACACAGAGCAGTGACCCTCTAAGCTCTGAACCCCTCGATGCGGATGTACAGAAGCCCGAACCGTTGACTCTAGAGAGATCCGAAAGGTCATAAAGGGCCTAACGCAACGTCCTGAGCCGCTCGCTCGTGGAAATTGTTGACAGCGGGGGTGCTTGAAGGATACCCATGATTCAAAGCCTACACCCTTCAAGCCTCATTTTCTGTAAGCCTTTCCAGCAGGCAAATAGCTGAGTCTCTAAGCTCCCTACCCCGGGGATTACCTCCCTCTTAGGCTCGCCTTCAGGAAACCGTCGCCTGACTGTTTAGGGGGATGGCCCCTACGCATTTTGCCTCTAAGGACGCACACCGTGCAGCCTATGTCGCTCGCGGCGTGAGCGCTGGTTCTTGAAGTAAGGCCAGACCGGCATAGCCTCGTGTTCAGACATGGACGATGTTGAGGCCTGGGGGTAGCTCAAGCTGGGGCACACTAAAGAGCTTCAAAAAAAAAGACCCCATAAAAGAAGGACCATCAGCAGAAGCTTCTCTTCTCCCCTAGCGCCGCTTTGTAGGCAAAAAACCCACGCCACGCAAATGCCTTCTCACCTCGTGAGTTCAAGGCGACTGCGCCTTTAGAAACAAGAGTCAGCTAGGAAGCCCCTGGACTAAAAGGGGTCTTGGAACGAGATCGCAGGGGGCTCGCTCTCTGATGCAGGACCAGCGTTGGAGCCATAGGGGGCCCTTCGCTTCGGGGAGCCGTCCTTTCTAGAGCCAATGCCTCGTACGACTGGATTTATAAACGTACATACACATATATTTACCCACCTAAAGAGCTAGCGTCTGCTGAGGAACTCTCGCACTCCCGAAAGAGTACACCGCCTTTTCTTTAGCCCCAGTGCTGACACATCGCATCCCAGGACCCCGCTTCCTCCCCCGAGCAAGTGCAGATGAAATCCGACGCGCCCTGTTGTAACAGGGGCAGGCAGGCGTCCCTGCGCGACGCACGTCGTCGTCAGGGAGAGCCCCCTTGCCTATATTTGTCGGCCTGCACCCCGTAGCGCCTGTTCAGATACAGCGGCGTTCCAATAAGGACCGTGGCTGCCCCCAGGATTAGTATCCCGGAGAGAAGATTCGCCTTCTTCTGCTGCTCTAAAGGCATCTGAGAACCTCCCGCCACGGGGGGGGCCCCGGGGTAGGACGCATACTTGTTGCCCCTTACCCTGAAGGCTGGGGCCGCCTCCCTGAGAGCCCAGGCCCCCAGCTGCTCGTTTGCAGAGACTGTGCGCTGTTTCACACGGGCAGCAGCCGCGGGAAGGAAAGACCCCTTGCGAGTTAATCCCTTGATGGAGGCGGCCCCCCTCGAGAAGGCCCCCGCGGAGCTGGAAGGGCCCCCTGCGACGCAAGTGAAGACGGCCCTAGCCTTCTGCAGCACTCCCCGCAGGGTTCCAGACAGATTAGCACGAGAGACCATAAGCTCCCAGACGGATCGTTACGGGGCCCTAATAAGGGCCCCGTAATGATCCGACGCAGCGAGAAAAAAGGAGCGCCGCAGAAAAAAGAATCGTCACAAAAACAACACTGCTCTACGGCGCGCACGTGTTTTAAGGGGGCCGGATGAAGATTTGCACACAAAGGACTCAGAAAGCGCCTGTCGTCATCAATAATAGAAACGAAACTTCTTACACCCTTGCCGCAAAGCGCGACAAAGGAGCCATCGCCGGGCAACTCGCGTTCACGCGGGTACCGGGGGCCCAACCCACTGCGGGGGCCCCACCAGTGGCTGCTCCTTGAGGCATGCTGTGGCTGTTCCAGGGCCTGGAGATCTATCTTTTCGCTAGATCTGAAAAGAAGATTTTTCTCCTTACATCAGCATGTCGATCTGTTTGCTATTGCCTTGATGTGTTCTCCTGTAAACCCTCGAGCGCTTCTTCCACCGGCAAGGGGGCTGTCGGTCAAGTTCTGTGTTATTCTTCTTCGCTGCATGAAAATTCTTAAATCACTACTAGGCGAAACGCATGCGTGTAGTATAACCTAGGCCCTAAACACCAGTTCATAAATCAGTCCGTAATGCAGCCTCCAGCCCCAGACCCGCCCTACACAGCGCCACCCTACACCTCAGGCCCAAGGAAGCCTTAGCATGCATATATATATGCCATTTGCCGTGAGTTAGAGGCTATGAGGGAACTATGATCATGGGTGCTTGGGCGTAGGCCCTAGTAAGGTACTCCGCACAACACCTCTCTCCATGCAAGAGCCAGAGCCTGAGGGGCTGTGGGAAGATATTGCAACCATAAAAGCCTTTTGGGAAACCCGTTACCCCAACTTGCTCTGTAGTCGATGGCTAGCTTAGTGTGCAGCTGCCTACATCTAGTCAGGACTCGCAGCACCTTCAACGAGAGACGGCTACTCTAGTGGGCTAGAAGATCCATCTCGGTACCATCCACCTTGCTGCTTATATCTAAAACGTGTCATTCAAGAATATACAACTGTTTGCCGTGGCTCTTCGCACATGCGGTCGGTTGCAATGTAGAGTCGATCAGCTCAGTGCTTCACAAGAATCAAATTATGCGCTGTTGGGTGTTCTGTGGCACTGGGCCCGAATGAGTGGGAGAAAGAAGGAGTGCTTGAAGGCTGTATCAATGTCCTTGCACCTCAATGCCTTCCTCCTTTTCTTCCTCTATAAGTAACCTTGAGGCTGAGGGCACCAAGGAGACGGAAATTGAAAGGAGCTCTTTTGGAACTACCAGGCACACTTGCTATCAGGCTTCGTAGTGGGTTTGAGGTTAGTGAAGCCTCTGCCTAGGAAGACCCTAGGTGGACAGCTACAGCAACACAGTGGCAATTCAAACTTTTATCTAGGGTCTCCATAAAGGGACATTTCAAAAAACTCGTATTTCGATAGAAGCGCGGGAGAAAGCTACGGATTGAGCTTTAAAAGAGCTTCCTCCCTCCATCTCGTTGTTGTCCTCACCCCTCAAGGTTATTGCATTAAGAAGGAAAAGAGGAAGACAACTGGGGTGCAAGGACATAGCTACACCCTTAAAGCACTCCCTCTTTCGCCCACTCATTCCCGTCCAGTGGCGCAGAATAACCGACAGCGCATAGGCGCATAATTCAATTATTGTGAAGTATTGAGATAACTGACTCTACAATGCAACTAATATCATATAAATACAATCAAACCAAGCAGTAATGAGCACGTTAGTACTTTTTCATTTAAAAAATTCGTCAATGTAGCCGAAGCGGAGAGTCTGGCCCTCAAATACAGGTAGCTACTTGTGGCGGCCGTCTGCAGGTAGCTATCGGGCGGTTAAAGCTGTCCACAAATGTTTCGTTATATTTACAGGCACAGTTGTTGCATGGTGCCTAGTACTCTGAGTTCCCTTTGCACCCTTGGTGGTGGACGTGAATGTCTGCTTCCACAGGCCACAAAGCATGTGCAGGCCGTATGTACCACTGGGTGCCCCAGGATGCCGCCCAATGATGCGAAAAGGCCTTTCGTGGCTTTTCGAAGGCAAAGGGACTTCCGCATGCACCTTCGTCGCTGTCCGTGTCTACCACCTAATCATTCGCAGTGCAGTCCTGTATCCTATGGGCCTAGAGGAACCCATATAACTATGATACCCCTGTTATGTTCCCCCTTTTGAGGCTGTCGAGCCTCCTGAAAGCCTCCAACAAGTACCCTGAAAAAAGACACTTTTAGGAGGCCTGTCCCCCTGGAAGGCCTAGGGCGATTTGGCAGCGGGGCCCTAGAGAGGGTGCAAACATGCGGAAGGCGCCGAATGGACCCTAAGGTCAGTATGTAGAGCCTCAGGGTGTTGCTCGAGCCTTTGCAACTTGCTTCTTATGCGGAAGAGACGATGAGAAAGGTAAACGACGAGGGCTGTAGCCCCGACTGCTAGTGCTGCGGCCAAGAATAAGAGAGAATCCTCTCTGAAGTCACAGGTACAAACCGAACAGCGTAAGACCCTAAGAAGGCGCCAAGAACCCTAAGTCCTGCAGCAGGTGGAGGAGGAAAGGTCAGACTCGGGAGCACGCTGAACTTTTGAGTACGTAAAGTGACTGCGAAGCAAGGCCCCTTCGCCACAAGCCCCAACGCTGGGGAGAACTTAGGTCCTGCAAGGCTGCGCATCCCAGAAGCCAACATGAAGCGCCTAAAAAAACAACCCCACACTCCAGTCTTTCCTGCAAGCGCCACGCAGCTCTAGGAAGAAGCCTTACCGCTCGGGAATTACCCAGGGGTAGTGGTTAACGTCTACGAGCATCGATCCCAGCGCCCAACCTGCTGCTGCTGGCGGCTCTGCTGCACTGTCGGCTGGGGACGCCTGCGAGCGTTTTAAGATTCCTGGAGTTTCCCCTGGAGGACGCGCAAAGGTGATCTGTTGAGAAGTTTCAGAGAAACCAAATCCCAAAACCAGCAGAGTCAGACTCCATGTGGCCTTCCAACACAGCTTCCTCATCGCTTTCTGCGGACAGACACAAAAGCCCTCAACCCCACTAAACTCCCATGCCGTCTTCCAGCAGGGAGGGCGAAACAGCGAAGTACCACGACGAAGCGAAGGCTGCAAGGCCTCCAAACGCCGACCCTCCCCGGCAGCCCGCCATCAGCTTGCACCGACTGCAGCAGGACCTCCTTCTGGGTAAGAGGCGCGCTCTCTACTGTTTGAGGACTAGTATCGAAGGTTTAGATTTGAGGCTTGCAGGGAGTGCCACCTGCGAGTAGGTCTCAATTCCGTTTTCTTGTTTATACGCCTCTAGCCCTTCGACGTCAAGGGCACAGATGCGCTGAGTTTTCTCTCTCCATGCCGACAAGAGGGGTGACATTGGAAGTCCCAGGGCCCCCCACACCTTCGCGTACTGCCCAAAGGCAAGGAATCTTCAGCATAAAAGCAGCACGTCACACACCCCGCGGCTTTCAGCCCGAAACCGCACTGCACGGCTCAGACCACAAAGGCCACACCAAAAATTCCCCCACGGATGCCATCCGCAGCAGAAGCGTCTACGACACACCCTGCAACCTAAACCCTTACTTGCTGATCATCAGCCTGGGCTGATAGACGCCGTTAAAGGAGCAGCGGTTTATAAAGCAGGGAGGATTGAAGAAGAGCCTGTCGCAGAAATCAGAAGCACTGCACACGTTCCTTCGCGCTGGAGGAAAAGCCTCGACGTGCTACGAGGAAGCTCATCAAAGCACCTCCCCGCAGTTACACATTTCGAAGCAGCTTTATGGAATCGCCTAGAGTTTAGAGAACGCCGTGGTTCGCTGCCTTCTCATCAGACTTCTAGTTCTGTACTGTACATACACCTCAGACCGCAGCGCACCCAGAAGCCAGCGCATGACACTGTTCAAAGTCCCCGCTTCCATGAAATTTGACCTTGACCTTTATACCCTGGTGCTTCCCCTTTGTGCCCTCTTTGCCTCTCTTCGCCCGCTTCTTTTCCCCTGGTAGCCTCCGTGGAGGCTCCTCTGCCTTCGCCTCCTCCTCCTCCCTCCGTAAGACACCCGGCTGCTCCCCGCTGGCCTCCCCTGGAACTACAGGAGGCGTCGCTAGCGCCTCGGGTATCTTGGGAGCTCCCTCCACAGCGTCTGCTGCTTCGCCTGAGTCTACTATCGCCCTGCCGAAGGTTTCCTTGCCTTCTTCGTCTTGCAGTCGATGCCTCGCAGCGACTCCCTTGGGCATGGCCGCCTGAACGATCTGATCTCGCTCTTGTTTGGGAATGCGCATCAGCAGCAAAAGGGCTTCAAGTGTGTCGGCGTCCAAGTCCACGTACAGGCGAAGGCCTGCCTGATCGACTCGCGGTAGGGAGAAAGAAAAGGCGTGCCCTACAGGGAAGCAGGGGTGCTGTGCGACGAGGCGGATAGGCCCCGTAGAGGCGTCTCCCTTGTGCTTTAGCTGCTGCGTAAAAGGCGAGGCGAGGAGGGCTCCAAGAGAGGGCCTGGCGCTCGCAGTTTGAGGCTTTTCCGTTAGTGCCTCGGCTGCGATTTTGATGCTAACACGGGTCAGTGCATCTGCCCACCCGTAACCGAGGAACGAATGGGAGTAGAGACGAATGCTGGTGTTGCCGAGGTGCAAGGCGTAGAAGTCTTCTAGGATGGACGTGAAGAAAGGACAGAACGTGATCTGACTGCTGCTTCCCCCCATGTCGAGTGCCCCCAGGGTCTCTTCAGGGGGCGCTCCCAGCGTCTTCCTCTCCGCGTTAACCGCAACCCATCCATAGACCCCTTCCTCCTCCCCCGATATGACACGCGCAAAGTCGTCTTTGAAGCGAAAGTGGTTGAACGCCTTGTCGTGAAGCGTCAACCTTACTTCCTTCATGATTTGATCCCTCTTCTCTTGCGCTACCGTCCGCATCCCTGCAGTGGCCTTGAAATAAATGGGTATTTCCCCCCACCGCGCAGTCGGAACGCCCGCTGCAGCGAGAGACGCTGCAGCATCCCGCACCATTTGCTGCAGCTGTTTTCGCCCCTCTTCGCGGTCTTCGAAGGCACTCTCTACCCCGGGTGTGTACGCAGTGAACCCCAGCAATTCTGGCAACGACACAGGGCCAGTTAACGGGTTATGAGGATCGTATAGCCGCTCAGGCCACTTAAATATGTTTACTCGGGATCCATGAGAGCCCGCATCAACCACAATGCCAAAGTCCTCCCGCCGTCCCTTTGGCAACAGCATCAGGCTCCCCGCCGAGTACAGAAGAAACAAAAACGCAAACAGCAAGACCGGCAGCAGCCACCAGAACAGTGTCTCGCACCACAGCGGAAGCTTATACAGCGCGTTCTGTACGAAACTCCCTGAATGGACTATTGGGGGACCACCAGCCGGAAAAAGGTGAGAGTCTCCCGAAGCATACGACCAGTACGTGGCACGGGGAGGCGCCCCCTGGCTGCCCAAGGGATGCAACGGGTGTGCAAGGGCATCAGGAGAGAGAGGCGCATCAGGGAAAACTACGTAATTGCGCTCTACATGGAGGGCACCCCTGCTGGGCCCCCTAGAGGAGCCTGGGGAGAAGAAACGCCCGTGCATTTTTGCAGAAGGCCTTTCTGGGGTACGGTTGAGGTGAGGCACTTCAGTCGCAGAAAGAAGCACGAGAGAAAAACACTACTTCTCACCAGAAACTCAGGACATTTTGGTGGGAAAAGTTGTCATAGTTTGCTAGTCAACGAAACGCGGAAAATGTGTGGGATGTCAAGAGGGGGCAGAGGGGAGATTCAACAAACACCCGAATATTACGCTATATGTGTCAGTTCAACACAATTTCGCTGCAGTTTTCAACAAGACTATATAATATCAAGGGGATTCGCGAGGCAAATAGCCGTGCAGGGGGGAATACTCCTGTCTGGCCACACGGGGCTGGCTACGGAATTGACGACTGGGCTCGATGTAGAATCACGAAAGCATTTGTATATGCACACACAGCATTGACACTCAGCTCTACACTGAATTGAAATGAAATCAAGCTAGTGTGGAGTCACGAGGCTACGCTATCGTAGCTTGCAATGTATCGAGTCTGCAGCCGATCCCGAAAAACAGTAGTAAATTAGGTCCGTTCCGACTGATCAGCAACACATTCTTGAAGAAACAGACAATATATGAGGCGATTAATGACACTTCAAATAAATATATGGAAATTGTTCCACTACAAGAGCATTTGCTCGCTGGTACACCCCAGCACGACGGGAATGCAATAGCCTGAGCCGTTTGGAAATATCGATGTATATTTGTTTTTCTTTTCTGTCCTTACCATCGTTTGCAACAATGATTATGAAAGCCCCCATATTTGCTTCCCTTTTCTGTTTTCTTCTTCCTCTTGGCGCGGATTCCCGCCATAGCCCCCATGAGTTACGCCAGAAGTCACCAGGAGGTTGGGGGATTTCAGATACTCCTAAGAGACTTTGGGTAGTAAACGGCCATAACTTTTCTTTTAGCTGTGAAAAGAAGGCGTTTCAGACATCAGGATTCGGCGCACGCTAGACTCTTGCAAGGTAGGCTAGATGCAAGACTGCACGAAAAAGCAGTTTGAAATCCCTGATCATCCCATTCGTAGAGGATAACAATGGAGAAGACGTAAGAATACCAGTAATCAAGCTTATTTCCCATATAAGTAGCTCATATTTTGTCTTAGCCGGAGTCAACACAAGCGGAAAACGGCGGGGAACTGCCGCTGGTAATTCCCTGTTCTGCTGGGCTTGATGCCAAGTCGTCCTCTGTGCCTCACATCCCTCAGCTCTTCCGCCGCTTCCTTCACGCATGCCATGATTCTGTCTCCAGTCGCGTTCTAGGGGATTAGAGTGTCTCCTTTTGCAAGTTTCTTCATGACTCATGCGTGTTTCTGCTTTCAGGACTTTCCCGAGATCAAGCAGGCAATCGAAAAGTTGTACACCCGAGCCCAAGGACTGCACTTGGTTTCTGAAATGCCCCAATTAAATACAATGGGTAGGTCGTCAAACTCTGATCCGGAGGCGTTTCGCTCATAAAGGGAATATGACGCAGGAGATGTTGATGCCGCACTGAGTCGACTAGAACGCGATGTAACGTGAGTGTGACGCTGCCGCGTGTACTGCTCCCTCTTGTGTCTGATTCTGCCCCTCAGGGAAGCGGAGTCGCCCAGCAGCGCCACTGCTGCAGAGCCTTCCCTATCAGCGGAGCCCGCATAAGAGAAACTACCGGCTGAGGAAGGGGAGGAATTACTAAAAATTGATCGAATGCATGCAGAAGATTCAGGAGCATGCTAAAGGGTACTGGACGGCGTTCCGATACAGATTCGCCTCAGTTTTTAAAGAATCAGCAGAAATTCAACATCCTACATCTAACCCCAAGGCTTCTGTGCACGCAGTCGCTTCACCTGCATTCTGAAGCAGCCCATACCACTGTGGTCTAGCCTGCGACTTGAACCACTTATACAGTGGGTGGCAAGATAGAGCGTGCCGCTACAGCAGAAGGCAGGGTAGCCGCTTTTGAAATGCAAGTTTTCGACAAAAAAACAGCTGTCGCGGGGGGGGGAGGAATGCGTTGCGTCACACGATCATTCCCGCAGTAGCCTCTTAAGAGGTTTCCACAACCCCCGCTGGAGGCTGACGAAGGCTTTTTAAAGAGCCCCCTCTAAACTGCGCCTCTAGGCGGAATACAAACCGGAGGTTCTCTGAAAGGCCCTTCCTGCACACGATCCCGCAGGCTCTATTGCGACAGGCGATTCTGCGAGGGTATGCACGGGAACGGAGAGAAAACGACTGTCAGGGAGAAGCGCTGCCCTCGGCTGTGGCCCTTTTCTGCGAAACATCCAAAATAGTTTTTTGTTCCTTGATGGCGAAGGCGCTCTGCAGGCAACGGCGAACCTCCATGCCTATCGCCGTGCAGACGGCCTCGCAGAGGCTGAAGAGCTGCGGAGAATGAGGAGGTCGCATGCAAAGAAAAGGAGCATCCACCGCATGCAGCGCTGAGCGAGCAAGAAAAACAAAGCCCCCTCGCAGCCTAGTTCTGCCGCCATCTTCTAAACCCCGAAGCTTCGGAGCCAGCCAGCGCGGGATGCAGCAGCTCCAAAGGCCTACCTGTTCACCGGAAGTGCCCCCGATGAGAGGCCCCCTACACTGCAGGCAGCAGATTGACGAGAGGGCTGGGCAGAAGCCAAAGTGAATTGCCGTAAAGTCGGGGTAGTCTTTGTACGCTGCATATTCCTGCGGACAGAGCGTGCCAGCGCAAAGATTTGGAATGTCACGGGAAACGAAGAACGGAGGGCCTTCCTCTGCCCCCGCCTCAGCCGCCCGCCATGAGGTGCTTACTGATGCATCCAGATCCAAGCAAATGGCTTGCCGCGTTGCACCGGACTCATCCTTGTAGCTGAATGCGTACTGCAGATACCGCAGCAGCAGCTGCAAGAGCCCCTTTCCTTGATTCCCTCCACAAGAGCCCTGGTAGGCGGCCTCCCTTCACCCTCCCTGCCGCGTTTCCATCTGACGACCCCTGCCTGACTTTTGCTTTCCCCTCCGTAGCAGTCCCTATGGACGGCAGCTTGCGAAGCGTGCCCCCTTCTCCTCCCCCTTCCCACCCTCCGCTGCCCCCCTGTCCTCCCCGGGTGCGCTGCAGCACGCTATGTAGACACCAGCTTCTCTCTGCCCAAAATAACTTTTTCTAAGCTACACAGACACAGACACACACCCCATCCCCTCCCCTCCCCCCTCACCGCGGATGCTCCAGTAACCAGGTCATAGAGCTCGACACCCGCGTCCGCCAAGGCCAAACCGGCGCAGGTGATAGCAGCCGGAAGGGCCCCTGCGGAGCCTCACACGCACACAGCAAGCAACAGCAGTTGAGTTGCATGCAGCCCCGACACGTAGAAGGAAAGCCTCCCGAAAGGCCCACCACCTGCCAGGCTGAGCGCACGCGCATGCCGCAACGCACCTCCCCCCTCCCCTTTCCCCGCGTAAACGCACCTCCATCGTCCTCCAGAACCATGACACAAACCTCAATGATGGATTTAGGGTAGCGCTGGAGCTGAACGGCGCTGTCTAGGGCCTGATGCAGCAGCATGGCACTCTGCTCCGTGCTCCCACTCTACGCCACACAACACAGACCACCGCCGTTAGCCGCCTGCTCAGAGAGCACGCATGTAGCCGACTGACGTAGCGCCCTACAGAAGAGCTATAGGGACGTAGACAGCCAAGTTCACACATATGTCGACGCAGGCCGACAGCGCACGCTTTCGCCCAGTGGCAGCGACGACCACTGCAAGCCTCCACGCACCCCGTCCTCCGCCTTTTTATTGAAAAATGGAGAGCCTCTGTAGTCTACTTTGATGAAGCCGCGGTCCTGCAGATCGCTCCGTCCGGCCGAACGCGGTCCGAAGCTGCGCATGCATGCATGCACACCCACCACCTCGCGTTGTGCATGCACGACTCTAGGTCCTGCAGGACAGAGCCGCGGAAACGGGGCGCCTGGTGCCCGCGGAAGGCGTACATGGCGCAGTAAACTTTTGTATTCCCAAGTGAGACGAAGGCCGAGCCTGAGGCGCTGCCAAGGGACAGCGTCTGAACGTCTGCAGCGCAAGAGGCACAGAGGAGGTGGCATGCACTGAACGCTGCGGAGCCTGCAGCCGCCCTCCTTCACCCGGAGCCCCTTTGCGAGGCCACACACAGTGAAGAGGAGAGGATATCTTAGATGGCCTAGGGTGCAGAAAACTCCGTGAGGATCGTTCGGGAGGGCTCGCGCTTCTCCAAGGTGGCGCACGCATGGGTCTAACTTCCTCGGGGAGTCGGCCATCTCTGCGCCTGCCCTGCAAAAAGGGCTGTGTCCCTTTCCTCTTCCGCCTCTCCTGAGGCGGCAAGAGGGAGAGGCTGCTCCCGCAGGAGGGCGAGAAGGAAGTGGCATCCAGTCCCGAGGACATCGCGCTCGGCGCCACCAGACGTGAGGCACAGGCAGAAGCAACAGCGCGAGGAAGAGGCGGCGAAAGGGCACGCAAGGGCCCACGAAGACCAAACGGGACCGCTTGGAAGGGCCGATGCAGCTGAGATGCTCAGCTCAAAGGAGCCCCAGAGACTCTTGCTCCCTCTGAATTCCCAAAGCGCAGTTCGCAACATACCATTAAAGGAAAAACCTTGCAAGATATGCCGCAGAACAATCATAAGGAGGCGCTCTACAACCCATAGAGGGGGGGCCCCTGAGCCCCCTCCCGAGCCCCACGGGCTGTGCGACCCCCGCCACCCTCTGGGGCCCCCACGCCACCCACTCAAGCGACACCCACTGCCCTCCCCCCTCGCGGCAAAATTCTTGGCTCCCGACTCCCAGCTGCGACTGGCAGCTTCTTTTATGAATTTATAAGGAGAACAAAGCCCGCCGTGTCTATTTGCTACCCCTTCAGGCCCTCCCTGGGGGCTTGTCACCCGTGGGGTGTTGCCACCGGGGGGCCCTCGCCGCCGACCTTGGGGGCCCAGGGCACTCCTCCACGTTTTTCCGAACGCCTTTCCTCTTCTGGCTGCCTCATCTCTTGACAGGCAGACAGCTTTGAGCGAGCGGAGGCCGTATTTTCCGGCTCTAGTCCCGCTTCTCCCCCAGGGGACCTAAAGAGTCCCCTCCTGCCCCCCTAGGGGTAAGGGACCCCCACACCAGGGCGCCTCTGCTGGAACCTCCGCTAGGGTGCAGGTGCGAGGCTCTGCACCCTGCGAAGCGCGTGTGGGCGGCTCGAGAGCGAGGGCCCCCCTTCATGGGGAAGGTCGCAGAACCGGCAGGGGCCCCGACGGAGGAGGCTGCAGAATTCCTCGGGTTCCCCGAGCCGGCTCCCGTGGAGGATGTCAGGCGTGGCGCCTCGTCAACAATCCCTTTATTTGCAGGGGAGGCCTTTTGGGGCCACCATCCCTCGGAGCAGGCTTCCCTCTCGCAGGGGCCCCTGGAGCCCTATTCTGCCACCACATTGTATGGCCCTCCTACGGTAGGGGCCCCCAGCTTTTCGGCCTTAGGGGATCTGCAGCCTGCCTCTTCTTTCCTGGGGCTCTCTTCTCCCCCGTACTCCCAAGAGGGCCCCCATTCGCAGTCTTTCCTGCTGCCCTCGCCGCCCTCTTCACAGGTGTGCGCCCCTCCTCTCGAAGGGCCTCCCGGGACGGCTTTCGAGGCCTCCTTCGAAGCCTCCGATCCAGCCTTTGGAGCTTTTCCGAGAGCGCCGACGCCGGCGGAGGTGAGCAAGGGCATTTTTCTCTGCGAAAGAGTTGTGCTGGAGTACTCCGGGAACTCCCAATTGCCTGCAGAGGTGCGCCTCGCCCTCAAGCACCCGCACGGTTATCAGGTGAAGGGCGGCGGGAAGGGCCCCCTTGGGGGCCCCCAAGGGGCCCCGCACGAGGACGCCTATGGCGAATCCCGGGGCAGGGGCCCCGCCAGACAGATCGCAGGTTCTTCTGCGGCCTCTAGAAGCAGACGCGAGCAGCTGTCGACGCCTCGACTGGGAGAGCAAGGCGTCCATGAGGGACGGGGAGGCGCTTCTGGAGGCGTTTGCGACTGTAGCGACTGCGAACGCTGCCGTGCATTCCAGGAGGCGAGGAGGCTCTTGAGTCCCTTCGGAGTGCACTTGCTTCTGGGGAACGGGGGCCCCGATGGCGCGCGGGGGGCAGGGGGCCCTCCTGGAGGCAGAGCCGCTGGGAAGGCGGAGGAGCAGAGCGACGTGGAGGCGGCCCTGCCTCTTGCTCTAGCGTGCATGCCCTCCAACGCAAAGGAGAGGCCACCGGGGGAAGGGCCCCCGGGGGCCCCCGAAGTCGGCAGCGATTGTGTCTGTGCCCTCCTGGAGTCTGGCAGAGCGGGGCCCTCGCCCGAGGGGCCTCCCGGCGCAGGCGAAATAGGGGGGTTCTTGGTTTGCGAGAGTCGAAGCCTCAAGCAGCGCGCTGCTGTTGAGGCTGCCGCAGCCATCAAGAGGGCCCTCACCTACTTCTTGTTGGAAGCACCGCCCCCCGCGACGGCGACTGCCGTGAGAATGCTGATCCCGAGGGCCCTAGGACAGAAGGATCCTACGAGCTCCGCAGCGTCTCACACGAAGTCTGGGCCGCTTGCGGCTGTAAAACTGCTGCCTCAGCAGCAGAACCTGCCGCAGCCTCAACACCAGCAGGAAGGCACTTTTCCGAGGACGACCGCCTCCCCAAGCCGCAGCAGTCGCGGCGCGGGCGGCTCGATCGAGAGAGGAAGTGACGGGCCCCGCGCTTTGTTATTGGGGCTGTTAGATGCCGTCGTGCAGCTGCACGATGTCTCTTGTGACGAGCGGCAGGCGGCGGTCAGTGCGAATCACTTCTCGGGGATCCTCGCCAACAACCGCGTAGTCCTCACTCGCGTCTCCTCCGACTTCCGGTAAGGCCCGTCGTCTCGCTGTCTAGCTGCCTGCCTAGCTGCTCTGAGGCGGCCTCGCCTTCGGGGAGAGAATGGAGGGGAAGGGGGAGGGGTCCCTTCTGCTTGCGCTTCGGCGGTTCGCGCGCTCCCTCGTGCGCACCTCCCTTGGCTCTCCTTCTCTGTCTACTCTCAAGACTTGGCCTTGTGGCGTGCGCGGTTTGCTGGGCGGTCTGGCTGCCGCTGGATGCTCAGCGCCTTCCTGATGAAGCACGAAGAAGAGGTCCTCAAGGCGGAGTTTCCCAAGGGCTTCTTCGCCGCGCGCCGACAGCAGCAGGAGGCCCGACGCAAAAGGGCCCTCTCTGCCGGGGGGCCCCCCCTCGAGGCCCCCGGCGGGGCGGCTTCTTCCGGCACGGGCGAGGAGGGGAGGGCCCTCAACGAGCTCCTCCGAATGGGCCCCACATTTTCGCTTCACTGCTTCGTCTTCGAGGGTGAGGACACAGCGAGGGTGGGGCCTCCAAACACAAACACGCGGGTTGGGGGCCCTCTGCACTGAGTCTTGCGGGGGCACAGCCTCCGGGTGGGGTCTCTGAGGAAGCGTTGGGGCTCTCCAGACTTCCTGCATGCATGCAGGACGGCGTCAGGCTAGAGCCTTGCTGAAGCTGCTGAAGGCTTTCGTGACGCCTCACGCAGAGCTTCAGGGAGCAACTCCTTCGGCTAGGGCCCCCGTCGCCCCTTCAACGTTCAATTCTTTCGTTGCAGCCGCAGCAGCACACACTTCAGCGGAGGCCAAGGCATTCGAGCTCACTGGAAGGAGGGCTTTGGGGGCTTCTCTGCAGGCAAGACGCTCGCAACGCCGCTCCAGATTTCCAGAGCCTCTTGCAGAGGGTCTCTTCTGCCTCCCGCGACCCCGTCATAGGCGGTGCTTCGAGCCTTATTTCCCCGCCAACGAAGGCGCTCATTTGGAAATCTGCTGATGTCGTTGTTCTCGCTGTTTCTGCTTTTCAGGTGTACATGGTGGTTTCAAACTTCAGAGTGCGGGGGGCTCGCGTCATGGACTGCCGAGTTTCTTTCTCAGACACAGCCATCGCTCTCGAAGGAGGCCTTTCGAAGGTGAGCAACTAAGGGCCGCCAGGGGCCTATCCTCTGATTTTGGAGGCGCTTGTCAAGGAGTGGTACTATGAAATGGGTGGGGTAGGATAGAAGGAAGACTTCGCGCGAGGCCCCCTTTGGCTGCCCTGCAACTGCCATACTCGAGGTGATGGCAGTTCTTTTTGCACGGTGGCATTGATGTGCCTCAGAGCACCAAGCGCCTGCGCATCAGGGGGCTGATGCTGCCTCAAAGCCAGCGAGAACTTCTCAATGCTACAAAGGCACTGGCAGAGTCCGGCTCCCTAAGCGACTGTTCCCTCTTTTGGGATTACTGCAGACAGCCGCATAGGGGGGCCCCCTTCTACGAGCAGGGCCTCGCACTCTGCTTCCCAGGCGAAAAGGTCCGAAGGAAGGCCCCCACCAACCAAACTCCAATATTCCAAATATCCTCGCCCCAACAGAAAAGCTTTGCGCATGCTTGTCTGCCGTGAAGAGCCTCGCTTTCTGGACGTTGGGCTTGTGTTTGTGTGGTTACCTGTGTCTGTATGTGTGTGTGTATGTGTGTGTTTTTGTGTGTGGGTGGGTATGTGTGTATGTGTGTGTGTTTTTGTGTGTTTGTGTGTATGTGTTTGTGTGTATGTTTGTTTGTATGTGTATGTGTGTTTGTATGTGTGCATGTGTGTGTGTTTTTGTGTGTTTGTGTGTATGTGTTTGTGTGTATGTTTGTTTGTATGTATGTGTGTGTATGTTCTTGTGTGTTTGTGTGTGTGTGTTTGTGTGTGTGTGTATGTGTATGTGTGTGTGTTTGTGTGTGTGTGTATGTGTATGTGTGTGTGTTTGTGTGTGTGTGTATGTGCGTGTCTGTGTTTGTTTGTGTCTGCGCGCGTCGAGGGAGGGGGCCCCCCTGCGGGCAGCCCCCCTTTTGCATAGTTTTGTAGGACTCTGTTTCCTGATGCCTCAACGGCGTCGCTGTGCTTCCGCCTTGTGTGCGTCATTTGCTTCTTGTTTGCAGCTGTGGCGGCACTTCCAGAGCTTTGGGGGGGCCCTTGCCGCGCGGCGCGAGGATACCTTTTCCACCCTCAGAGCGCTTGTGCCAGAGGCCCTTTGGGGCCTCGCAGCAAAGGCGACCCGAGAGGCGCAGCTCAAAGAGCAGCAGCGAGCTGCAGCGAGAGCTGCTGCTGCCACTGCTGCAGCGGGTACGTGCGAACTTGAGCTTTCGAGGCCAGCAGCGTCTGTATGGGGTGTGTTGCCCGCCGTCCTCGCTGCTCCTGCTGCTGCGGCATGCCTCCGTGTCAGTCTCTAAGTGGCAGCGGAAGCATCTGTAACTCCGCGTGTGGGACGTGCTCCAACCACGGCTTCAGATGCACCGAGAAGTGATGTGTGTGTGGCGGGGGGGATATGCGCTTGCTGGATGCAGCAGGCACACACGGACCGCAGCAGTCCTTGCTCTGCTTGACATACGAGGGCAGTAAAGGCCCCGTGGAGAGTCTCGGAGATCCTGCCTTCTTTTACTGCTGCCAGCCTGACGTCGTAGAACAAATGCCGCCACCAGTGAGCTACGAAGGCCCTTGCACTTTCGCTTTCGGGGCAGTGCTTAGCCGCGCGTTTCCGCGCAGAGGAGCGCCTCACCCTTGGTTGGGAAGGAATGATGGTGCGATGCTGCTGCCGCTTCAGTTGAGGCGTCGGTGCGTAACGGAAAGGAGAGCCCTCCAGGCACTCGCAGCAGCCAACAGGAGGCGCGCTGATCCCTCCGGGGCCCCCTCCGAGGCCCCCGGGGGCCCCTCTGGAGGAGGCGTCGGCGAGGGAAGGCGCCATGCCGCCTCCATGCGTCTGTGCATCCCGCTGACGGCCCATAGATTTGCTGCTGGGAGGCGAGAGGTGCGTTTGTGTCTTTTTGGCCGCGCGTGGATACCACCGTTTCCCTATGGCTAGCTGCTCCCCCCCCCGCGTCTCCCCTGCTCTCCCCTGCTTCCCCCGTCTTGTGCGCCCGAACAGCTGCTGCTTCGGCTGCTTGCTTGACGCCAATGCCCCTTCAGCAGCAACAGCAGCAGCGGCAGTGGCCGTATCCAGTGCATCTTGTGGATGTTTCTCTTGCGAGCGACGCGCAGCATAGCCTGTTGCTGCAGCAGGCCCCCGTGGAGTGCATGGTCGCACCTGTGTTCTTCCGCTTTGTCGCAAAGCATGGTGCACCTCCCCCATTCGATGCTGACTTGGCGCCTCCCTTGAGGCCTGCTTGGCTCCGTTCACTCGCCGCCCTTAAAACCAGGAAACGGGAGGGGGCATTCCCAATCAAGGGGGCCCCCTCCGCTGCTGCAGCAGGAGGCCTTCTGGAGGGGCCTTGCAAGGGCCCCCAGGCCGTAGAAACCCTCATCTGCCTCATCGCTGGAGAAGCAGAGGAGGCTGCAGTATTCGGCAGGTGCGTTGCTGCCTTGGAGTTGCTGGGCCGCACCCCCTCTTCGACTTGTCGTCGCTCTGCATAGAGAAGTGCCTGCGTTTTCGTGTCTGCGCAGTCAGGGGGTGGCTGTATCTTTGGGATCCGTGATTCGCATCGCTCTGGAGGAGGCGGCTCTCACCAGAAGGCCCTCCGCTTGTCTTTCAGCCTCTGGCGCAGTTGCTGCTGCCGCAGCGTCTCCTGCTGCCGCCATTGAAGTCTACGCCGTTGTGCTGGAGGATCCCGAGGAGAGCGCTGCTGCGGCAAGCCACATGAAGGCCCTCCTCGAGATGCAAAGGAGGCCCCGCCAGGGGACGCTAACCGTCCACTTTGTGACTGCGGCGTGGGCATACAAGTGCCTTCATGAGGTGCCAATCAAATCTGCCTTTGACGCTCTCCTCGCCTGGGCCAAAGGCGTCTTCTCCCTCGGCTCTCAGCACCCTCCTGCCTCTGCAGCCCTTGACAAATTTTCACCTCTTCCGCCTCGCCGCAGCCAGCTCAGCAGCTTGGTACAACACCGTCGTGCCAGTAACCTTTTCTCCGTGTGCATGGCTCCTTCGCTGCCTCCCCTCAGGGCGTCGTGAATCCAGCCTCCGCGCTGCCCTTCCATCTGCAGGTTGAGGGCCTCCCTCCTTGCTGCTGGGCAGGGGAACCCCCTGCTCCTGTTGACAGCCTCGTGCCGCTTGAGGCCCCTGTCCTCCCTGAGAAGCTGCGGCTGCTGCCTAAACACGATAAACTTCTCAAAGTAAGGCGCGCCTCCCCCTCCCCCTTCTCCTCCCAAGAAGGCGGCGAGATGCAGGGGCTGGAAACAAGTCAGACGGGGGGCCATGCGCTCGGTTCATGCATGCGTCTACATGTGTTATGCAGGAGCCGTGGGGACTCCCCCTGTTTGGCTGGTTTCTCCTAGCCACGCACGAAGCACTCGCTGCGCTCGCCGTGCCAAGGGACGAGCTAGAAACGGTTTGGGGAGTTTCTATTCACGTATTGCCCTCCCTCTCCCCGCACGCAGTCCTCAAGGGCCTCCTTGCGCTTCTGGCCTCTTTCGGCTTAGACCCTGCAAGAGCGCCATTGGAGATGCAGCAAATGGCTGTCTTTGCGGTTGTTCTCGCGCCCGACTCACTTACTCCCGAGAACCTCGCAGACGAGGCCCTTGGAAGCTCCCCAGCCCTCCTCCCCCGGCTATCCCCGGGGGCCCCTCTGACTTCCAGGAAACCCCCCACGCCCGGGGAGGGCCCTGGGGGGCCCCCCGCCACTCAAAACCTCAGTGTCAAGCCTGCGCTTCTCTCTTCCCGCCTGCACCACTCCCCTTCGGAATCGCCCTTAAGGGAATCCCGGAGATCTGCCGCAGGGGACTCCTCGACGGCCAGCCCCTTCCGCCGGATGCAGCCTCGCCCGTCACATCCCTTGAGGGCCCCAGAGGGTAAATCTCTCGAATCTGCGGCAAGCACGCGATTTCCCTTCGGTGACAAAGAGGCTCCGCGCACGCCTCTTCGGACGGCAGCACTTAGGGGCCCCCAACTTTCTTCAGGGCCTTTCTCTCCAAGGAAGAATTCCTGCTCACCCCTCAAAGCTTCGTCCTCTCCGTTGAGGGCCGCGTCTTCCCCCTCGAGAGGGGGCCCCTCCTCCCCACTGCGCTCCTCCACGCGTGGAGGCCCCTCGAGTGCGTGTCGAGCCAACCTCGCACTGCACCACCGGTGCCCCTGGAGTCAGTCATGGGGCCCTCGATCCAATCCGCCGCGGTTCTGCATGAAGAGTGGCACTTACAGGGTGAGCATTGGGAAGCTGAGGGTCCTAGTACCAGGTCTAGAGGCGATCCCGCTTGTCAAAACCAGCTGGGTGCTCGAGTGCCTCAGAACTCGTAGGTTGCTGCCCCTGCAGCAGTTCTTCGTGGTGCCGCCGCAGGAGCAACACCAGCAACTACAACAGCAACACCAGCAGCAGCAGCAGCAGCAGCAGCAGGACCAGCAGGCGGAGGGAAGCCACGTTGCGTTCCCAGTGTCAAACGGATCCTCGCGCGAAGTCTCCTCGACTCCGCAGAAGAGGCAGCCCACGAGGGACGTCGAGCAGGGGACCCCCAAAAAACCGCGGCACGCAGCAAACGCCCCCCCCACCCCAAGGAGGCGCCCTTCAACTACTCCTGTGTTCGCCTTCAACGGAAACTCTGTCGCTCGTAAAGGGTCTCCTGGACGCGTCTCTCCTCCCATCCCACAAAATCCGTCAGAAACCTCAGCCGCACAAACACGAGCAAACGCAGCTGCTGCAACGGTAGCAGCAGTGCCATCGGCGGAAGGATTGGGGAATCTCGTTCATCCCAGTGAAGAGGGCTCCTTCTCGCAGAACTCTCAGCCTCGCGGGGTACCCGCTCCACAGCACAGCCCCCAGCCTTCCATTGAGGCGAACGAGGGTCCTACTTCCTCTAACAGAAATTCCACACGGTGCAGAAGAGCCGCACAAACAAAGACGCCAGAACCGCAGCAAAAGGAGGGAAGCAAGAAGGGCTCAAAGACTCCAAAACGGACAGCAGCAACGTCATCGAAAAAGGCCTCGAAAAAAGGATCACACTAAATGCTACCTCGTTTGTGCCTCTTGCTGGGTGAGAACCCTGTGAAACTATGGCCAGTTACATGGGTACCTAGCGAGCTACACCGCTATGCAAGCGCGCTACTCGGCGTCGTGAGTGCCTACTTTGTCTGCCCGCTTTGTTAGTGCGTGTGAACGAGGCGAACTGAAAGGAATTTTGTGACTGTGAGGCCCGGCTGTCTTTGGATGGCTCAATGGGATTGTGGCTGGCGAAGCGGGGGTGCGGGGCCTCTCTTCGCCCTCCGAGCACTAATAAATTCAGCACCTTTTAGGGCAAACCTCATGCGAGTCTGTCCTAAAGCAGTGCTTAGCAAGAACGCATTTTGCTGCCGACTCGCCCGTTCCTGCAAGAATAAGGGTGGGGTAGGAGGGATGGGCCATAGTACGGTTAAAGGGCCATTAGAGGTAGAGTGAGGGAACCCTAAGAAGGACGGTCTCTGCGAGTTGCACAAAAGACAAAAAAGCCGATCCCCTAAATAAGAGGTGTGCTCTGGCTGCTCCCACGAACGACTCGAAGCCCCCGAGGTCTCGGAAAACGAGGGGCATGCGTCGAGAGGACGGCAATGGGTCTCATTCGTGTATATAGGCGCACAAGGCGAGCATGCGCCAGCTCAACACGCAGTCGAAGCAGCAGAGGTCCACCAGATGCAATGCGCCCTTTGAAGAAGCTGAGCGAGTTGGTGAAAAATGAGGACGGGGGCTCAGGTCTGGATGAGTGTTGCAAGCCAGCCTCCAGACTGCCAAGGTGAGCGGCAGCAAGCTCCTATGCTCTCTGGCTGCGCGCCATAAGGCACAGCTCGAGGAATCTGCAGAGCACCGAACAGTCCAGTGCCAGAAGAGAAACGCCTTCTCTCGTTTGTGTGTAAGGAACGCAAAAGGGCAGAGGGGGCCCCGCAGGGAGTTCAGTGTTTGTTTGGAGCAGAAGTGGAGGAGGTCTTGGTCGGGGGCGCTTAGCGCCAACCTCTCGACCTGCAGACTGTACTTGGGAGGAAGATGCAAAAAGGACGAGAGAGACGCACCTTGCGCTACCGGGGAGGCTGCGCCAACTCATATTTTTATCTGCTGTGCCACACAGAAGAACACAGCAGTCACCTAATAGAGCAGCAGGCGTCCTAGCTCCCAGTCCTGTAAGAGTCTGACTTTTAAAGACCCTTTCTGCCTGTTCGAAGCAGTGCGCCCCTCCCAGCACGGATGTGCAGGCCCCTGCTGCCTCTGCTTGCGACTTTGACAAGGGCGCTGGGTCCTTTTGCTCTTTCTACGGTGCCCTGGCTGACTCTGCCTCAGAATACTGGGGTGCAGGCGGGGCTTGAATGAGCACTCTCGCATCTCCAGTTCGGCTCTGAGCGGCCATTACAGCACATTCATGCATTTAAAATGTCGACTTCGCGAGTCAGTCATGAAGGCAGGCGAAAAAAGGCACTAGCACAGAAGATGGCCGGGCCCAACGAGTTTGGAAGCGAAAGCACAGGTAGGAGAGGAAGACGGCCTATGCCAGCAAGTCGCTTCGTGGAATGCCGATCTCTCTGCACCCAAGACTTGCTGGGGGCCGACGTTTCCTGGGTGCAATAACTCAAAATTTTTCAGTTCGTTATCAGAAGCAACTCCCAGAAGACTGACAATTGCTTTTGTCTTTGGATCCGCATCGCCTCCTTGTTGCTACGCTTCTTCTCCAGCTCCCCCAGATACTCCTTTGACAGCAAATGAGCACCGCAGGGTGCGTTTTTGCGTGCGTTTGTGTATGCGTTTTTCTATGTGTGTGTTTTTTTTGGCTTGGGCTTGTGCGGTTAAGTGCAGCGAGGTCGCTCCTTTTTGTGTAGCGGGCAGACCGTGAGCTTTTCTGCCTTTACATTTTCACAATGGAAATTGATAGATACTTTGACCAACGCAGCCTCACCGATTACAACAGCACTCACAGTCAAATTGGAAAGATACGATCGTCCTGCTTCATGGCCGCTTGCCTGTTGGACTTTGTTTGACTGAGAAGTTGTGGAGGGAAAATATGGGTATCACTTCACAGAAACTGCAGGATTTTGCTTCATTGCTTCATGTTCTGTGTTCCCTTCATCCCCTTTTTAGGAAAAACCTGGGTATTGACATGCTTATCAATAGCTCTAATGTCACCATGTGTAATGGTACCCATTTCGACATGTCAAGAGACGAAGGAAGTGGGTGCTTCTTTTTGACTCCGTGATGTCTGTCCTGGCTGCTAACTGCCGACCTGCCAAACAAGGTACCATGAAGCCCTCTAAAGCAATGGTTTTGGTATTCTACAATTCCAGCTGGCGGTCAGTACATCACATATGTTGGCAGAGCTTACCCCACTCCCCCCGCTGCAGCTGCCTGCCTCAATTCCTTGGCGATCCTCCTAGAGTTCTGCAACAAACAGCCCATACCGCGTCGGGGAAGCTGCTATGAATTAGTTTCTCTCACAGTCGGGAAATGCATGCATGCAGCTAGGCAAAAAACGTGATGATTCCAAATTTCTCAGCCCAACAACCCAAAAGACAGGACTCTGGATCTGTTAATATGCACCCTGCACAGTGTGGGGGTAAAGGTGCACTCTCCAAGAGGGCCATCCTCGACGACTGGCGCTGGCGTCTGCCTGGTTCGCTGCGCGAAATGAGGGACAAGTCATAGGGGCTCACTCCACAGGAAGACACCTACTAGACGCCGCAGTGCAGTAGCAGCAGCTCGAAAGGAGCTCTCAACAGTCGGCTACCAGCGAGTAGAGCTCTCTACAGAGTGGCTAGCATTTTCGTGGTAGGGTTCGAGTTGCGTGCGATAACTTTATCAAGCTGTGACTCGACGCCTAGTTGCTGAGCTCCAAAGCTGTCCCTGTGTTTACCCTTGGTCTTGCCAGCGCAAGGATTTCTGACCGTGGGCAAAGTTGCGGCGTAAATGACTCGTTAAGGGTCTGAAGGACACACCACGCGTGACCAGACACTCACCTTGACTTAGGGAGATGGACGCCATCTCCTCTTTAATAAATTTAGGGCGAGGACCGGCGATTCTAATATTCCTACTTGCTTTTCCAGTAGTAACTTGCGCCGAACTGCACGGGATATCAGGTAGAACTCAACACTGAACAGCCGCGTAACATCAGCTGGGAACAGCGAAATGGACAATGAGCACTCGCCATGGCAAAAACTATACGAGTTCGTGCTAAATGGGCGGACAGCAAGAATCTTGCTCAACAAAATCAATGACGATGCATTCGGTTCACCCTCGCACCGTTTCTGGAACGAAGGATATACATGTGGGAAGTTACTGCAGTCCGTGTTGGCCTTCTTCATGCAGGCCCCATTATCCTTTCCTGAGCAAAATCATGAATGCCTGGCCTCTTTTCGCACTACCCAAAAGCATCAGCCAAAAGCCATTCCACATCCTGTTTTAATTTCGGCTTCAACTTGCGTTAAAGACACCCCTCCTTTGGATATTTTTTGCACAGTGAGTAATCTAAAACAGCAGCAGCAACAATGCACGTACCACTGAGGTCTTTTCGGTCGGCTTGCTGAGGTAGTTCTTTGGGCTGGTTACGTAGGAGGGATGTTCGCTTGCACCGAATTTCAGCAAGCCGCCGTGAGCGACTGGAAATCTTTGGATGGAACGTGCAGCACTCCAACTCCGCTTGCAGTTTCTGAGAGAAATCACGCACCTAAAGTTCAGGTAGCTGGTCAAATCAAGTAAGAGTGTTGATGTTCAAGCACACATGAATGAAGAATACAGCATCCTCGTCGTACCTCCTGTTGCACTTGGCGATCCTTCTCAACCTTACTCATGCATCGAGCGAACTCCTGGGGAAAACATCCAGGTAACTCACGGGAAAGGGGTAGCTTCCTGATAGCACTGGTTTTAAAGCGGGTGCCCTAAATGCCATGAAATCTTTACTGTTTCCCTTGCAAGCCTAGAAGGCCCAGAGCTTACGCGGTCATATAAGGAGCGGGGGTTGAATGAAGAGATCTCCTTTGCCTGAGAAAAAATACTATTTTTTAAAGCTTTAAAAACGGGTAGAACTGGTGTCAGTTCTGGCCACTAAGGGACTGGTAATGATATTTGACTCTTACATCCTTTCTCTCTGGGCGTGGGCACTGAAGTAACTGCAGAATATATCTGCTGTTTTCGCGAAACCATAGCTGTTTTGCCGCGGCCTCGTAGAGCCTCAAACCAGGAAAAACACCTGCTGAGCTGAATATGCAGGAAAAAATCTTCCTACATGCTAAGATGGAAATAGATTGTCACTTAACGAAGCAGTTACCTATTTCGCAATACACATCTTTCTACTTCGTACCGCGGTTGAAGCTTCAGCATATCACTGTAATAGGTAACCCGCGTCTTTTTCGCCTTTACCTGCGTATAAGCATGTGATAAGTAAATAGCTAACAGTTACACAGTGCTAATCGATCATTTCCTGTTCAACTGCATCGACTAGAATACGACCGGTGATACAGTTCTTTGCATGGGCAGTGGCGTTGGTGCTACTAATGCTGCTGCCGCCTAACAGGCTAGAACTGCAATCGCTGCAGTATAATTCTTAATAAAATAGAGAAGAACTGCCAAGGCCCCTTCTGTTGCACGGCAACTGGTCGAGTGCCTACGCCTGTGTTGGCTTATGTGGATGTTTCCCCTGGATATACTTCATTTCCATGTAGGCTGTCTGAGAGCTTTTCGCGTTGAATTAAAGTTGTGTCGGGAGCTACAGTCTTTTCTAGGGAGTCTTGAGTACCTTACTGCTACTCTGGTACTAGGTTCTAGCACGCAGCAGTGAAAACGGAGAAAGCCAGCTAACCATCGTACCGTCAGTGTGTAAGAAAGAGTGGTTGTCACAGCCTCTTGTAGCTCAAGTGTTGCATAATTTGCCAAAAAATATTATGGATGGCTGGCTGCGCCTTTGCGTGCATTACTGCGGCACAAACTTGTAGCTTACCTTGCCTCGTTCCATGGGGCCTCCCATACTTAACATTGCCAGAGACAAATATGTTCATACAATTGGCAACGTTCTTAGGCACTCTCGTGGGGATCCACCAGCTGCAGCAAGATGGATGTCCGGACTAGGGTCACTACACGTCGCGCGTGTGTCTCACTTTCTGTCGTCAAAACATAAGCATACAAAATGTGAAGACAAGGCTTCAAAAGCTTTTTTTGACAATTGATAGTGTGAAGTGAGTCAATTTTCAAGTAGACGCAACAGGTCCCATGGCCCGAGTGTTAACAGCTGCTAGTGTGCTGTTAGCCCCCTGACGGAGGAAAGCAAGGGCAAACCGCATTTTGAAGTACGCAAGATCCAAAGCCCAATATTTTTCTTTCGAAAGAATTCCTCTAACAAGTTTGAATAAGTGTTTGGCAGCTACCCCAATCCAGGCTGCCTGGGCCCAATGCATAAAGCCGTAACTGACCCTACTGGGTAGCTTGCATCTACTCACCCTGCCTATTCTACATCCTGAGGGCCTATTACTTCGTAACGGAACGAAAAGGTGTAACTAGGTCGTTGGAAGGCGGGGCAATAACCGATCTCTATTTGCAACACCGCATGATCAATGATTCATGCAAGGCTTTTCAGTATTGATTGGCATTAAAGTCTGGCTCAAGGGTGTAGTAGAGAACGGCCCTCGTTGGTATTCCAGTCTATCAGCAGCCGTTTTATAAGGGAGTCGCATGTTGTGGCATATTGAAGACAAGCCACACTCAGCAGCCAAGCACCTCGGGCTTTCTTCAACAATGGTGGAGCATCAACTACAAAAATGGCGTAATTCGGCCGTAATTCTTAAATGACATACTGCTTTCCCGTTTCCATAGTCGCCTGAAGCAGTGGGAACGCCTGATCTGACGCTCTCAAGGCAACGGCAAATCCGCTCCGTCGTATGTCCAGAGCCACGCCTTTTGTCTGCGGACAATCTTGAAGGACTGCATGCGCTGCTTGTTCCTAAAATGCTTACCCGTGTAGCCCAGTTATAAAATGGTTGACTGAATATTGTGGAGGTCGTAGCCAGCAGCTTCCATCTTATCATTCAGTGTTTTTGTATGCTTGTCAGAAAGGCTCGAGCGCATCTCAACGTACATTTATTCTTGCAACATTAGCAATGGCGAAAATTTGTGCCAGCATCGCCGCCAACGTTATGCAATATAATAGTGGCGCCGATTCAGCACATATACCAATGCTCATGCTAAACAATCCATTAAGTGACCAGAAAACCAGAAGACATGGAATGACGATGAAGCCAGCAGACGCTGCTGCAGTGAGCAGCCCCTGTTCTGAAGTAACTTCCAATTGAAAAGGGAATCGCGTGCATTGCTTCCCACATCATATATTAGCTCCCTCAGGGAGATATGCCTCTTGAATAGAAAAATGCGTTCTGATAAACACTCTTTCCCTGAATTCTGGCTGCGCTTGGTGTTCATCGCACTAACCTGAAGTACCTTGGGGCAAGACCTCGCAGCAAAATGAATAGAAGCAGCTAATGAGCAGCAGAGAACTCCATTTACAATGTGCCACTCAGACTGGTTGCAAGCAAGTGAAGTGTGATAGCAATCACTGAGATGCTTATTTGTTTACCACCTCTGGTCCGCAAAGTGTTTTGGTGAGCAACACCCCTATGAAAAAATCGTATGAGCTCGTAGAGCTAAGTGCAAAACAGAGCACGCATTACCGGATGACAGGCAGACTCCACAGAGCACGATGGCGATGCGGAGAGCGAAATCTGCGCCCTTCTTGAAGGCTTCCTCTTGAGCGTACAGTTCCATTGAGCCGTTGGCCAAGCCTTCTTACTCCTCAATAAAGGGCACTGCTACTGAAAGTACAGGCTTCCGCACAGCGCGCAAGGGTGTTCGTATCGATGTGAACTCATGAGGCGTAGTGACATCTAAAGGTTTGCTGGGAATGCATTTGATAAGATAGACCAGAATACGTTTATGCTCCCACATTCAGTTTTCGCAGTTTCGGAGGCCCAGCAGTCCTTTAATTGTTCATTTCTTTTTGGCTGGAAGATCTATGACCAGGAGGATGGCTTCAAGAGACGTTTTGATCAGGCCTCTCTTCTCTGCACCATAAATGCAGCAGTAAGCATGGTTACAGGTCTGCTGATCGCTAATAGCTTGTATGACATGGACTTGATAAGCACACGAACCACTGCACGTCTTAAAACCTGCATTGCTCATCAAGCTCTATAGTTTGAGTGGCGCATAATCAAAGGAGTTCTGAGGGGCTCCCTTGCGGCTACTGCTCATTTGCTACCTATGTGAACCCCAGAGCATGGACGTAAGGTTAAGACGAAGGTGGAACATCCAGAAATATTCTCAGCGGAGACTGTTTGTAGGCTGGTTTTAGGATGTATAAGGCAGACACATCCGTTCGTGAGCTCATGTGAATGTGTCTTGCAGACTGAGTGGCCGGTCGTAGACGGGCTCATGTATGGCATTCTTTAGGGACTCTAATCTGCTGCGGTTTTGGTGGAGCTTGTTGCTTGCCGTGCCTGTTTCCAAGTGTTATAGCTTCAAAGCGTTGACAGATCATTTTGAGTCATCGTCCAAAAGGTCTGCCCGTGGATTTACGAGCATGAGTGTCTAAATATGCGCCGAATCAGAGCCTATAGTCTTCGCCATATCGCTGCTTGTCATGATGGCCAAGGCTGTCGCACTCACTAACGTCATTCGCCAGAACGTGTATCCGGGAGGTGTCAGAATTATACCCAGCAAGGCTTCACAGACCTGCAGCTGCAGGCTGCTAAGTATTCGTTTGACAAAGCAAGGCATCATGCTGAGACCCTGCTTTTTTGGGTCGGAATTACAGCAGTGCGCACATAACATCTATTGGTGCCAGCAAGCCCTACCGCAGTCCAAAGAACTTGCCATAGATTGGAGCACGAACGGCTACTGCTACCTGACGCAAGCAGCCGAGAGGATTGGCCCTGCAGTTATGGCTGATACCCAAAAACTCATTGAGCTGGCTCAATGTTGAGTCTACAGTGATACCAAACCATGTGAATAACTACGCTGACTCGTGTCGACAGCATCTGGGAGAGAAGACCCAGTTGATGAAGACATCCTGTAAGGCGCCGAGCCCTATTCGAGCCGTTTAACTACGCTAACAACCATGTTCAGACACGTCTGGACCTGGGGGATCATGTCTCCTCCGCTAAAGGGGAAAAATACAATCATCTGAACGAAAGTTTGATCTTCTAGACAGTGCCTGGCAACGAAGCACGAATTGCCATCGCGCTCCAAATAACTCACACTATCTAAGTATGGAAAGCTGCAGTATGCCGGCGACACTCAACACTACGCGGCATTGCTAAACAGGGGCAACCTGCTTTTCTAGGAAAATGAAGTGCGCAGCCAATAGCGTGCATGGGGTCATCGGGTAGACACACCAAAGTGCAGCAAAGCACGTGCATCAAAATTTTAATGGTCGAAGCGTCTAAACATCTAGTCCCTAATAATTGGGAGGTAGTGCAAGCAGAAAACGACGACCACTCGGCGTTTAAACGTTTCATCCAAAATGGCCCATTGTAAAGGCACATCAAGTGCTCCTCTCAGCCATGGCAAAGTCATCTGCGGCCTGCGCGATGATGACGCTCCGGCGATGCCGATCTTCGACGTTCGCGGCGTCCCCTCCTGCACGCGCAAAAATTGAGCCACGGCAAAAAGGTGGTGTTTACTGCATGGCAGAGGAGAAGCATGAAGAGGCTCAATGCGATGAATGGGCTCATCTGATTGGTCCCTGTGGGCGTTGTCGATAGAAAACTTACGATCGTGAACGCTCTCTGCCGACTGCCTTGACATCCCGGCTGTCTACTCGAGGGTTGATATCGTACGCAGCCCCCGAGGCGCCATTTCCTCCGTAGTAATCACAATACCCAACATACCTGGGCGCAAAAACCAGGACAGGACAGCGACAGGAGAGAACATGAAAAACGACTCCGAGCAGGCGAAGCGGTGCTAGGGCGTGTAAATAAAAAAAAAACAGCACCCTTCGTACCTGCCGTCGCCCCTTGTGTCGTCGTACTGCTGCCACTTGCCCTCATAGCCACCGCGGTCATAGCCCCTGGCATCATACATTGGCGCTCCGCGCTCATAGGGGGGGCCACCCCGGGTGTCGTAGCCGCTGCCGCGGCTGGGCCTCATGTCGTATCCTCTTTCCATGCGCATGTCGTACGGGAAGTCTCCAGGATTAGCACCCCTAAAGTCCATAGGAGGTCTGCCATGCGCCGAGTATTCCATGCGGTCGTAGTAACGGCCTCCGGAGTCGTAGCCGCCTCGCGCGCTCCAGCCACGTTCGTCAGCCCACCGTCCACCCGAATGGCCACGTGCTCCCGAGCCGAATTCCATTCCGAAGGGATGGGGGGGAATGAAGTCGCGAGAAGCCCCAGGGGCTACAGCGTAGTACGGCAGAAACCCGGGCTTCAACCTTCCCGACTTGTCATACTTGATACTGGCACCTGCAGCGTAACACGATGTACCCTTCTGCAAGGGCGGTACGATACATAGCTCGTAAAAAACGGCGATTTCCTTGCTGCCGAACTTCGGGTTGGGGACTCGATACAACTATCGGTTTCTTATGGCGGGCCGACCCCTTTACGAAACGGCTACTGAACCTGAGCCATCAAGCACAGCTTGAACGTACCAGGCGGCCCTTTGTAGAAGCCAGGTGTCGGATTGTGAGGCTTGTTGCGCTTCGCCCTTTCGACTCGCACAGGTCTGAACTCTTCACCAAAGATAAACTTGTTGTCGAACCGTTCTATCGCCACCGCGGCACGACTCGGATCCACAAACGACAAAAACGCAAAGCCACGAGACTCCCTGAAACAAACGCCCACGCGCAATTCTATTACATGCTTCTGCAAATGTTGAGCAACCAAGAAGCATCAACATGATAAACGGTGTCCAGCTCACCTAGAAACCGGGTTGTTCACAATCCTGCAGTCCTGCACTTCCCCGACCTCCTCGAAGATGCGGCGCAGCTCTAGAGCCCCGCACCGGAGAGGAAGATTGCTGATATACAGTGTGTCTGTATCTCCTATCCGAGACAAGCACGTGCACACAGAGAATCACTATTGCGCAACGACGCGAGATCAGATGACAAATGCACTAGAACGTACTCATGAACACAATACCGCGGCCACAGCACGATACCTTTCTCCTAAAATAGCACCAACACTTGAAGACAGGCCGCACAAGGGGCGTACTTTTGATATAAGGGCATAGAAGCTGCTGCTACCAGGCTGTCACCGCCGCTGCAAAGCCTGATATGGGGAGCGTCTGCAATTGCCAGCGCTGTCGCAGGGAAGGCTGCAGCATACGGCGGTACTTGTAAGGTACAGGTGAAACTGCCGCCTACACACTGACGATTAGCTGCGGCATCTGCTGATACTGCTGCGTACCTCCTCGCTGTCGTGGGCGAGCTCCACTGCCGCTACGGCGTTGGCTGCCGAACCTTCTTTCGCTGCCATTGCACTCATCGCCAGCATCGTTGCGGTCCCTGTTACCTTGTTGAAGGCTTTCATCAACTCGGCTACTGCTTGCACTGGCCCTTCTGGTGTTCGAAAGATCGCGATGCTCCTCCTCCTGACCTCCTAAATTGCCTTCAGACGCTCCATGGCTCCCACCACGCTTTCCACGTTCTCGTGCAATCATCTCCTCGTCCCGACGCTCCCTCTCTTCTGATTCCATTCGTCCCTCACTCATCCTCACTAAGATAAATACAGCATACAAAGCAGACACCGCGCCCCCTTTTCGCTTACAACAAAGAAATTGAAGACAAATTGCTGGAGCTATACCACAAGGAGGCACTTCCGTGTGGGGATCACGACTGGCGCACGAACAGCCCAAAAATGCGAAGAAAGACGAGGGGCCAGCCACAACAATAGCCACAATAGGCGCAATATGCTGCATGCAGCACCATATGTAGTCCTACAGGACAAATGCACACTTCACACCACCCCACCGGGTGCTTACCAGCAAGTGGAGGGTGCCCAATCCTCCTGGCGCGCGTCGCCGCACGTGATGGTATAGTGCGGTGCCTAGAAAATCTGCTTCTGCCCCACTATATTCTTGGACAGCACCAGTATAAGGCAAAGCTTCAAATATCAAATATAGAGATGCATTGAATTCTCACTTTGCTGCACAGCACAGCCTGAGCGAGGTACCCTCAATTTAGTGAATGGCTGGTGGGCGCGCCAGCCCAGTGTTGTTGCACCCCGTACCGCACTGTCCTGCACAGGCGGTTGCTGCGCGTGGCAATGGGCGGCCCCTCTTTTTGTTCTAGATTGGAAGCAGCAGACTACGCTTTTTAACTGCATTATTAAGACAGGCTTATGGGCAGCCGGCGCTGAAAGCGGGGCAGAGTGGCATCGCAGCTACTGCGGTGCGCTCAAACGCCTCCCGAATAGGGAGCATCTGCCCCCCCTTCCGCAGTGGCCTCTGCCTACGCAGCCTATTTTACCGGTGTCCGTAGGATGTTTTCGCCGCGGTGACTCATACTGGAGTGTACAGAAATATAGGCAGCTTTTTCTCCGGATTGCCTCACGGTGCGCAAGGTTCTGCGTGGATGAATACGCCTTGGCTAGGGCATCGAGAAGTCGCATCCGAAGTGATGTGGAGCTGAATATGCCTACAGCTGAAAGCTGGCGTATGAAGGAATGCAGGTATACCCAGACCCTGCGCCGCCCTCCCCGGTGGAGAACCTCCGGTGGTTGGAGGATCATTTGGACGTGACATACTCACCGGTATGTTGCTCCTACAATGCTGGCACAACAACCCTTCTTCTGCGGCTGCCAAATGCAGCCGCCTTTACAGCTGACGATGGCCCAGCGAAAAGTGCGGAAGGGTCAGATACCACCCTGGATAATACCCCGGGTTGGCAGTGCGAACGGCCAAGCGAGCGGAATTTAGTGGATATATTTGGTCGGATTCAAGATATTGAGTCACTGCAGCGCCAGTCTGGCTCTGTTACTTTAAGCGGGGGGATGTTGGAACTGAACTCAACCGATGAAGGGGCATTTCCAATTCCAGCATTGCCTGGCTGTCTCGAGCACATAGGGGACTCTGTAGCTTCATCTGGACATCAGTCCACCACCGCAGAGCAGTCTGGTGCCTCTCTGACCGGTAGAGGACTCAAGCAATGCGACGAGGCCAACAGCCTTCGAAACTTTATAAACTCCTGTTTGATGCTGCCTGGAAGCCGGCGGCTATCGGGGGTCCGAAGGAAGAAAGTTTGTGCCGCTGGAGATGCTCAGCTCGCACACACCACGGAGGATCACTACACACGTGGGCCACAATTCTTACAGTGGCGCGGGAGGTTCCCGAAGACTGCAGCGTCGTCGGTTAGCAGCTCTCAGAAGGGCGTTTCCGGTTCGTCACGATGGACGAAGACGGGGAAAAAAGACATACCCGCTTGACTGGTGGGTACTTGCGTCAGCAGGGAGATTCATGCCTGGTGAGAGAACATGCATTGTTCGAGTCGCATGTTGTCTGAAGGAAGAAAATCAAAGGCAGATCTTCAGTCAGCAACAGGGCCAATGCCGCCCCCATGCTGTCAGTGTCATTGCTAGGTCGAGCACGAATCAAACAGCGTGGAAAGCACATCATAGTTGAGGAACAGCAGTTCGTCTTCTAACAAAGTAGTGGAAGGTGAACACTTTCGTACTTTCCTCCGCAAATAGACAAGCTCATGCATGTTTCCGCAATGCCCATAAGGATGAACCGTGCTTTTTCAACTACTATACGTGGAGTCAGGTGGTGGCGCGGATTTCATGGGATTTTCCAGCCGGTCATTCTTTAGCTGGATGGAGCTCTTGTCGGCAGCGACGTGCACAGTTGATGCGGGCATCGTCAGTCGCGGGGTCTGGCCGCTTGTACAGCACTTACAACAGATATTGCGCTAGTCGATCCCGGATGCTGCTTGCTTCTTTCTAGCCTACAGTATCATGACCCGGATAGCTTCGCAAGATGTGTAGCCAAAGCGCTACCCGCTTTGACGGGCGTGTTGCATCTCATCTTGCGTCTACTACAATGCGTTGGGACCCAAGGGGCAGGTGGAAAGATTGAATACAGCTTTTTCACATTATAGAATTACTCTGGTGGGCTTTACCGCGTTGTGCTGAGCCTTTAGTATTTCTTTCCATTCTTTCCGTCAATTTCAGGGCCCACGAATAAAGCCGCCATGCACGGTAGAACATTGCAATACTCGCCATGCCGGCTATATTTAGCGCCACTTTGAAGCCGTGATAGGCTTTTTTCATAGCGTTGTCTTGATGGGGGTTAGCTATTGGGTTGATGGGGGCGCTTTGACCGCTTGAGCGAGCCTTGTTGAGTCAAGTAATGCGTGGATGCTAATCTAGCATGCGTGCTAATTTTTGCGCCTACTGGGCTGTGCGTCCGTCCGCTCTGGTCGGGCCGAGCCGAGGCGTTTAGAGTGAGTTCTGCCATTTGTGCATAAACTGCGTTCAAGTCATTTACATTCGTTGCAACGAAAACAAGGCACTAACTTGAACGTTTCAGGATATAAATCAATGAACATTGCATATTGCCAACGCAGTAATTGGTTTGGTTGCGGTTCGAGTGTGGCGAGCTAGGCCACACTCAAACGCTTTTAGCTATACTAGTAACGTTTATCTGTGGATGAGTGAGGAGCTGACCTGTTGGTTTGCCTCGACGTATTTCTATATATATCGCAGAGCCTTGGTTTCTCGATACTAGAGATCGTAGTGTGTGCGTGTGCTCTACGTGTCACACGTCGATAGCTTTGATTGCTAGGGAATACTTGGGGAGTACTGCTACGCGCACCTTGGCGATGCCTCTCCCGTTATATCGAGGGACGCGGACGGGGAGGAAGGCAGTAGGACTAGGGAGAAACTACCTGGAGTAGACTTGCGGTATCTGTGGGTGGGTGCATTCCAGCTTCGAGGGGCGTTTTGATTAGTTTTTGAGCACTTTAACCTGCCTAGTAGTGGTTTTGATGCAGGGTTAAGACAGAAATTATGTTTGTGCTATGTTTGCGTGCATGGCCATTAGAGCTTAGGCATTATTACTGGAGTGTGAAAGAGAAGACAGCTGGAGTCGAGGTATTAGTGTTACTTCAATACAAGGTATCCCTATGTCCACATTGCTTCCTGCGTTACTGTGCTGTTGAATGCATCATTCTAGCGCCTGGGCGACGGTAGAAGTAAGAACACAGGTATTTCTAAGCAACAATGAAAACCTACTCGTTTCAAGCCTCCGGGATGTATATTAGTATGTCGATGACAAAAGAGGTATTCTTACTGTCGGTACATTCGTAGATTCACTGAGCACTAACTTCCTAGAGATCTGCCAGTGTAGTGATGAGTGGCATCTGGTCCCAGGGTGCAGATCGGGCACACGACGACTGGCCCGCGAAGCAGTCAATCTCACATTAGTTATTTTAAAAATGAAAAGCACCTTTCAAATACAAATTGACTGCTGCGAACTCATCTCATTCCCCCTAGTTAGATATAAATGACCGAAGTTGTTTGATCTGTGTAGGGTTATCGATTGTAGTCAGTCCCTTGCGTGTGAGTTAATTCTGGCTCCTACCTGCTCTGACTCAGCGCGTTTTATGCCCTAGCTTCCGGCAATACCCGTTACAAGCTCTAAAAAATGTGCGATTGCAAAGGGAAAAATATCGGCTGCGCGGATCTTTGAAGTGACCCCGCCGGAACTTGCATGCATTGACAAGGTTACTCGGCGGAAAGGTGCTATCCCTCGGTTTGCTTTGAAGAAAATAAATTTGAGTAGAAAGGTTTTTCCCAGAAAATCCACTTGATCTTCCTTTAGTAGTGCATGCATCGTGGCCAACCCGGATACACTAACCCACCAGACGTCCATGCATATCTGAGAACGAGCAGGACACCGGTCGCAGCAAAAGCGTAAATTATCGTGAATTTGCATCTGTTGGAGGATGTTTGCTGAAGATGATGAAGTGCGCAGCGCTTCTTCGTGGGAACAATTGATTGACTGTTTACTCGCTCTTCGTAGAGGCATTTACTGCCTGAGAATAATTCGCTTCCAAGCTATTGCTATGAGCTTTCATGTTTATACCCCGCTTCGCTCTGCCTTCATTCGGTACTACGGCTGCAGGCAGACTTTGTTTCTGAAAGGATTCAAGAGATCGCCAAGAGCGTGAGTGGAAGTACCTATGGGAGCGCAAATGACAGTTTGGAGATTTCAGTTCCTCACAATCTTCTCTCTGGCCTCGCAGATAAAACAGTTCACATAAGAAACCCCTCTATTACACACATACACACATCAAAGGTAAAAAAACCGAGCATTCTGCCGTAGTAGCTGTCCCGGTGCTCGTCCTCTACGTCTAACTAGGCCGTTTCTCAGGTGCTAGGCGACGCGGTTTATTCTAGCGCGAAGAGCGGAGAATGGTGCACTCAAATATCGGACAACTGCCTTAAGGAGCTCACGAAACTAAACAAGCCATTCAAGTTCTTAGGTGTTTGTCACGCTCAATCACTAACTTTTCTAAAAGTTGGCAAAGTAGCGTCTCTAATGCGCAGTTTGCAAAATAAATAATTATGTATCTAGTCAGTAAATCTAATGTGAGTTGTTTCATTATGCCTTTCTTGCTGTTCTCGTTTGTGTCGCTTTGGCTGCATTTCAGTGACTTGCGTGTTGATGCAAAAGGCAGGCGCTGGGCTATGCACTGCAGCGACCTGTTTTTGGGACTCTAAGACTGACGGTCCGGCTCCGCAATACTTTCCTAGACTAGCGTGCAAGCCTTTACCTTAAATCATGAGAATGGATGACTAGAAAGGATGCTGGCAGATAGGACTGAATGCCGTCTATGCCTGTACGCATGAACAGCTATATATGTAAGACTTGTCCAGTACGACAGATCAAATGCGCATCCTCTGGTTTGTTGCTTTACCTTCAGGACTGTGCAGCTTGCAAGTCAATGGGGAAACATTTAATTGCATTGTAACTATATATCTGTGTCAAATATGAAGTCTTTTTTCTCTGGTATGCTTGCTGCCACAACGAAAGAAATTTTACCATGCATTCGTAGGCAGATGTGCAGCAGTTACTCATGCACAGTATGTTATTTGGAGCCGTGAAACACTATGCAACTTGATGCTTTTGCTGCTACTCATCTGCAGTGCGAGTGAGCCCTTCCTTGACAATAGCTAGCCCTCTTTAATGGCTCGCCTTCAATTTCTTTCAATAACTACAAGCAAGTATACCCTCTTTACTGAGCATGAACAGAGTCTGCTCAAGCGGTTATCTTTTCACCATTTATTACACCTGATTAATATAAAGGAAACGCAGCACGGCGCCTTCAGGCTCGACTGGATAGAGGTCAGAGCCTCAGCTACGTGCCTCACCTACTTAGCATGTGTCCACAAAGTAAGCTAGAACATGTTAAAGGGTAAGAATCAGATGTATATATATATATATATACTTTATCAGAAAAATCGAAGGACAGAAGTGCATACGTGTGCACATGTATGTGCTGTCGTGCACGTTTTAACATTACTAACGCAGTATGCAGAAGTATATACTTATTTCTAAACGGCGTGCGTAGTTGCCGACAAAGAAAGACACCCTTCCATTTCGGTACTAGGAATGTGAACAAATCTCTTTGATCGTTGCGTAATCTGTAAAAATTTAAAGCCTCGTGGATTCTACTTATGCTCGTTCTGAGCAATATCGCGCTGCAAATTGTCCAAGGTGATCAATTGCACTCAAATATATGCAATTACGTGTATTCTTGAAATGTCGGCTTTCAGGAGCAGATGGCACATTTTTACAAAGAAAAAGCTGTGAGTAATCTAAAATGAATGCGCTTTAAGTATTTCGTTTGAAATATCCGTTCATAATAAAGTTTATCTAGCAGCGAAGCAGAACAGATGATCGTCACGTACCCTGTGGGCTTGATGTGATTCCTGCTGAGTAGACATTTTTACGAAGGGAAACATGGAAACTTTGTGGGCCCTAAAAGCAGGAGTTCAATCACACAAATGAAATGATAGGCGAGGGAAAGACTGGAAGTTCATGGGGGACTGTCACAGCAGTGTAGCAAGAACAAGGGAATAAGGGACGTATCCTAATCCGTGAGCAACATAAGGTCTGTCAACTCCCGAAGCGCTTAATGCGGAATCGAAGGTCTGCCTTTACGATGAAGCGGAAGAAAGCCTTTAAACCTGCTGAGGAGCTTCTAAGAATATGATGTCAGCGATTTCGCTGTCGGCGAAGCCTCTTTGGGCTATCTGTTAATCTTCCTCCCCTTTTTCTACGCAGCAAGGGTCGGGCTGTGCCCAGTCAAATTCTATATTGCCTTTAACATGATATTGTGAGAATGTGAAGACATTAAGTTTCCCTTGTGTTCAATGGATAAGTCAGTAAGGTGCAGCTTCACAATAAGCATCTTTCTTTCTAGTAGGTTTGACTTTGAAAGTAGCAGTAGACTGGTCGAAGCACACCTACACATGAATCTGGAGCAGGGTGCCATTCAGGGTGGCCGCCCAACAGCTGGACTGTATTGATGGAAGCATTCATGAGGATGAAGTTAAAATATGAGTATAGCCTTCAACGATTGCCCGCGTTGTCCGCAGCTTATGGCTTGCAGTCATGCGCAGCTGTTGATGAAGAACAGAGCACTTCCTCAACATCTTAACGCGCTTCTTGTAGCCCTGGTGATGATATTAAATAAAATTCTTACTATTATGTCCGAGCTCTTTGGCCAAGTCAAGAACCGGAAGCACTCATGTTTAGTGGTGGGAGCGGAGTAGCTGCTCGCATTTTTCAGGATGCCCTTGATTTCAACTAGACACAACCGTGCTAATTAGTTGAAGAATGACGTATACAAAGTGTGAAGGGCAGTGTCGTAGTCAATAAAGTGCAGCCACGAAGAACTTTTACTTGGGGTGAGGAAGACGAGTGCACCAAAACCCTTTTTGCAGTGCTCAGCGCAGAGCCTAAAGCCAGATTTGGTGAGCATATGAAAGCTGAAAAAGTATGCTGCCGTTCATATTCTCATCTAGCCTATGGAAACAGCTGCTGGCGTGCCATCAGCGTGATGCCCGTCCATTGCTGCTCTTCCCAGGCTGCCCGTAAAAGTTACACCAGAAACACTCCAGGAAGTGGCCATTATTGACGCATTTCGGCGTTAGAGATATGCACATTAACAAATAACGGCTGAGCATTTGGAGGGCCGCGAACCACAGCCATGCACTATTATCCGTCGTCGTTAGGACGGGAATTAGTGCGTGTCAAGCCAACTGTTTTCCACCTTGGCAGTAGTATGTTACGACCTGAATTCCAATACAACATAGCCTGTCAGAGTCTCTCAGGACTAAGGGGTTGTTTTAGCTTGTTGATAGGCCAACGAACTTGCGGCTCAGCTGTGGTCGCCTCCGATTCTACTGCTGCTTGTATGCAATGCGGTGAAGTGCTCCAAATCTCTGCCCGTGAACTACCACTGGCTGAAATTTGCATTGCTGTCTTACGCGCTTAGCTTGGATGCGAGCTTGTAGCTTGCAGATAGACACAACTATAAAGTGGTTAACTGTATCTACCAAAAACACTTGTGCAACTGCTAGCGCTCTAAACGAGGTGCCCATTGCACCTTGTGAACCTAGCAACCCGGCGTCATGCAGGTGATGAAAAGATTGAAAATTTTTTGGCAAAAGCTCAATTGCAACTTGAAAATTGGAAAACCGTTTGCAGAGATCATGCTCGATGCTGTTGTACCTAAATTTGCGCAAGGCCCGGTCCGCAATGCTATCTACCCGGAGCACATTAAAAAAATCAAACGTGAATCATGCAAGTCAAGCAGTTTTTATTTTTTCAAACCAGAATATACTACGATTACCCACTGGTTTCGCCAGGCGCGCATGAGCCTGCAACACCCAGACCGCCGAGTGAGTGCTCATGCACTTGGCGTATGGCGGTAAAGTGCAGGGTTCACTGGCAACGCCAAGGCGCATAATAGGATTCGATGTTTCAAAATCGATGGCTGACAATAATACGGCGAGACTTGTGGAATTTTTTTTGGCAAACATTGAATTGGGCTGTTCGGCAGTTTGGGTAAATGTAATGCCGCATTTTATAAAAAATGTGCTGCCGTTTCGTTTGGTCACTGTACCCATGTTGGACTTGAAACTGTGTCCGCCTATAGCCCTTAAGGCTGGTCTCAAACAGCTTCCTCGTAACTTTTCCTTTTTTTGTAGCGCTGTGAAAAAAAACCTCATATCGTGACTGATACTGTAGAGTACGAGCTGATGATACAGCAGTCGCAAATTAGGCTACAGCAGCAGTACTAAAGGGAGATTCATTGTTTTTCTGGACAATTTACAAAGCGGAAGGCCAGTGATAAAGTTTCCGGTTGGGAGCATGGCACCTACATCTGCCGTGGCTACCACTTTCGCAAATGAGCGCAGACTGCAAACAAAAGCAGAAGCGACTGAAATAAGGTCACTCGTCGTGCCCATAAGGGCTTCCCCTGCTGGAGTGAGATGAGCCCCCGTTAATGGTATATTTAAGGACTCCTTTTCCGTACACGTTCCTAAAGTGGTAGTTTCCCAATCCCGGCCTTGTGGTGGAGCAACTTTTTTATGCGGCGTGTTGGTTGTTGACACCGTTTTCGCAAGTTTAGTTTTCTGACTTGATAAGAGTAGCTAGATCGGGACAATCAGTGGTTGTTAAAACCCTTTTAATATCAAATCGATTCATATTCTGTAGGCAAGTAAGGGGGTTGTGCTAGACAACAGGTAAAGAAGGATCACAAAGGGCCAGGGCATATCCAAATAGAGCCTTCCAGTATGCTGAGTGCTTGCAGTCATACTACAGCAAAGCAGAAAAGGAACAGCTTTTGAGGGATGTTACCAATGCCGTGCACGAAGCGTACCTCAGCAAACTCGGGTTATTCCCCACGAAGTGCGTGTCAGGGCCGTGTTGAAAGCATGTTACCGCAAGGTGACAAGCAAACATTCATGGGCATACTAGTCCAGATGCTGTACTTCAGAGGCACGTGAAAACGGAAACTTCAGGCTCAGTGTCATGTTATGCATGCGCATTTGGAGACATTTATAAACCTCAGTCGGCATCCGTTCACTCTTCCTCCAGATTAAAGGTGAATAGTTCCTTAGCTTTTTGTCCAAGGCCAAGTTACGGTAACTCGATAATGTTAGTTACGAAAGCCGTTTTTGCTACCGCGGCTCCACGACTGTCGCAACTGCATGTGCTGCCTCCCTGCTCAGGAGGAATCGATCAATATTACGGCAGTATCTGAAGCTTTGGAAGTGTCAAATCTCCGTTTCATGGTCATCAAGAGGGTACGCCACTCCTGCAGACCATGGTGTGCGTCTCCCTAGTAGACAGTCCAGTTTGCAGACAGGGGGCTAGGACATATCTTCGAAAAACCGCTTCTACGCCTTCGATAAGTCGCACTGACTGTGCTGAGCGCGATACATTCGTAAGGAAAACCAGCTAGCTTTCCGGACCCCAGGCTTGCTCTTGTCTGCGCTGCGTAAATCAGGAGAGCGGCAGTGGCCCACGAGATTATTGTCGACTTTCCTTGCTCCAAGCGACCAGACACGTGCGAAGAAGCAGAAACAGCCGGACCTCTTCCAGACTTCGAGACAATTGTAAGCAAATGGTTTCAGCACCAAACTGGCTTTCAGAGCGCAGTCCAGCGTACGTAGCCATACGCACTTCACCATTTGGGACGAAATGCAGGTGGCCTGTGCCAACAATGAAAGGGTGTCACATACAACCTATTTGTGATCACTCATCATCAGGACACTGCTCTACCGCCACTGCCCAGGAAACGGAGCTTTGACGATGACGACATAAAAGAATACAAGGAACAAGAAAGTGTAGATAAGCTCCTCAAAGAGATGGATTACATGTGAGCAGCTTCTTCCAGTTTACAAATAGTCAGATTTCTACAACTTCCTCATGCTGCCGTGCTGTGTGCTTGCCTCGAACTGAAGCACGCAAGGCTACTTTTATAATCCACATCTGCAATGCAGATGTTAAGTTCGCCTAAAACCATGCTGTCGTGCCGTTACAGAAAAACAACGAGGCTATTTCGAATACTGCAAAGGCTGACTTCCAGTCCAGCTGATCTAGAAGAATTGACACACCTGTTACATTTACAGCCAACATCCCAGTCACAGAGGCTCATCCCCAAATGGAGATGGCAGTCTGAAAATGGCAATTCAGTTCAAGAGCAACGAACGGCTCCGGTATATGCAGCCTTCTCAGTAGCAATAAAGCGTGCGATTGCGGAAGCTGCTGATACAGCCAGCAGACGTAGACCCCTTTCCTCCAAAGAACGGACGGCGTGTGTGCCAGCGCAGTGCAGAAGCCTAGAGTCAAGACCTTTTTCTCGCAGTGGCAAGCCACAGCCTCCCCATACCGCGTGTACATTAAACGTTGGCAGCAGCAAACTTGCTTACAGCACTAGTTCCAAGAAACGTTTTTACTAGCGTTATGCATCATTCATTATCATTTACATGTTGTGCCTGGTGTGTTGCACCACAGCAGCTTTAATAGGGCAGCAATCACGGCGAAATCGTGCCATGGCAGACGGCCTGAAGCGAATGCCAAGTAAATGCAGCGCATGGCCAAGCCTGGATGGAGAGGTAGCAAGACCACAACGAACTACTAGTGTTAATGATCAAGAGGCGCTACAGAGGCTGGCTGGCGCCACAGCAACCACCGCTTCAAGTTTTGGAGACACTAACGGGGAGCTGCCGTATCACTTCAACCACCCGCGTGCTATGCGGCAACGTGATAAGCGTTTCAGTTCCGGTAAGGCCTTTTCAGCGCTGCCGTAGCTCGAAAGGGGCCATGGTAGTAGTATTCGAGGGAAAGCCCGGGTGTGCGCCCCCAACTCTGCTTCTGCAGCTGCCTGGAACGAAGAGGAACAGCAATCTGTGCTCCGGAACCTTCGCAATAGTTTTGTTCTTCCATATGCAGCATTCAGGAGAACGCCACTGGTAAGTACGCTCCCATGTATCCCACACGGCCATTTCACCGCACTAAGCCCCAAGTTATGTCTTTTGGCCCCGCCAGTTTTGCACGGATAGTCACAGCAGGAGAACAGGCTTTAATCCTGAGTTTGCATTAGAGTGTTGCGCGTACTTGTACAACCAAGCGATAAACGATCTGGGAAACAGCTCAAAAATCAATGAGGCTAAAAGCTCACCGAGCCAATTTACCGGCTGATAATACTTCTGCTGAACCGCTTGCCAAATTTGTGCAGGGTGAGTGGCGAGTTGTTCATTGGTCAGCTCTGAGGGGGGCAGACTTTTTAATACCGATTGGATGTGAGAACTACGCCGAGTCAACTGAGCCCCTCAAGGTAACTACGAGAGTAAAATTGCAATGCCATTCACCTGCTGGCTAGCTTGTGAAAATGCTATACTACAAATGTGTGCATCACAAATGTGGTGCGGTCAGATTTCACCTAACAGCATGAAGGGCCGCATATCTTCATTGGTTGGGGAGCGCATTCCTCTAGAAATCTTGACACATCGCTCCTTAAAACCGGCCCAGCTAGCAGAGATTCAAGTGCTGCTCACTTCGAAATCAGTTGTTAATCTTGCATTCGCCTTCTGCCACCTCGTGCACTGGGTCACCTTTGGCCAGACGCGTCCTGATCGGGCTGAAGGTTCTAGAGCGACTTGGAAAGAGGATACCTCGTATGCACCAGCATTCAATGATTCCACAGTATGTACAAGTAACTCCGCAGCAATGCCCCCAGCAGGTGGCCTTAGTGGCGTCAGTAAAAAACTAGAAAAGAACCTCAAATTCGGTTCGGGGCTATTTCGAGAGCAGAAGGTTCTAGAGAAAGGTCAGTCCATCCCTAGAAGAGCAATGCCAGCCGTGTCTGCAAATCACAGAATTTCCACCCACAAAAAGGCATTCTTACAAGGCCCCAAACAGTTCTTGAGGGATGAACTGCGCCGCCTGAGAAGAGAATGCTCTACAAGAGAAAAGGAGTTCGGTAGGGGAATCACCAACATAGCAAATGGCAACAACGCAGTGCAGACTGTGCCTGCAAAGGCAGTTCGACGGGGAATGGAAGGTGAAGATGACTGTGGAGGCCTGAAAATTCCACTTGATTCCTGCACCAGAAGGTTGAAGGCCCTTGCCGTGGCAGAGAATGCATACAAGCAGACCACAGAGCACATCAAAGTCTGTCACAAAGCACAAATGGAACGGATTAAATCGTTGGAAACGTGCTTTAGAGAAAATTTTATCTTGCCAGGGACATTGCAACGAAAGATTCATATGAAAACCTTCAAGGTGTCATGTGTTCTCTGCAGAGCACCTTTGGAATCTTCGGAGTCTCTCTTGTCTGCCCACTTTTAGTGCTGGCAGTTAAGGAGGCCGCTGCTTGGGCTCTGACATCGCACTTTCCGCGGCTATTGGGGCAAAAGGTACTGCAACTTGAGCTTGCAGACCGTATCAACGCTCTTTTTGCACAGCTCTTCGATCCCCACGGATATTTCTCGAGGTATAATAAGGCACCACACGTCAGACCGAATTCCCATACTTGAGCGTGGGTGTTTTATTTCCTTGCTACAGCACCGAAGGTTGTTCATTTTCAGGTTCCCTACAATGGACTCGCACCCAGTAACTCAACGGCTGCAAAGAAAAGTGGGATAACTCTGCAGCGCGCTTCTTTTGCATCGGCAATGTGCAAATCTAAATAGGGTGGATAGGAATTTCAGGGCACTTCGGCGTAGCCTTCATTACGGTTATGCTGTCCTCGCTTACTAAACGCTTTCTGCATCAGTAATCCTCAAATGCGCCACACCGCAGCGACTACTGCTAGGACAATAAAAGCCAAGCATATCTAAGTGCACATGCGATTCAGCTGGATAAGTACCTGGCGAATTGCCCCAAACCGCCAGTAACGGCATTCGAATGGTTCCACATGTTATGCACTCCTTTGGACCTTACACGCTGCACAAAGCTGCTCGAGCTGCAGGTGCAGCAGCTAAAAGCACAGGTAATCCAACAGACCACTTTTCTCCAGCTAAGCCGGGGCGGCCAAGCAGTGCCACCCTCGCCGGTGCTGGTAAAAGAAGATCCTCAGTTCAAACTACTACGCCTCCAAAAGGAGCATCAGGAGCTTCTTGCCCGCAAGAATCAGAAATCATTTGAACCAGTAAATAATTGGAAGCGTCCAGGTATGGGGTTTCCCTTTAGTACCCACTCATCTGGAGGTCATAGGTGCATCCTTAATACTAAGGCCGTGGTGGACCACCGGATGAATGCGTGACCGTCCAATTACTGATAGCTTTGAATCTCACCAAGATGCAGGGCAGCTGCAGTGCACCGCTTCCACGTCACAGCAGCGCCGGCACAGCCTTGCTTGTCTACGCGGATATTGGGTACTGGCGCTCCAGATGCAAGGACATCTCGATGGTGCTACTTCTTGCAATGCAGGAGCCCTGCAAAGACTGCCCCAGGAGCCCCAGAGGCGCAGCATTGGTCCACAGTCCTTGATCCACAGCAAGGCTCACTCGTGCGCCTCTGCACTGCCTAAAGTCGTGATAATCTGTTTTTTGCGCTCTCCACACATCAAGCACCCAAAGCACGTAGCGCGGAAAATGGTCACTTGAAGAGCGAAACGATGAACAATCGAGTCTTGCCTTAGATTGTGTACCTCAGGACAAGCCAAGCTCTGCTGTGCGAGATGGTTGGCAACATGGAACATAGCCATCCAAGGGTTCGGGTCCTTGCGCAACAGCACACACGACACCACTACACATATACAGAGCTTGGGGGGAATCATGCGGCCCCCCGTTGTGAATCTAGTGCAGAGCTTTCTGAGCGCACATGCACCACTGCAGCCACTAAGAAAGCTCTGCCAACGCTCTTAACACAAGCAAGTCCAGTCGATAAATATGCACAAACGACCACCATCACGGAAACGAAACCGCACGCCAGCAGTTACACAACCGGAAAAAGCGGCAGGCGCTCACTACCACAAGTTCCTGCCCGCAAAGCGGTAGATCTTCAGCCGGTAACCTCTTCTTTAATGCAGCGCAGTTGCCCTAAAGCTGAGTATGGCACAAAATTTATGTTCCAGTCTAGCTGGCGTGCGAGCTCGGGATAACCTGGCAACCTGTCAAGTTATGTATGTGTTCTAGAAAAAGTCGGTCGTCGATTTCTCGGAAATTCACTGACTCACGGCAGCATCTGTATAATATCTACTCTGGGGGATCCTTCAGGTTGCGCAGAAACCTAATGGGAAAAATGAGGTTCTAGCCGGGTCTGGTGCTGACTTCGGCTGGGGGCCAGGGAGAGACTCAAAAGTAGGAACTTCATCAACGTCATTCTTTGACCCCTGTTGCCAACCGCACTGTTGTATGCACTTCTAGAGGCCAAAGATTTATTTAATTCTACAACCAATTTTTAAATGCACTGGAGAGGCGGGATATGTTATTAGAGCGGTTGTACGCTTCCCCCAAAACATCCGACTGCCTCGTGATCGTGAGGGTGCTGTCTGTGACACTGCTTCCCGAAGGCCGATTCACGCCATGTTGATTTGAAGCATACACAGCTACGGAAGCGGCAGGAGCATATTGGCAAACAAGGCTGGCAGCTCCAATGTGAAAGAGTGGCATGTTTACACCCACCAACAGAAGTACTCAGAACTGCTCAAACTTAAGGTGGCCGTTGTTCAAAAACTTTATTCTTCATACGCTTAAGCAGCAGAAGCTGTGTTACTCTAAATGCTCAGGACGGAACCAGTCAATGGAGGATAATGTTCTGAGCACTCTGTCTAACTAGCAGAGGGTCAATAGATCACGTGCTTGTACACACCGGCGAAAGCATAGGGAAACATCTCCAACTGCGGCTTCAAGGGTAAAGCAACACACAGAAGAGCAACGCCAGTAGGAAGATATGCAAAAGAAAGCGTTCAATAAATACATACGCTGCGTCAGAGCTCCATCAGCTGAACGAGTCAGTTATAATGAGCATTCAATGGCAAAGAAGAAACTTTGCAAGCATTGCAAGGTGCCGCCTCCAATCAGCCACCAAACAGCGAGAACTCTGACAATCCCCGAGCAAAAGCTGTTCATATCTACAAGCTAACAAGCGAAAGAACTTATAAACCACAGCAAGCTAATGCTGTACATGGCAGCTTGACCTTATAGGATGTGTCAACAAAATCGGCAGTGTCAAAGGCAATATAGGGCCAAGCTGGCTAGGCATGAGACAAAGTGTCCAGCCTTAGAGCCAAGTCTAATTGCAGCCCCACTGACTTCGATACTCCGACTCTTTGTTGACATATCATGTAAGGGCCAGCCACCATGTGGCTGATATAGCCCCAACAGTATTTTGAATATATTTTTGCTACTTGCTACACCACGCTAGTGGAACAGGGAGAAAAGCCAGTGAAACACAAAGCAGCATTAAGACATGCTGTTTGCTGCACTAGCAAGCAGGAAAGCCATACTAACAGAAATTTCCCCTATGTCTTCGGCTATGCTACAGCGCCATCTTCCTCGCGCAGGCTGCCTTAGTTCGCACTCAAGTCTCATGTTGCTTTGAAAACTTTCTCCGATTCATGACTCCTCCAACTCGTCAAATACTCCACGATACACGAGTGTCGAGTGTTTTAGTAAGCTGCAACAAATTGAGAAGTGGCCAGCGTAATGTACGAAGCTGACAATGATACGAGAGCCCTGCGGCCTTTCAAAGGGCTCGTAGTCGCTAGCCTTTCCAGATGGCAGGCAGCAGAAAATGAGGGGGAAGAAAGATACTGAATGATGTGACGTAAGGACAAGTATACTCCACAAGGGGTTTTCTTGTGGGAGGCTAACTATATGAGCACTGGGAGAGACTATCTCCTGTCTGACCAAAAGCACTCGTGCGGCCATGCACTTCAGCCCTGAAAAAACAGTCTCCATAATATTTTTAATTACTAATTAGCAGTGTATTTGCTTGCCCAGCACATCAAGCACTGCAAAGTAGCCATGTTTTGTGCACGTGTACACTCACTTGGAAAAGCAGTTGAGGCAATTCGCTGTAGCGCGTTTGTGCTGTTCTCCGAAGAATTACAAAGTTCACCTGTCATATAATCTATCCTTCGAAATCTACTAGCATTCTTGAAAGCCCGAACATTTAGTTGATGCATAGAGGACCCCACAAAGCTCCACTCTTTCAACCTGGTGGAGACTTACGTGCCAGTACACCAGGGTGTTCTGATATGCAGACCATTTTGTCGTACCGTGAAGCGCCAACATTATCGGGTCTACAATGTGAGGAACTTCGCTCGCAATTAGAGAGAAAATTGCTTTCTGGTGTAGCTTTTGGTATCTTATCTTCGTAACACTACTCTGTGCGTTGTTAATTAGCAGCATGTTAGGACGAGGCGATGGAGTGTGTTCGTACCTTATTGGGGACCACGCAAGCCGAGAGACAATATTGCTTCACAGGTGCTGCCTTTCCTGGAAACCCCCGTGTTTACCGACTTGTGTTTGGGTTGCGAGTCCTTTCTCCGGAACACCCCCTGTCTATATGTGAGCTGACGTTTCTTGTGAACCTGTTGCTGCGTCTTTACAAACGAATAATGTGCCAAGCTCCTTTAATTGGACTGGCGTCAGATATTCGGGGAATTTTTGCTGGCAAGGAGCTCTCCAGTGTGGGCAGCCGATATATGTCTTTGCCCCAACACACACCCACGATGCGTAGGCGTTCAAGCACGCATTCCCGAAGTGCTATTGCTTCTCGATGGTATTTTAATATGCAATCCATGATATTTTCCCCTTGTAGGTAACTGCATATGTCTCGATCAATAGTGCTTTTAGCACAATATACAGCCGATAGTAAACTGAGCCTCGTGCTCATTGTTCGGCTGTGCCAACCCCTATTGGTAGAATTTCTGCCAGGGAACGCGCGTAATAAATGAATACAGGCAAACTCGCATATTTAAAAGACGAGGCATTATTTCTTTTGAGTGCACATGGCTGTATTTTTCTGCAGTTCACTGAATGAGTTCTCGCGTGGCCGCAGCCACCAGTGTGCTCTTGATCCCCAGGAGCATTAGTAACTACGGTCGTCCACATACTGCTTCATTCCAGAGGAGGGAAATTTCCATTGTACATATACGTACCAAAGCTACTGCCTACTTCGCCCTTCAAATCTTGTGTGGCTTTAAGACCAGTGTCCTGTCGCCTCTAGCTGTGCCAGTCCGTTGGACCAGCGGCCTGCGTGGAGAAGTTGCTCGAGCGTCTGCTGTTGGTCGCAGCTACGGTCTTCGAATTACAATGGGTTGGTAGTAGTATAATAGGCTGGGTAGCGCTCGAGCAAGCATTCTGTGCAGCAGTGAATTTACAAAGATCAACTCTCGCTCCCTGGAAGTTAGGTGCTTTACGTACGCAGCGTAGACGGTTTTCATGTCGCGCATGTTTTTCAGTGTCCCTTTCAATGATGTGGGACAGGTGACGAAGAGTCTTGGGGGGCTGGCCATGCCACGAGCCGCTTCCAGGAGGTGTTGCTTGGCGGGGGCAGCAAAGTGCTCCAGCAAGCGACAGAGTTATTAGGGGAAGGACCCAAGCCTCTTCGATTCCTCTGTTTCCTTGGTAAGGCAGGCGCTTTAGCCAGCCAACAATTCCATGTTGCAGGGGATGTGCCATCGGGGAAGATTGACATCTCCAATTGTTAGCAGCGGGACGATGTAAAACATGAAATCCAAAATGCCTAATAGCTTAGCTTTCCCACATACCAGCAGCACTGCAGCGGATATAAAAAATAGGTGGCCTCTTTCTTGCATTTACTCTTTACAGGGGGCCTCGTAACCTTTTTGACTGCCGGCCTGGCCTGTATAAATATATTCTCCCTCCTCGTTGAACCGTCTGGCTACATCCTGCAATTGTACTTAGTGTAAGGCTCAGCTCTTCCTTAGGTGCCCACTTTTCATAACATGCCTTTCCCGCTAGTTACTTGCGTACCACAGTATGCTTCCATCACTCCTTTAGGTGCTTCAGGTTGTGTCAGCCCATGTGTATTGTTTCATCACATTTTGTTGGTTCAACGTGTGCAACTGCGCTCTGGACAGGCTGTTCGGACTTCTGACTATGACTGTGGAAGCCAAAGATATTCAGCCCTTAGAGAGACTAAGGCCCTTTTTCTTTTCATGGTTTCGCTTTCTTACAGTCCCAGGGGGGAAAGGCTGCTTTTATCTGTTTTACGGTGACTATAAATTCCGATGCACCTTTCTGTCCCGGCAAGCGAGTTGATGGGAGTGGCATGCCACCAGGATTACTTCTTTAAATCTTGCTGCAAAGTTCTGTTTGATAAAGGGGTGACCTCGGTCTCATTGATGTATACGTGTTTATGTGTAATCTGTTGTGCCGTTGTGGCAGGCTCTCTATCTCTCTCCCTGTGGCGAAGCTCCTTCTTTCTAGCACTCGTTGGTGCGTTTCTTGCCGGCTCGCTTTTCGTAATCAGTAATGATGCTGTCTCACAATAGCATTTTTTGAAGCCCACAGCACCCTTTACTGTCCTACTTTTGTAAAAAACCGCAGGCATGTACACTGCCAGCATGGGCATCGTATGCATTCTCGTTCATTTCGGCATGCGCCGTGAACTTCAGCAACACGGCATCAGTGTCACGGTGAGTCTTACTTGGCTTGAAAACGAGTAGATGTAAATGATCCGCCGTGACTGACGAAATTCTATTTACCGTAATCGCGATCAGAAAAATCCAACACTTTTTACGGTGTATGCAGGAGCGCCAGACTGATGAAGTCGCGTTGGGAAGGCCCATAGAGCCCGATATGATCGCCCCTCCTGCCTTTTGAACTTTCGTGGGGTCGACTGCACCTTTGCCGGTGTCCCACAGAAGACACAGCAGCGGTTGTCTCGTGGAAAAAAAGGAGAGTTCGAGGCACTATCCAGAGGCTCACACGACTACAAGTGATCAGGATCAGAGGGTAATTTGCTTCAACAAATGTGCGGTCTAGGTTTCCCTACGTCACTCGGTTTTGCGGTGGCACACTTCGATTAAGAGGAAAGACAAGTAGTATCTTTTGATTTTGCCGGCTGCTTATATTGGCCACAGCTTGGTCGGTGATTCAAAGCGAATCATAGCAGGCCTACCGTGTAAGACACCGAAGCCTGTAGTGTTTTTCGATGCTGTAGCCAGGCAAACAATTTAGTTTTATAGAAATTGACATAGAGCACTATTCGCTGATATTAATTCTATGTGGTTCTAGTTTGGAACTAGTTCAGGGCGCCGTAAAGTGTGCTTTTCGTGTTCCAAAAATGTTAATTTGTACAGAATATGATGGTTCTCCAAGGGTTGGGAGCCTTGCTTTGCCAAAATACAATGGATACTCACCATATCCTCTTGACTTTGTACGGCCTTTTTGTAGAAATACGCCCAGTAGAGCGCAACGGTAACATTGCTGTTCCGGGGTGTCATCCACTGATCTCTACTAGTGGTGGCCATCCATTGGACCCTACGTCTTTTCTGTACCGATAAACATTCATGAAACACAAAAATGACACTTCATAGCGTACTAGACTATCTGCAACCTAGGTCCATACAGAAATGATTCAATCAGCGAATATCGCCGTATTTTAGGGCAGCTGCAGGACCCTACCCGGAGTGTGCCCAGCGGTCGGCCATTGCTGCACTGTGATGCATTGGACACGGGGTAAATGTATGTGAGTAGTGAAGTGCCACTCTCCCATACCTATGCACAAAGTTATGTGCCATAGCCTGTGCATAGAGCCGAACCCCGTAGAAAGAGAGCAGAATAAACTGCGTTGAATTTGCATGCAAGTTTTAGGCTCCGTGGACATTTATCGCTGTTTTATCAACGTACTCCTCATGACTCAATGTAATACCCTGTCAAGTACTAACTTGAGGGTTCCTTGCTTTCTCCCGTGTGTATGGACAAGCAAACACATTGGATACTCATGCACAGTGCCTCTAGGCCACGGCCCAAGGGGCACTTCATTTCGGATCTCGAGCTCTTGGTTGTTAATTTTTCTTGTGCAAATCCATCTTATCATGCGCGCAAGTCTTTTGTGAACATCTAAGGGTAGCCGCCTTTATCAAACGGTCACAGACTTTCCTTGCGTCGTCCTGCATCCCAGCATCCGTAGAATTTCCGCAAAACAGGCATCCAGGGGTCATCCATGGTACATGTCCTCTTAAAGAATTTCGTTCCTTACACTACAAGCAGGAAAGTACCCCGGCAAACCGTAAAACTCGCGTCTTTTCTGGAGAACGACAAAGAACGCCCGTACATTCCCAACATATGCAAATCGTTAGGAAACTTTGTAGCGTCATCGAGCCCTCCTTTACATGTGCTTACCAACTTAATTCCTCCAAGTATTCGGACACCCTGTCCGGAAAATTATAATTGACATCACTTGCTTATGGAGATCGTGGTAGTTTTGATGTTAGTCATCCACTGGTCGTTGTTCATCAGACTACGAAGCGAACGAAGGATACCAATGGCGAAGAAGGGAGCACAAGTTTGTCCTCGTGAACCTTACCAACATCTATGCGGCAGATACATTATTGTAACGATATTGGGAGCCAGGTTTATGCGATGAACACATGAAATTTATGTGCAGACTGCTATTTGTTGAGGACGGGGAGACGGCACAGCATGTACACTTCCGGTGAACAATTGGTACACCATTTTTTCTTGGGACAGCACCTTGTGGAGGGTACCACTAGCTAAACTAGTCAATACTTATGCCCCTTTATCAGGCTCTCTCATACGAAACTAAGAGAACCACGGTTGACAATTTCTCTTGCCTTGCACTGCGAGCTGCAGCACCGCATCAGGCCCCACATGATGCCGGTCAGCTCATCCTTGAAGGACATCTAACTAAACCAGCGCAGGATGAAGCTGACCAACAGGTTTATTGCATAGTGGCATCACATGCAGGTACGGTGTGATCTCTCAAACGGAAAGCAGAAATCACCTAACAGCTAAAGTAAGAGCGACTGCGGCTAGCCGAAAGGTACTGGATTCCATATGATACAATGCGGCGACCAAAAGAAGCCTTCACCTGCGCTAGAACAGAACAGTAAGGCTCTTCTAGGTTTGGAGACGCGTGTTTTTGGTGGTGAGGCAACGGTGACTGCGGTGGTACAAGGAATATAAAGTGAAGGGGAAAAGGCTTTAAGGTACCCGCAAAAAGCCGGAGAGGTCATAACTATATCGCCGAGTCACTGTGTAGCGGGTCTGCAACAGTTTGGCACTCACTACTACACAAACAATGAATAGTGAAGAATTAATGAAGATTTTACCGCTTATTTTGGTTTTGCACATGCGCGCTTTGTTTCACGCAAAAGTTAGCTAATACGCTAAAGCTCATGAGGCGATTCAATACTTGCCTCATTTGACCGGGTTTGAATGGTCACAATGCTCATCAAGTCCAGCAATGCATAGGCACCGTAGCTATATCTCCCTCCTTGTACCGGAACCCTAAGGGATGAGTATGGCAAAGTGAGACTAAGGAAAAGGTTGTCAGGGAAACATGTACTCGAAACTGTCAACCAAATTTCGTATTGAGCATGGAGGCAATAAAGTGTCTTTCTGTAAAGAGCCGTGCGGAGCGCTACATACCTGTTGCGTATCGGTTGCCCGAAGGCCTAGGAGAATGGTGGATTTTTTTAATGCAAAGCCTTTGCTTATTGTCCGTGAAAGTGGCTCTGTGACCTAAAATCTTGAGCGCGAAGCTCAATTGCTGCCCTTTCCTCTGCAGAAGGCTAGAAGTCAGCTGGGCAGGCCAGTGTGGTCTAATGGCTGGGACCGAGGTAAACGAGCAGATGGCATACAATGGGGACCATGGAAAGTATTTTGTGGTTCAAGAAGCAATACAACTATATTTTGAAGCTTTGATAAATTTGTGAACCTCACAATTTTTCCCCATGCAAAAGTGTTCATTGTTGCACGCACGGTCACGTCCTCAACCAATGGGGCTGAATCTGTTGTCGGCGGGCTTTGCCGCATTCTCTCAGTTCACCGAAACGAAGAGCGACCAGTATTCAATTACAGAGAAGTGATCATTTCTATATGAAATTTCCTCTCTCGACATTTATTTTCTCCTTATCTGGGGGCGTCCTGAAGTAGGATAAAGTGTACAACTCTCTTTGCTTAACGGTGCACCGTAGGATCTCCATACTTTGCAAAAGTGTGAACAGGCCAAGCTACACAACACGGCCTTCTATCGTATCAAAGGCTTTTCTTTATCGCCAGGCTCACTCTTCGCTGCTCACGCGAATTGGATACTAGCGGAGCTCTATTGGGGCCAGCGCTGCTACGGAACGAGCTCCTTTCACTTTAAAAAAAACAATGAGGAAGAAGCAGCTGCATAAAGTGCCACTTCTAGGTGATAATATATATCCTCTTGATGGTTCTCCGGATAGTGCATCGATAACAAACAACCAGGGCCTCAAACTTGCAGTTTATTCCTGGCAAGTGGACGATCCCAAGGCGGCTATTCTTCTCGTACACGGAGTACAAACCCATGCCAGGTTTGAATTCCTTAGACATTTGCAGCCGGGAGAGCCGGATCTACCCCTTCCAGATGCCCCAGCCGGGACTCACAAGACGGAAGGCAGTGCAGGCATGGCGACAAATACGACACCTGAAGGATCTGGTCTTAGCCATCAGTATGCACGGTGGTGTATCTACGAGGGAAGTTGGGTGCACCAACTAAACGCCATTGGATGCTCGGTGTATGCAGTGGACCTTGAGAGCTTCGGCTTTTCAGAGGGTTGGAAAGGACGCCGCTGCAGCGTCGAGAGGCTTGACAACCTTGCACTTGACGTCATCTGCTTTGCAGAATATGTTGAAAAGGACCTCAGCAGAAGGGCGAAAGGAGCGGCACCTCCTCCGATGTTCCTCATGGGAATATCTATGGGGGGCTTCTCAGTTGTGCGTGCCTTGGAACTCATGGGCAAATGTAATCATTCACTTATTAGGGCAGGGAGCGCCTCACCAGATGAGAATCAAGCACGACTTGCTGGCTGCATTGCTCTGGCACCAATGCTTTCAGTTGAAAAGGCGAGCTCAGGAGCTTTAAATAAATCTCTCGCTAAAATAGGCGGTATCCTTTCGCGCCTCGCTCCCCACTTGGGCGTTGCCAAGCTCCACCCTGCACGGTTTCCCTGGATCGACTTTCAGAAAGATGAGGTGACTTGCCCATGTTTCATTCCAACCTCTCTGCATGCAGGTTCTCGTACTCTCTCCATAAACTCGAGTTTCAACCTTATATTGTCAGTGCACAGGCCTTCCAGACCAATGTCTGGAGCAAAGAGTATGCGATAATTGTGCGGGACTTCTTTACGTGTCATAGGATCCACTGGTAACCAGTCCCCTAAGGCTACCGTGCCGCTTGGCTTTAGAGGCCCTTGCCTCGATTCCGAAGGTCCATGCAGATGCGCAGTTCATCCCAGACCACCTCCGAGTTCTCATAATCCACGCAGAACAAGATACACTTGTCGAGCCAGCGGTCAGCCGTCCCTCCCTGTTTGTCCATGCTCACTACGGGATCGTTCGCCTCTCACGACAACTAGCTCCGTCCGGCCGCTTGTTTCTTGTGCATAAATGTGCTGGCTTTGGGGTCCTGTTCTCAGGGAAGCATCCGTTTTCATAATGAGTCGGCGAAGCATATCACTGAGCGCCAACTGCTTCTTCTACAAGGCGACAGAGGGCACTACCTGATTATTGAGCCGGAAAACTCAGAGCTCATTGCCAAGATTATCGAATGGATCAATGTGTAACATTGTACGCCAGAGAGGAGAGGACGCCCGTGCTTAAGGTAGCCTGCTCCCGGTACATGAAACTCGAAAGGTCGGTTGCACCGCCTATTGGCTGCACTGGCAAAGCAGCGGTGTGTGTGCGTGTATTCGGCAGTTCTTCTGCATGATACAAACACAGTCGCTCTTTTCAGGGGGGCTCGATTGTGTTTCTTTTGAGTTGTGCTTATCTTTTAGTGCTGTCTGCTGCAATCGCTGCATGTGTCACTCAGCGGGCACAGACGAGTAGATAGTTCAACATTAAATATGTCGTTAATGGCTGCTATGACATGGTTCACCCGCCCGAACCGCTACAACCAGCATCGAGATATTATAGAATGCATACACTGTCTAGCTGCCCTGGCTTCCAAGATGCCTCGTGTGTCGGGCAGCTGCAAAAAGCTCACACAGTACTGCTGGTAGTACGTAGAGCAGCCAGAAGACGAGTTCAGAGGCTTACAACACGGAAACAGCAGATTATTTTGGCACTGTTCTCTCACTGTCATTACCTTTGATCCGGTGCCGCTGATGATACGTAGACCCTTTAGAAGTGACTAGCTAGGAGTAGCACTATAGCTAGTTGCCGCTAAAAATCTTATAACGAGCTCTACAATGTTGCTCTGAGAATAAAACGGAGCCACCCTGGAATATTCCTACTCTGCATGTTCACTTTCCCTTGCCTACCAGAAGCCCTCCTCCCAGCGCTCCGCTACTACCGATTACTGCTACATGACTTCCACAAGAATTTAATTGCGTGTAGCCCGCTTCCCTCGATCTACCCTTGGACCCTGTTCATATGTGGTGTCAAGAGGCAAATCGGGACAGCACTCAGGCATACGTATCTGCAGACAGACTGACACACCCCTTAAACACGAATGTGTGGCAATACGAGCGAAAGGCATCAATGTGCGTATCATCAGCGGGATTAATCTCTGGTGCACATCCAACGGACCCTGAGTTCCACGACGTACGCAACAGCATCACAAAGCACAGCATTACTAAAACCATGGCTTTGCGCATTTTGTAAACTCTTCACGCTCCCTAAGATATCTGGAGACTCCCTAGGGGACCACTTAGCTGCACGAAATCATAAAGGGCGTCAGCTTCCTGCCGGCCTGCCGATATGTTAATACACCTGACCTGATTGCTTCTACGTTGGTCCTCACACGTGGCACTGGCCCTGCAAGCTCTTTACTGAAGGAATAGTTCACGGTACACCATCATGGTGCTGCATCTGCCTTGCCAGTGCATATTGCATTGCAGAAAACATTTCTGATGAACGCAAATGCATCGCCTGCTTGCTGCTTCTTTCATTGGGCGGACAGTCGAAGGCAGTGGCAGAGCGGTAACAGTCAGCCGAATGCCAATCAACCGAAAAGTCGTTGGGGGAAACAAATTAACCCTTCAGCAAATCGATGTCACGTCTCCAACAATGGTGCTCCCCGTGACCGGTGGTACCGATGGGAGCACTAAAGGGACCCCAGAGCGGCAAGGCGAACTGCAGTCGATACTGTTACATGGTAAGGTACTCAAGGTGGCACTATGTTGCAGGTAGCGGCGAGACGCGAAGTGTCTTCGCACACAACCATCTACACCAAAACTTACCGATGCATGTGCTAATGTGACTTCGCTTGCCCGGATCTCCCAGTGCGCCTTAACAGGCCTCCCTTCGTACTCAATATGCGAAAATGACGCAGTGGGTTGCACATCTGTACGTATCCCTTGGGGCTGAATAAGCCCGCAAGCCCCTTCTCTTCGTACACTTGCCATCCGGAGTGAAGGCACAGCATCTGGGATGGTGCTTCTGTTGAAGGCTGAGCCAGTAGCTGGAGAGTGGCGACTTTGCGGGCTGCCACTACGTGCAGCACACATGGTTAGATATGATTCACCTGCCTGCTCAATTCAAGAGGTGGGCAATGTGCTGCATGGCCAGGGCTCCATTCCCCCAGAACACAACCCGACAAAAAGCAGAAAGAGTGAAACATGTCTTACAAGTGGCAGGACATGGCCAATGTTTGAAAAAGTCTGCTCAAGTTAATTGCTGGTGCAGAAAGACCAGAACACATGGGGTCACTCCGTTCAGAACAGCGGACCACCGGGGCTGTTCATAGCAACTTGCTGCGCGAACAAGGGACATGCATTACACGCGAGCAGCACGTGACAGGCAACACGAAGCTACCAGAGGAAAAAGAGTACGGGGCATCGATTGGGTAAAGAAAACATGAAAATAACAGATAATGGGGGGGCCCTCCTGCCCGATGATCGATGATCACTACAGACAGAACGGAAGCAAATGGGCCTGCTTAATAGCACTAAACAGCGCAATAAACGGTTTGGCCCCAGACAGACCTGCTCCCAGGGACATCAGACGCCGCACACGGCCTTCCCACAGGAGCCCTTAGATCTGCACACTCCGGGCTGCTCCGTAAGAAGCTGCCCGTCCTTTATATTTGGATCTCCCTGTTTCACAAGCCGACAAGTCCCATAGCAAGTGCACGGTTGACCTCTGTGGCAGCCACAGCTGATTTTTGCATCGCATTTGCACTCGTTCGATACTTTGGGGGCTTCGGGAGTGAAGTCGAGGAGGTGCCCTACAGCAAGGAATCCTAGCGCCATGCCTCCCAGCATGGACAAGAAGATGCCAACGTTGAATGTCATGGCTACCAACATCAACATATAGTCCCAAGCATAATTCAGAAAAGCAACTGAACCACGGATCGCGTTGTGCAACAGCGGGAACGACCCTAGCATAATGGCCGACCTGCCTTCCTCCTCCTTCTGTAGCAGTCGCATCTCAGACATGCGGCGGAGCACCTTCAGGGCGATGGATATGAAGCCAAACACAATGCAGCATAGGCAGCAAATCCCGTACTGGACGGACGTGCTGGCATCCCACCAAGAGAAGAGCAGCAGCACTCGCGATGAAGCCTCAAAGGCCATGGGCAGGGGTAGTCCATCCTTGCTCAACATTTTTCAAGCCTTCAGAGCGCAGGATCATGCAAGGAAACTCAAAAGAACAGGAGAGCACACACCCCGCCACAGGTGCAGGAGCAGGCAGGTGACACAGCAGCACCAAGGAGCCGAAAGTCTCGGATATGCAGAAAGTTGGTCTGAGAAGAGTGTTTTCATTGGTTTATAACGGGCATGAGCAGGTGGAGCAGCACAGCGGCGAACTAACAGCTAACAGCCGAAGGCAAAAAAATCCCATCCATCGGTCCTTGTTCGCACTGCGCTTCCGCCCCTCGAGGACTAGAAAAACTGCCAATGCCCCACAGATATAGTGTGTCCATTCACATACATCGTTGTATTTTGCTCTAGACGCACCTAGAAGACACAATTTTACTGCTCTTCTGCATGCAATCCCTGTGGGGCTGCCACATATCAGAGACTATCCAAGTCCGTTGAATTATATTTTTCTCGCAACCGATGATAATTTAATTTCTCAGTTCTATTTAAATGATTTTAAAAGAGGCTAATGGACCAACCCGTATAAGAAATTTTGCCTATCAACGCAGTGCAGCCTCTCCTGATAGAAAGGCATTCTGTATCCTTAAAAGGCTTAAAATCATGATTTTCTGTCGTCTTTTACTGTGTAGTGCACATTCGTTCAGCGGATAGCGCTGAGTCAACGCATTTACTTACTGGACTGAAGTTGCGTGGTGCCTTGTATTTGTCATAATAGCGCTTTCGCGTTGCTGGCCAGACAAAGGGATCTCTACGCGTCCATAGTTCACTCCTGGCTAGTAGCATTTTGAGAGGCTCAACTTTTGCTTTTGAGGCACGCTACTATGCCGATCGCTAGTGTAGGAAGCTTAGGTTGCCCGCTTTACTCTGCCTCCACGTAGTGAATCTGGAATGTGATCGCTAGCAAGTTACAGAAAATTCAGCTCATGGGGGCGCCTGGCCTATTTTATTGTTGATGCACTATCTCATTCGTCCAAAATCAGCTTACGGGAGTCTCGAAAACTCAGAATATATGAGGGTGCATCAGTTTACTGTAGCGCTCCATCAAAGCTCTCCGTAAAAAAACAGTCAACTTCATATTCAGTACAAACTTTGTACAAATTCTTTGGGTGTGTCTTTAGGCCGTGAATGCTCTTATCAGATTGAGTGAGTGGAGAGGTACAGCTAGAGTGCCTGAAACTGCACCCTGTGTAAACACACTGACTTAGCGTGCAAAGCATCTGCTGCACACGCATACACAACTTCGTCTGCTCGTATTGATGGGACAATTATCTGAACAAATACGAAATCCTACAGGACAAACCAATAAGGCAATCCTTAATCAATCATTTGTCAGATATAGGTATTGCAGTGGAAAGTGTTGTAACTAAAACTTGGGCCCATACGCCTCCTTGTGTCGTCCTGCATGCAGGACACCAGAAGAGCACTTCTCCAATCGCCACTCTGCAGGCAGGCAGACACACGAAAAGAGTGCAAATGAGAAAAGCAAGCATGTTAATAAGCAAGGAAACTACACACACTAACCAACAACGACAGAACGACCAAACAACACGATAGTCGCACCGCGGTGGCCTGCTGCCCTCCAAACATTGAAAGATTTGAGCCTCCCACAACGACAAAACACAAAACAAGTAAACGGCGCAAGGGCTTCAAAAATACACACCAACTTATCAGTGCTTCTGCAGCCCATAGAGTAATTTTGCATGCGAATACAGCCCTGTGTTTTGAGCATAGTCGATTTCACAACCCCAAAAGTCGCAAAATGGGAAATGTAGGGAAACGGTACCTGAAAGTGCCTACGCATAAGTGTGAATGTAAAGGGCAACGCCATAAAGACTTGACCTTTCTAAGCGAACCCCATACTTGTCACGACGCACTTTCCCGTGCGACGAATTCTGCGAATAAAAGGAAAGGAATCCAAGCTTTATCAAGCCCATACCAATAGTTCAGTTTCATTTTCAAGTTTTAGGGGGATCACTATGGTAAAAAAGAGCACTGATTCGTAAACAAATGCTGCTAGTCACCTGGCCACAAGCATTTTTGTCTTGTAACTTGCTGCACCTCGAAATACCTGTCAATCTATCAAAAACGAATTACCAGGCTGGAAGAACAACCAAGCGTTGCTTGTTCTAAAATTTACTGAGGTCCATCCAGCTTTGGGTATATATTCGCTTGCACTATCCAGCACCTTTTTGAGCGTCTTACCCGCTTAGTGTCGCTACTGAGTCCTGACCACCAGGTGCAGGGGGGTTTTGGAAAGGTCCTCAGTGTATAACAGGGGTGTGGGAGAGACACGGCTAGGCGAGTAAACTAGTGTCTTACACCGACAGTCAGCGCAAGGTGGACGAGCGGCAAAGCAGCTGAACATTTGTAAGCGCGAAGTCAAAAGTGATTCAAAAGATTTGCGGTAGTGTGCTCTTCTGTCTTTCTGCATCAGGGTTTATTGCAGTTGTCCGATTATGGTCAATGTGTAGGCGGGTCATGACGGTACGCAGAGAGCCCTAACACGCTTCGGACCCCTATCCACAATGATTTTCTTGGTGATTCCGTGAGACATTTAAACAAGTGCTACAGCGAGCGACTTCTGAGTTGTGGCGGAGCTAAAACAGGAGATGAAATGTGCATATGTGCCAAATCTTTAAATATCGGCGTAGGTGTTGTCCGTACCCTTGCCCGTAGGCAGTCCAGCAAGAAAGTTCAGTCATATCAGTCCAAATCATTTCAGGAGCCGAACGTTTTTGCAAAAAGCCAGGCTAAGAAGACATGTGCGGCATCGTGATCAGGTTCATTCGGGTCATGGTGATATCCACACTTCGTTGGGAAGTATCTCGCGATCCCTCTGGTGGCCTGCGATGCATCCTACGCCAAACAAATATGCAATGCCAGGGACACACTGTCATTCGCTGGTCCATTGCACGAAAGCAACACTACAGAGCCGGATAGATAAGAACGAGCAAAGGAGTCTTCCGTTTGTTGTCAATTTCAATGTGCCACCCTCAACGTGGTGGTACTGCACCCGTCTGATATGCTGGATTTTGGCACCGCTAGCTCACACTTGGGTTTTGAAAGCAGAAGTTTCGCGCTACCTCAAAACAAACTTGTAACTTATGACGGACAAGAACAGCCCTGCTCCACAACAGTGGATTGCTGGAGCGTGGTGAGGACAGGTTGGCGAGCACGTTGAAGGCCGTAGTGTACTGTAAAGCGGTACTACTGGATCCACCCAAGCCAGCAAACCTTGTTTAGGGCTAACGCCATGAAGACTTTTTGTTAGGTACAAAACGGTTACTGATAGGTCTCGATAGTAAGATGAAGCGTACATGATTGGTAGCGGCATTTTCACGCCCCACCACACATTGTAGAGTTCATATTTCTCCACTGGAATACCACTGCTCGGCTTCGATGAATGAGAGTTGAAAGCAGCATTTCGATGTTTTTGAAACCTCCTGCGACATCACTAGCATTGCCTGCTAGAAGTAAATGACTCTCATGATGAAACAGCGCAGCTACCGGAGGACCTATGAGCCGACGCATAAGCATCCTTGGTGCAATATCAGCAACCCATATCCGCGTGATTCACTGCAACTTCATTAAATCAATCAAACAAGCAGTGATCCCAAATCCTAGCGAAAATATTTACGTCATTCAATGCATGCGTACAGAGGTTCTCAACATCCTTGCGGGGTTGTAATGGCAACGCCTTTATTGCTTCAGTTTTTTGCTGGGTCTGGCTCAACTATTGCATCCGATTCATGAAAACCCCAAAATACAGTTGCTATTTACAAGCCCAAACATAGTCCTGCCGTTTGCCTTGACGTGCTACTGCTTGCCTCACGACAGCCAAAGCCCACGCCATAGCCGCTCTCGAACGTCTCGATAGAAGACCAAGATGTATGCCATGTAGACAGCCATCCATCCCTCCTTGAAAGCCTCATGATATACTAAATGGCTTGCCCATGCAGAGGCACTGATCATTAGGAGCTTATAAATGGTTTGCAGCTATACTCGAGTTTGCGAAAGCTTGCGCACAAAATCGTTTGCTGCGTGTCATCAAGGTGAATGGGGATCTGTAATATGGCATCTGTGACGGCAAATACCTCATGCACTGTTGGCCCATCTATATTTTTGACTCATTCAGCAATGCGCAGCATCGGCAACGTTGTTTTTGCAGTATCATGGCTCAGGGGCTAAATTATAAACGCTATCGTTAGCTCCCATACTCTTCTGGCAGCGAAAGGGGGTCCTTACGCCTCAAAGTGCTGATCGACGTCTCAAGTATGCCTCTGCCAAAAACTCATTTACATGCCGCTTATTCTTTTGTTCATACTGTAAGACATCCAGATATCGCGGAACACAGCTGGTGCAGCTCCGAGCATCAGCTCAAAATGGTGTGCTAGATGACCAGCAGATGGCCAGCCTGCTGGCAGCCTACCATTATTCAACACATGTGGAAACCCCCCTTCACATTCGCCCATTTCTGTTGTTCCTCCGCTGTACCTTAAAAGCTTGAGTTCCTTGCATGCTCAGAATGATCTTTGCCTAACTGGGCTATTGAGCCACCCGCATGGAGACTACTTTCTATCGTAGGCCGTGTATCGTGTGCTCATGGACGCAAGGCGCGTTGTTGAGGAGACCAGAAGATACTTCCTCCTAGCGGTTCCCCCATACAATAGGCTTTACGGTGTTTACCTCTTTGCTTAAATTGGTTACCGGTTGCATGCCTAGGATTATTTCATACTCCACGGGCTCAACATAGAGTTCATGGGCCATGCTGAGATGGCCCGAATCCACTTTGAAGTAATTCACCCAACTGCTGATGCCTTGGCTATCTGCCTTCTGCCGCCCGTTAACAAACCTGAATCTTCGTAACTTCAAAAGCTACGAGACAGGCACATTGTACTATTGCGCATTCTCTTGGATGGCAGGCCATTTTACATGCGGTGTCAAGCAGCGCTAGTACTTCCTGACAATTAATAGAAACGTGTACCAGCGCAGAATCGACCATT